TGCTACTACAGTATGTAAGCGTCCTCAACAGCTAATTGCAATGCCTTAGACTCAAAGCACATCTGTACTGTGCACTTTTTGAATGGTCTACCATGTTAGTTTTTCACTACTACATATTTATTGTTCTCCACAACATATTTATTGTTCTGTTGTCATTATTTATTGTGTTTGTAATGTACTGTTTACATTGTATGGTGTTGTCTGATGTATTGTGTCTTCTGCTGTATTGTCCCGAGTTATCAGCACGAAAAAGAATTCCAATGTACATGTACCTATGGCAATAAACTCTACTACTCCACATTCAAAATGCTATGTAATGGTAAAAGAATAAAGCTGTGACTGTATGTAAATTTAGATCATTAGCAATGTCTGTATGTTAATTGCAAAGTATTACAATTAACTTTTTTTGCTTTCATTTTTTGCTGTAACTGTATTTCAGCGATTATCTTTTTCCCCTTACCCTGTCTTTGTTGTGGAGAGACAAGGTAGGGAGTACAAAATGGGACATACTATTTGGGACTGTCAGATCTGAAGAGGAGGCATTGTAGGACTACTGGTATGAGTTTTGTTCTTTTTTGGTGTGGTGCAAGGAGACACGCCCGTATATAGGACAATTAAGATTGCTTTGGATTTTATGTACTGTTGTTTAGGCTATTGGAGATGATAGTGTTTATGTTCCTTGGTAAGTTTGTCCCGTATGGATACTTTTTTCTCTTTTATGTTTTATTTGAATAGATAATGCTGTAATGTAGCTGTTAGAGGAATTAAAGAACAGTTATACAGTACATGGTAGCACAGTGGTTAGCTTTTCTGCCTCACATCACTGGGGCCTCGGGTTTGATTACTAGGGTGCTGTCAGGAATTCTGAAAGGGGTGAGTAGTTGGACCCCTGTGTGAAGCCATGAGGAAGGGAGTTCGAGCAAAAGTAAATCCAAGATTCCAAAACCAAGTCGTTGGGCAAGAGCGAAGTCAAAAGTAGGAGAACCATTGTGAGTAATCAAGGAGTCAGGTCAAGAATATTAGAGCGCACAAGAGAAAGCTGTGGAAGACTTCTCAATAGTGACCCTAGGTATTGTAAGCCAGTGAAGAGTGTTTAAATATTAGACATGGTTGGATAATTAGTTCCTGGATGAGTGTGTGTGGAATTTAGTACACATAGGAATGCCAGGGCTCTTATGGGAGAAGGAACAAGTTGTGACAGGTGCTATCTGCATGGAGTTTGTGTGTTTTCCCATGTTCATTTGGGCTTCCTCTGGGTGTTCATAGTCCAAAGACATACTGGTAGGTTAATTGACTTCTTGGAAAATTGGCCTTGCTGTGTGTGTGCATGTGTGTACTGTATGTCATTCAGGGTGTATCCTGCCTACACTCATTGCTTGCTGGAGTCTCCAGCTCCCCCACTATCTTGAATGGGATAAAGTTGTTAGAAAATGGATGGATTTTAAGTAATTAATTAATCAATCCATTTTAAATATTATTTTTTTCACAGTGAAATATAAAATGTTAATATTTAATAAATAAAACAATTGACACAACCTTCAATTAATACAGTGATTGCCTAAAAACCTAAATAAGAAAAAATTGCAATGTTCTTTATGACACTTAAAAGGCTTGCTCAAATGAAACAAAGTTGCGCAGTCCAGTCTATGGTGCATGACTATACATATTTGTGTTACGAGTTCGGTAATAGGGACCGAACTAGTGAGTGAACCCACTTGCAGGAGCGAACAAAGCCAAGTCGTAAACCGAAAGTAAAAAGTAATCGTAGGAACGAGCCGAGAATCCAGGGGGAGCAAGATATCCGAAAGGGAACGTGTACCGAAGCCGAAGTGTGATCCGAAGTCGTAGTCCGTAGAGCAATCCGAGAATCCAGAGGTAGCCAGTTATCCAAGACAGAGCGAAAGTACCAATCCAAGCCGAGATCCGAAAAGCCGAAGTCCAAAGGGAAAAACCGTAAGCCGAAATCCAAGACAAACACAGAGTAGAAGAAGCGCAACCAGGAAGCTCGATAGGGAAAACCAATACTGAGCAACGAGGTAGGGAAGGACAGGTGTTTAAGTAGGATGTGGTGTGGTGTGGTGGTGAATGGGAAAACTGATAGGTGAACTGATGGATAGGGGCTACACCTACTTCTGCCTCTTCCGTTGCCGAGAGGCAGGGATCGTAACAATTTGTACACCATTCCCCAGCCAATAACAAGAGTCTTTCCTTTATATTTACATTAAGTTGATCAACATTAACAAATATGTATTATTAAAATGAATTTCAGTGCAACTATTATGGAATCTTAAATAAACGTGTAATTATTTTATCAGAAATACATCTGTTGAGAATTACCTGGTATAAATGTTATACTGTACATTGGTTTATTTGTCATTGCTGTACATTTATTCTGGTAGAAAAAAAAATTGTTGGGCTAAAGCAACAAATGCAAAAATGCAGAGGCAAAAAGTTCCAAAATCATATCTGATTTACCATAATAATATTTTAATTGCCAATGTAATTGCATTTTATAATAATATTCAATGTAATATATATATATTATAATTAAATACTGTATATAATTTGTATATTGTATAATTTTATAATTGTAATTGTTTTTTTCATTTTTAACTACTTTGTGGTGTAGAATATTTTTTCTATATTTTCCTTTTATAGAAACTAGGTAGATAAGTACAACATATTATGCCATGGAGGAGCCCAGTGAGGTGGTTCTGTTGTCTGGTGATGAGGCCCCCTTGCACCTCCTACTGGAAGTGTACCGAATACGACCCACTGGGAAGAGCCCTCAGGGCTGAGCCAGGACAAGCTGGAGGAATTATAGCTCTCAACCGGCCTGGTGAGTCCCTCAGGAGGAGCTGGAGACGGTTGCTGGGGAAACGGAAGTCTGGTCCGGCCAGCTCAGCCTGTTACCACTGCGACCCTCAGCAGGGGTAAGCAGGTAGAAAATGAGATGAGATTATGTTATTTATGTTCACTAGGGGTCGCTTTGATTCAAAGCAAGCACAGATCTTTTGTTAATCCAAAATATCCATAAATCCTCAGTAAACATACAGTACATCCTGTTTGACTATGTGACATAAACATGACCTTTCTTCTATTTATAAAAAGAGGTATGCACTGAAAGAGTGAATTTGCCCTTTCATTAGGAACAGCAAGGAAATTAATATGCACAATAAGGTTTGTGAAAGATGTTTAGTTTAAAAAAACACATCAACCTTGTATCTAACAATGCTTATGTTAGTTAATGCCCTGTCTTACCTATTAGCCATTAGGGTAATATTTTTTAAAAAGTAAACATTTACAAATACATTTTTCTAAAAACAATCATATGCAAAGTAAAATTAGAATTCATTAAATGAATGGATATTAATGCATTACTTCATTTGCAAGAGTAATTTCATACATTGGGCAGTGCTCATGGCATGATTAAACATAAGTACTATACACTATAATCTCCAAAGTTTAATGTCATAACAGGAATACTTTCAGTGTTTTCAATAAAGTTGTGACAGAAGTTAGTATCATAAAAAAGAACATTCAATGCATACAGTATGTGGAAAGATCATGGGCAAAATTTTAAAAAGTTTTCACTGGATATGGTGAAAGATGTTATAGGAAAATTGGAAGATTTGCTGAAAAATTAAAACAAAGTGAATTTGACTGCTTAGAAATATGTTTTCTTCTCTTTATATATATTATGACAATCAAAAGAGATATTTCACAGCTTGGCTAGTGATTATTTTTATTTCACTTTGTGTTAAGTTTAGATCAATGATTGTTTTTATTTCATTTTGTGAAAAGTGCAGATCACTTCTTTCTGATGGAAGAACTTTGTCCTTCTGACCTTTGATCTTGATTTTTTTTTGCTGAGAGAGTCTATATGATGATAGAAACTGACACACACATCGAAAGCAAAGATAAAAAAGATTTCCTTCCTTACAGGCCAACAATCATGTTGAAAACAATTCCCTTAAACCTTGGGACTTCCTGAAAATGCCATAGCTGTTGGAGGCCTGAAGTTCCAGGCAATCCACAGGCAAAGAAAATCTTGATAATAACTAGTGAACTTCCTGCCATTGTTACATACACTTGAAAAATGCAAAGCTAAGTATTTAAGAATGTCCTTTGGTTTTTTAGACAATTGTTTCTTCGCTGCAGCTACAAAACATTTGCCATGGCACACATGTAACAGAAAATAGAGATCATTCAGTCAAGCTCATTTTTTCAAGTACTGTAGGTGGCTCTGTCAGCATGCGTAGGCTGCAAAGGAACAAGTAAAGGTTTATTCCATGCTGAAAAGAGAAGAAAATAAACACAACGTTTAAGCTCCACAGAAGAAGTCTCCACAGCCATTGTGTTTCTTTTCTTCTCTTTTCAGCATGGAATAAGCTCATTTTGTTTCCTGTCCTTGAACTATTAAAGCACAATTAATTCGGCTGCTGAAACCTCTACAATGTCTAGGTTTAAAGAGAATGTTACTTTCTGTAACATGCTCAGTGCCACTGACTCTTATTATAAAAGTACACACACAAAATTAAGAATCCAATACAGAACCACAGGGGAGTCAGAGCCTATCTGGGCAAGCAACAGGCACAAGGCAGGAGACACACTTGATTGGATGCCAGTCCCTCACAGGGCACACACATACACAAACGTTCACACCAGAGCCAGTTTTTACAGACGCCAATGAAGACACCACCATATCTTCGGACTGTAGGAGGAGACTGGAGTACCCAGAGGAAATGCACACAAACACAGGGGGAAACACTGCACTGCATGCAGAGAGCACCACAGGAAACGTACCCAGAGCCATGACCCACTGCAAGGCAACAATTCTAACCACTGTGCTACTGTGTCTCCTTCTAAATTAATTAGTTAAAAATACAAAATAAAGTGCTAAAACAAGGGAACAACAGGATTTTATAAACCTACTGAAATTTATTGATACAAATTTTAAATCCATTATATCTATGGAAGTTTTTTAAATTATTCTTCTCTTGTTGCACAGGGTCATTTCCAGTAAGCATTAAGCGATAGTTTAGCCACAAAGGAGAAGACTGCTTCACACACAGATAGTATTTGTTATTTGTATTGCATGCGCACAAACCATTACAACCTGACTTGTGAGAAATAGGAAACAGTCAAGAGCCGTGAGATTTTATTCCTTTCACAATCCAAGGCCACTCTGAGGTTGTGGCTTTTACCTTCTATAACCATACCCACAGATTATTTAGCACTTCTCTAAATTACATAGACATGTCATATTTAAATAGACATTATGTTAATCATTTCTTCAGAACCTTAAAGCAGGGCAGATGAATAATTACATTACCACACCATAAAAGTGAAATTTAAAAACAAAATGCATCTTATTGTATATACAAGGTTAAATTGCCCTGCAGGCAAACTCTTTACCACTAGGACATTTTGTGTATTGAATCTGAGGTACAGTTTAAAATTTTAGCTACATAACAAAACCTTTGTAAAGATTCAACATTTGGCTTTATTAGGACTTTAAATGAGTAAACTTCTAAAAGAACCAAATACAATTGATATAAAGTATTATGGAGTACAGTGCTTCACAAAGCCTACAGTATAATGTTTCACTGTGGAATTTCACTGTGGAATGGATTTTATGACATTGAGTTGGGCTGTGTGAGGCCAATTATGCCTCAAATAAACAGTTGGAAAAGGGGAAAATGAAAGCTACCTGGTAAGGTAGCCAGCCAGCAGGTAATTTGGCATTCCAAGACTATTTTGAACCTAGTGTGTTGCAATCTGTTACTAAACTCACTTGAATCAAGTCATATAATTTAATTAAGGGCTCTTGGTAGTATAATTTGTGATGATAGGAAGCATATTACTTCCTGCAGTATACAGGGATTAGCCAGACTGGAAGAGTGTATGGAGTGTACACTCCAATAGAAAGTGCACCTACACTGTAACACTTACTGTATAAGGTAGGCTAGTGAGCTCTCTGTAGGTTTGTCTGCTTGCCCATAACCTCTCTGTATATTGACAGATCTTCTTTCCTCAAGATGAATATAAAACACTTAGACAGTACCTACTTTTACATCAAATATTTTTGTATACTTCTGTCTTTAATAAGAACAATGCATATCAGCAGTAATAAAAAATATCAGCACAAATAAAAAATATCAAGTTTTCTGCAGGGAATCGGATCACAGTATCTTCTATATTTTCCTTTTTTAGGTTTTTTAGTTTGTTCTCTACAAATACTAGTGTGTCCCAGGATATGTTCCATTGTAATTAAGCACATTATTTACACCAATTACGTGCTGTGACTTCAGTGTTGTATAAATACTTGTCATTCCTTGCGGGCTGAAAATGGTAAAAATTGCACCGACTGCTGATTTTTATGGTTTGAACCAGTAATTTATTGTTAACATTGAGATACGTCTGGAGGCTTACAGTACATGTCTTGTAGAAGGGCAGAACTGTCTCTGTAATCATGGAGGTGTCCAATCTCCGGTTTTACAGCAAGACTAAGAAATTGTCAAATATCCTAAATAGTAAGAGGGACAAAATGTAAAACATATAAAATCAGCATATTTAAAAATAAATGAAAGGTGGAATTCTGTACCACTACACTAGTATGAACTCATCTAAAGTATCATATGTTCAGTTTTGATGGAAATACCACAGAAAATCTGTTATAGACTTAGAAGAAGAAGGGCTGTGATATATGGACAAGCTGAGTGAGGTAAATCTCTTCACAGCAGTTTGAAAGGAGATATTATCCAAGTATAAAAAATCCTGAGTGGTAAAGATATGTTCAACCTTAAGGATTGTTACATATCCTCTAGTGAAACAAGAATACATGGTCACAACTGGAAATTTAAGGAGATTAAATTTGGAACTCAAAATAGTAACCATTTCTGTTAAGTATAATTTTATGCAAAAGTTTGGGCACCCCTGGCTAAATTACATGTTTTGTTGATTTTCTAAGTAAAAAGAAGTTAACACAACCTCTGCAGCGAACAAAGTTAAACTTGACATATTTCTGCAAATTGTAATGCACATTTACTATTTATTTGCTACATTTAATAGATTGTAAAAAAAAATACAATAAATGTGCATGTGCAAATTTTGGGCACCCTTCCAGTTGATCCACTAGTGTTATTTTTTTGTAAGGTCTCAGAACTTAATTGACTCGTTAGGCGTTAATCTACAGTAAATCAGGTGATGACAATTCCAGAGCTTCATAAATTCTCTGACTCTTCGAACCTCTTAGGGTGTTGTGCTTACACTCAACAACCATGAGCTCCTCTAAGCAGCTGACTGAGGATCAGAAAATAAAGATAATTGACTCTTACAAAGCAGGGGAAGGCTAAAAAAGGTATCTAAACGCTTCCTGCTTGCAATTTCCACTGTCCGAAATGTCATTAAGAAATGGAAGTTAAGGGGAACTGTTGAAGTCAAGACAAGATCTGGAAAACCAAGAAAAATCTCAGATAGAACTGCTCATAGACTGGTCAGGAATGCAAAGCAAAACCCACATATCACTGCAAAGGACCTGCAGGAAGGTTTAGCTGGCACCGCAGTAGTGGTGCACCGGTCCACTGTGGTGTGTAGCTTGCTTGCACAAACATGATCTGCATGGAAGAGCCATCAGAAGGAAACCTTACCTGCGATCTCATCACAAAAGTCAACATCTGAAGTATGCAACACAACACTTAGATAAGCCAGAGGCGTTTTGGAACAAAGTGCTGTGGTCTGATTAACCAAAAATGTAACTCTTTGGTTACAATCACCAAAGGTATGTTTGGATAAAAAAAGGAGAAGACAACCAAGCAAACAAGCAAGGCGATCTAAGAATATTTCTGGATTAGAAGCATTCTGCAAGAGTGGGAAAAAAATCCTAAAACAAGAATAGAAAGAATGTTAGCTGGCTACAAGAAACGTTTGGAGGCTGTGACTTCTGCCAAAGGGGGTGTTACTAAGTACTGACTGATGGGGTGGCCAAACGTTTGCACATGCCACATTTACTGTTTTATTTTCGTTAAATCTGTTAACTTCAGCAAATAAATAGTAACTGTGCATTAAAATTTGCGGAAATATGTCAAGTTTTATTTTGTTCAATGCAGAGGTTATGTTTACTTCTTTTCACTTAGAAAATCAACAAAATATGTAATTAAGCCAGGGGTGCCCAAACTTTTGCATAAAACTATATGGAACAGGCCTCCCATCAGCTCGTTGAAGCACTTACTCTGGACACCTTTAAGAAATGGCTGAACAAAATGTTAGCACTAAAGTAGCTACTAAACTACAAAACAAGCATGATGGGGTGAATGGCCACTATTGTTTGCAAACCTTTCTTATGTTCATGAGCTAATAACATCTTTTCACAAAACTGAATCTTGTTAATGTTGTCTTCCCAGTTTCCAAGAGTTTAAGTGGGTTTTACTGAGCCTTTTGGTTTTGTGACTTCTCATAAATTTATTTGGCTTTGCTGCCATGATATTATACATCAAATTAGTCTTCTTAAATGAATAAAAATAAAAATAAAACGTTTTTAGTAGACTTTTAAATGTTTTGGATTGTTTACCATAACAATAGTAGATTGTTAACAAAAAATGTACAGCATTGAGTATATAACTAAGTGAATTCTCACAAGGATATAAGGAACATACAGTACCATTCTACAAGTACCAGTACAATATGTACAGAAAAAATATATCAGCACAAGTAGTTTTCTTATTTCTTGTATTATATCCTTTTCTGTCAGGTCTGAATTTAATGTTCTGTAGGTAATTTCAATGCTGTAGCGTTTGTACCTTTCAGAACTTCAGTTTGTGCTCATAGAGAGCCAGCACAAGGAGGCAGCCCCAGCCAAGCAACAGCCCTAAGTTCTGCAACAGGAACATCAGCCAGAGCCGGTCAGTCTTCACATGGCTCATTTCTGGAAGCTGCAATTGAAACAAAAATTGGTGCATACCTGACTTTGTCTTTTTTGGATATAGTTCTGTGCAAGATACTGTACATGCAAAGATAGACAGCAGATTCCCAGTGTCACAAGTGAGCTAGAATTCACTTTCAGAAAGACTCAGAGACTATGAGATGTTTTTTTTTTAAATTAATGAATGGGAATTTTAATTTCTGAAAAAGAGACACCTCAAAATTAGGTAGTACTTTAACAACTGCGTAGTGGACAATCACTAAGTGTAATTACTTAATTGGAATATATAAGATTCTAGAGTGAGAGAACAGAAGCAAGGTAAATGTAAAGCTGCAGAAATTCCTAATTTATTTACAGCCAGGATGCTTGTCCAATTTAACTTTACAAAATTAAACTGAGCTATTAAGATGTTTCTCCCTTTTTAAGCTTCTAATATTATATGCTGTAATTGTTTTCATTGGGCTTTTCTGTAAAGTAATTTCAAATCAATCAGGCAGGTTGACCCAGCAGAAGCTAGGAGAAGAGGATAAATAACGGAGAATGGAGTGAACTCCCCATGATTAGGCATATAATGGGCCAATTCTGCAGTTACGTTGTTACCACAACTTAATGGTCTGATTATTCAAGCAGCTAAAGAGTTCATTCCAGGTTTAGTGCATACTAGTCGAAAATCAAAAACCAACATAAATTTTAGAAGTGTTGGATGATGATGCATCAGTTTTTCAGCTTACCATTTCCACTAAAGACAGGTATAAGAAGATCCCTGCTGTGACTGAAAATATCCACTGTTGCACCTCTGTGTCTGAGGATACGAAGAGTCCAATGTAAAGCCCAATAAAGGCAGTGAGGGCACTGATAAAATTTAATAACATGGCACTTTTCACTGAGAGGCCAGAATTCAGCAGAACTGCAAAGTCACCTGCATTAAGAAAAGCAGACACAGATGCAGGAAGGATGAGTTAATTCTTGATATAAAACAGCAATATTTTATCCATCCTCCCATCCATTTTCTAATACGCTTATCCAGGGTCACAGGGGAAGCAGAAGCCTATCCTGGCAAGCAACAGGCACAAGGCAGGTGACACTCTGGATTGGACTCTAGTCCATTGCAGGGCACACACAGACACAAACACACACACACACACACACACACACACACACACACACACACACACACCATGAGAGGAATCTGGAGCACACGGAGGAAACCAGGGCAAACACAGGGAGAACATACAAATAGAAGCCCAGGAATTGAAGTCAGGGCCCCAGTACTACAATACTAACTAATAATAGTAACCACTAGTAACTAGTAATACCAACTACTGTGCCACTGCTGCCCAGCAGTATTTGATGTTATTTAATAATAATGAAATTATCTGTTGCAGATGGCATTGGTGCACATTATTAAAGGCACTTAATATATAGTATTACTTTCCACACATTATGAAAAGGTGCATTTAAGGTTTCGAGTCTTACATGCTTAAGGACTTAAAGTTCCATTCCTCTACTTGATGGTGATTATTGTGTTCTTCCCTCACCGGTCAACTTCACCATTGAGTGCAATGCTTGTGATTTGGCCATAGTTAAACTCCTGATTAACAAGGAACACTGAAAACCTACCCATTTCATGAGGGATTTCGTGACATAGTATGGCAACGGTTGTTGCCATGCCAGTTTCTGTGGAGGATGAAAACGCTGCCCCAACAACAAGACCATCAGCAAAATTGTGAAGGCTGTCTCCGACTATGACCATGACAGCCAGCAAGGAAACACCCTGCCCTGAAAATACAGTACAAATGAGTTGTAAATTCGAGACAAGAAACAATAATTTGTGCTTTCTGACTAATTCTAAAATATTAATTTGCTCTTTGTGGAATTAGTTATTTACTGTAATTTCTATTACATTACAATTAAACTTAAATTTAGATCATTTTCTTTATAGAATATAATGCTTTCATGCATTAGTCAGTTCCTTACTGTTGTAATAAACCCACTTCATTTTGTAGAGAATTAAATGTAATATCTCACTCTTTGGACTTGTAGGGAGGTGCACTTCAGCATCTTCAGAATGTATTTCTGTACATTCAGAATCTTCAGGAATACCCTGTTTTGGAGTAGCACAACATTATTTAATTGTTTTAGAAATACAGTTTCAGCTTGCAGAATTATCCTGAAGATTCACAATATGGTTGTATAAAGTTGGCAAATTCAAATTTCATTATCTGAAAAGAGAAGTCAGAAGAACTGTACTGTATGTAACCTATACTGCATTCCATACCAACAGGCAATAAAGCTGTACGGTAAGTAATTAAACTATAAATACTCTGTTAGAAAGCTGCCAGGGCTGTGTGATAGCTAGAGGTCAGAGGTTTCTACAAGACATAGGTTATCATACTGCAACTATGCAGTCACAATCCACTAACTTTTGTACCTTTTTTTCTTATCTCTTCCTTACTTTGTCTGTATGGGGACATTGATGACTCAATATAAATGCCTATGAGTATCTTTTTTTAGATTGTGTTTAGTCAAAAAACAAATCTGTTGACATTCTATTTTTTCTAGCATGGAATACTATTAATCATTTTATCTTACAATATACCATGTTTCATTTTCTGATTACAAAACACATTGCTGTTATAAACAGTAATGCTAAAAGCACTACAAACATTATGTGCAATGCTCAAAAACAAATAAAGAACTGTACCTTATATAAGAGGTGCACTCACCAGTTGCATTGTTGATATGGATTTTCCTCTTTGAGATTGGTTATTGCAGTTTGACTCCAAGGGAAGGTCATGGGAATGATTCAAGTGTTCATTTGCAAATGAAGGACTCTATTAGGGAAAAAAAAAACTAACCTTGGTCAATTAAAGATTTATAAGTCTGGTTAATGAGCAATTGTATTGAGTTCAATGTGTAATGGGATTGCTTTGATCGTTTAACTTAAAAGACCCAATTTGCTCTGTAAGAAAACCCTCTGCAAATCGCCCATATAATTCAATATTAACTATAAAGCAGGCAGTGAGAAATGCTAGTTTCTTCAAAATCATTCATGCCGTGACTTGTGTGCCTATCTCAAGAACATAGCCACATATTGAAATTACATATGTATACAAAAACTACAGTTGCCCCAACCCCTTTTTATATCCCAGTGTTGCATAACCATTCATTATTCTTTGCAATCCATTTGACTCCAAGGGCTACACATACATGCATTCTACCCAAGTGCTAAGTCTGTGAATTCTGTTTTGTGCAATGAAGTATAAGTGATCGAGATCCACATAACTCCAAATGGTAAAAGGTAGTTTCATGTCAGTCTGAGGTTGTGCAGTGTGAAATGTGAAGGTCTTATTTTAAAATGCCTTGCAAAATTATTCAGACCCTTCCTATGATGTCCTATGATGTCCATTTGTTGAAATAATAAAAGGATGTATGCATTTTTAAAAAGAACAATCTTAAATAAGGTATAAGCATTCAAACCTTTGGTATTAATTACAACCAAGAGTCTTTTTGGGGAAGTCTCTTCCAACTTTGTACACTGTCTTGATGCATTTGTTGCCTATTTATTCTTGGCAGATTGGCTCAGTTTCTCTCACGTGCCTTGGGGATCGCTTATGAACATCACTTTTCCAGTCTTCCCACAGATTCTTAATAGAATTCAAGGCAGGACTTTGACAGTGCCATTAGAGGATATTGCTCGAAATGCACCACCTGACTAGGAAACTACACAGGAAAAGGTGATTTTATTCTGAAATCAGGTGAAAATCTATGATTGCACACAGACAGAGGCCTATCAACTCATTCAGTTGCACCACTAATTTAGGTCTGGGGTAGCTGAAGCTGGAGGTAAATGGGTGAGGGTACCCTTCTTCAGGAGAACGTGAAATGAATCACAGTCCAGGCTACAGAGGTGAAGTGCTCATCAGGCCTTTACTTCAGCTAAAGTTAAGCCACACCAGCATGAGAGGAAGAAAATGTTTCTCTTTTTCTTTGTTATTTTTTCCTCGCAGAACTCTCTTTATAGCCAAATAACAGAAGTTATAATTCTCGCAGCCCCCCTCATCCAGCAACTGGGAGACTTTCCATCTTGCCTTTCAAAAAACTTGCCATCCATGCATCATGTCAGAATTACAAGGACATATTGTTAACAAAAGAAGTGTTTTAAACAGGAACCATTTCTTACAATCTACAGATGTAATGCTTCGAATCACTACTAGGTTACACAGAAAGTGCAGGTACTGTATAAGATTACAAGTGTTATGATTACGATGATTTAAATATAATCATGGTGTTACACTATATAAAAGATAAAAACAATCCTTCACAGCAAAGGGTTTGAATACTTATGCAATCATGATTTTTTCATTTTGCTTTCATGTTATCTTTTTACTGTGTATATAACAAAATTTAATTACTACGTCAAAGTGTCATGATTGCAAGTTTTAAAGCAACACAATATGAGCATTGGACAAGGATCTGAATACTTTGTAAGGCACTGTACATAATAAAGAAATCCCCACTCTCTCCATGTGCCCAAAGGCTGCAGGACTAAGCTGGTATTCCAGTAGGGAGATGTTTACTGATGCGATGACTGGGAACCTAACTTTTATCAAACCATAATTTATTTAATGCATCAAATATGTGCTATATATTCTTTTAAAGTGTAAAGCTAATAGCATTACAGCAAGCCTGTTGGACTGTTCTTAAAAAAATGCCTGAAGTTCACAAAGTGATCACATCACATTGAAAAGCTAATTTTAAAAATTAAATATTGTCTTAATATGTGATACAACTACAGAATATAAAAACATTCCATTGTCCTGTTTTTAGAGATGTTCTCAGAAAGGTCTTACCTTAGTGTGTCCGGGCATAACCAGAAAAAAAATCTTCTCAATGAGAAAGAACCCGTAGATCCCTCCAATAATCCCCAGAATCTTCCAGAGATAGTCTTTGCCTTCTGTTAAATGGTGATCTTCACTGTGACTGTGAAGGCCCAGAATCTTACAGAAACAGAAGCTTTTAGTGCATGTGCTTTTCATTCTTTGTGATTCCGATGGTATGACCACTGAATGCTAATACTGAAGACATTTCGATTTGATTGAAATACACCAAAATTGTATCATTTCTGATTCTTAAAACACAGAATTCTTCCACTGTACACAAATTCAGCTTCAATATTAAAGGAGGAAATGCATTTTAAAAAAATGCAACAAAAGAACACACACATCCTACAATATACTGTCCTGTCCAGGGAGTATTCTCTCCATGCAATTAGTGTCTCAGTGGTTAGGTGATAGTTCAAGTAAAGTGGCTGATGATGATGGACAGATGATTGCTTATCCTTTAATAGGCTTTATTTCCCCCTTTCTTTCTTTTCTGTTGTCACCTAACACGGTCATCAAGGAGGTATCATAGCTCTTTTTTTATTTACTTCATCAGTTAAGATATGTTCTGAAAATGTTCTTTTTGGACTAATATTATCCTATGCATATTGTAACGCCCTCGCCTGGTGGTGAGGCGGAAGCGCCCCTAGGCACTCGTAGTACCGCTGGGCATGCTGGGAATGGTAGCCCGGCAGCAGAAGCAGCGGGTGCACAGCTTTGCACGGACCCACCTGACACAGGCGGGGGTCCGGCAGAAGCGGTACTACAACCTGCGCTGCAGGGGGCCTGCCTTCCAGCCCGGGGACTCGGTTTGGGTGTACAACCCGCGCCGCCTCAAAGGCCTCAGCCCTAAGCTGGCGCCGTCGTGGGAGGGGCCCGCTGAGGTACTCGGGGTGGTGGGCGAGGTCTGCTACCGTGTCCGGTTGCGAACACGGGGGAGAGTGGTGGTCCTGCACCGAGACCGCCTGGCCCCCTACCGGGCCTGGGAGGAGGAGCCGTGTGGGGAGGCTCTAGAGGAGCAGCCGGGGCTGGAGCCGGCCGATAGTTGGGCGTCCGTGGGTCGCCAGCCGTCACCGCGCCGCAGCAGCTGCTCACGCAGGGTTCCGCAGCAGTTAGCCGAATACGAGTACAGCCTGAGGGGGGTGTTCGATGTCGGCGAGACGCCAGACGCTTCAGGTGGGGGCAGTGTAACGCCCTCGCCTGGTGGTCAGGAGGAAGCGCCCCTAGGCGCCCGTAGTACCGCTGGGCATGCTGGGAGTGGTAGCCGGGGAGAGTCTGAGGGTCAGCACGATGACCAGCGGCTGACCCTACCTGTGTAAATAATGTCCTGGTAGTTCTAGTGCCCTGTGTAGTCCTGTAAAAGTATAGTGTGTTGTTAGGTAATTACCACCCTAAAGATGTGTACGTGTTCTGTCAGTCTCCTCATGTGTGTGTATATCCAGTGTTTGGTTTTGTGTGGTTGTTAACAAATAAAGCTAGCGCTTAGTTGCTTAATTGCGTCTCCACTGTTCTTTAGTTCTGAAAAGAACCTGCAAATGCTACAATATTATCATACATCAGTTAATATCTCTGTGTCACAGGCACAGTTAAAAAGATGTACATTTCTACATGATATACTTTATTTTACGCTATTGCATGTCTGTTTAATGGCTATAGAATATTTATTGAAATCTATTAAACCATTAGTCTACTGTATTATTATAGGTTGTATTCAAAATAAATCATTTCTGTGGTAGGACAGTTTAAGAAAGGGCTGCAGTTACACCTGACCTGTCACAAGAGGCTGCTCTATAGCTTCCAATTCTTGTAAATAACCATATTGAGGTTGGCTGATAGCAAGATATTTCTGATGGATTAAACGTAAATAAAATTTAAAAAGACAGACTCAATCAGTGGATTCTATTTTCTAACCTCTTCTTCCAATTCAGGGTCACAGGGGAGCTGAAGCTAATTCCAGCAAGCAACAGGCACAAGGTGGGATACACCCTGGACAGAACACCAGTACATTGCAGGGAAAACAGACATAAACACATACATGCACATAACAGGGCCAGTTTTACAAGAAGCAGATTAATCTTCCAGTAATCTTGGACTGTGGGAGAAAACCAGAGTATCCAGAGGACACTCACAGTGAAATATAAGGAGAACATAAAACTCCATGTGAGTTTTGTGTAAAAATTTAAGTAGGGGACCCTGGCTGAGGGTAGAGTAACACAGAATGGTCCCAAAACTGTTGTGTGGTAAATTCCAGAGATGCTACCACAGATTTTTTGTCTCTCTTTAGTTTTGTTGGAAACTGAATAAGGAACTGGAACTGGATTAGGATCCTGTTAGCAGCCAGGCCTAAAATTTTGAACTTTGGAAATGAGAAATTAATGAGACAGAAATCAACAATATTACTGAAATGAACCAGGATGCGAGCTGCAATGATAAGAATGATCCTTAAAAGAAAGCCATTGAGGTGGCTGAGAAATTTTGTAATAAGTTGAGGGGATCTTCCTTTGTTGATTATAATTTGCCACATTATCTGAATGGATAAGGACACATTGTTTTATATTGTGCCCCCAAAAAGCAGCAGTGGAAATTAGAAACTGCTCGGAAGTTGAAGAATGATTAGAAGGAGAGATGAAGGTGAACAGCAATGCCTTCTATACAGTAAGTACAGACTTTGATAATAGCTTCCCAGGCAAATGGTAGGGCTGTAATGGAGTAGCCGGCTCAAAGGAGATGCTGAGGCACGTAAAACTGTTGACTTGTGAACTCTTGGTATCATACAAAGAGTTAAGCGTAAAGAGCTAACTGCTATGTTTCTTATGGACTCTGAAATAGAACTGAAAACACATTGTTGACCACTCAATATGTCCATGTGGGCACTATGGAGAGGAAACCAAAAACTCCAACCATTAGAAAATAAAACTCTGGGGGTACCAGTCCAGTGAATTATTGAGTGTGGGCTCCTGTTCCTGACTCCAGCTGTAATGCTGTAACTGAGAAGATGCTGCACTGACCCAGAAGCAGCAGTTGATTGGAGATACCTATAGAAACATTAGGTGAAGAGAAAGCAGAACTGGGGCTGAGAATGTGGCATTAATAGCTGCACAGGACGAGAGAAATGGATCTCGAATGGATAAAGGGATATTATCCATAGCACTACTGCTGACCGAGTCAGAGGTAGGACTCCGGACAGACTCTGGGGCAAGAAGGTGGCATCAGTAACAGCAGAGGACAAGAATAATGAACCCGGAGCCGAATTGGATGCCGGGGATAGAGACACGAACAAGACAGGGAGACGAGATGCGACTGAGCTTGAGGTAGGACAACGAACAAGGAACAAGCATAGGAAGAATGCAGATCGGATGGTCCTGTGATTTGCAGTTACAGTGGCTCAGAGGGTCTTCTGTCCTGCTGTGTGATGAGTGACAGCATTACCAGATGTGCAAGCATGTTGGTTAGCCATGGTTTGTGAGCTTCAGGCTGGCTAAGGTTGAAAAGCAAGTAAATGAGATACTGTAGCAAGGCAGCAGATGAAATGCTTGCAGATACATGGAGATTGAGGGGAGCCACAGTTCCTGGCTGAGATCAGACTATGCTTCAGAGAAGCAAATGTGAATATTCATTGAAAAGTCGAGACAGCAAGACAGCAATACAACAAGATGAGGTTGTAGTATGGTCCATGCAAAAAGACATATGCAAGAGAGAGAAGGGGATCACATATGATATTTATAGCATTTTAGGAGAGGAAAAGTAAGGAGTAAGGAGTGATTGCTAATGACTGACAGCCGAGACTGATTGAACCTGGTTGTTGTTATCCCTCTCAATCTTTTGTTACAAACTCCATTTAAGAAGAAATTTCAATAAACAAACTCAGGGATCCTGAATAATCCAGTGAAGTCTATTTCTGGTGTGAAGCTGTTCCCTGTGGTGCAGACTTAAATGTCTCTACCATGGCAACTGCCTACAACTAGAATGGCACAACCCATGGTACAAAATTGATCAAATGGCACTTGGGTTTGAGCCAAAGCATCCTCAGGCTTTGATACCACAGTGATCCATGTAGCTTTCCAAATATCTACTGGGTTGCTATGGAGTAACTGCTTCCAGTGTTAATGACATTAGTCCTCTGTTCAGTTAACTTTTCTGTAGATGCTCAGGGGAATCATAGTGTGAAAAATGTTAGATGGCTACTCACTTCACATGTTCAGAGACTAATACACATTCTGACCATCATTCCTATGGTGTTACAGGGATTTTGTTGAACTGACTTAATTGTCACTTCCAAATTGTTGGTATAAAAATACGTAGCAAATCCAAATAAAAAAGTGTATATGTACATTTTCTTTAGTTCAATAGTTAGGAATTTAAAATGTCCACACAAAAAGATTTAAATGACACATACTGTATGTGGTTCCACCATGTCTTCCGTGCAGTATGTCTTCTCAGCTTTTTACAATGAGTTCAGCCTGAAGGCCATATATTGTGGTGGCAAAAGCCACAAGTGTTGTCTTTTGCCAAATATCCTTATCAAACAATGGTGAATGTCTTAGTCAAGTAGGACTTTGATTTTCATTTAATATATCAATGTTGATATTCTATGTAAATCATTATGAAACATGAATTTATTTCATTTTTTAAAATAAATTTTTACTCATGTTTACAAAGAGGCTAATACCATTTTAAATAAGAAAAGTTATGTATTTGAGAGGAAAGCCACCTTTGGACTTATGTACTTATGTACTGTAGGTGACTGTTGTTTTTCATACAAGTAACAAAATAACAATTTGTAATCAGTGATTGTTGTACCTTCGAAAAGCATTTAAAATTTGTATTATTAATTAATTTGGGTTGTATTAATAATTATAACATTTTATAGTGAAGTAAGACATATATCTATCCCGCACATATCCAGCACTACAACATTAATACTGAACCATATTGTAGAAGTCATTAGAGTGATTGCCGAGATCTGCTAGCTTTGGCTGCCTCAAAATATTTGTTAGAGCAAATTAAAGGTGACATTTACAGTACCAACAGCTGCAACAACACATGCCTTGCTACAAGTGTTGAAAGGGGAGGAAATAACACACCATAAACAAGACAAAACACTTAAAGTGTCAAATCAACCTTTGCTACAGTACATGACAAACCACCTTTTGTTACATTGTCAAAGAATGAAGTAGTAACTTTTGTTTCTGAGCCTGTGTACTGTATATAAGAGGTGGGGAACCCCTTGCAGTGTCTGTTCTGTGGGGCAAACCCAACACATGTTGCTGTAGTTATTGAGCTCAATAAAACTGAATCTGCACAAGACTGTGTCCTGCTCCTTTAATGAAGAATTCAACAGTTATATAGAACATGTTAAGGGCTCATTAGGCAATATTAATTCCAGCAGTGACTCATTTCTCCCTACTGAAGTGTATTAAGGTCATTGTGCTTTTGCATACAGTATGTACTGTATAATTAAACCTGACAAAAGACACATTAGGGATCATAGTGGTACAGTGGTTTGCATGGCTGCCTTGCAGAGCTGGGGTCCTGGGTTCAATTTTGGACCTCGGGTGCTATCTGCTAGGAGTGTGCATGTTCTCCCTGTGTTCGCAGTATGTGGGTATCCTCTGGGTGCTCTGATTCCTCCAATCCACCAAAAATACTGGTAGGTTAATTGGCTCCTGAGAAATTGGTCCTAGGTGTGAGTGTTTGTGCCTTTGTGTTCCCTGTGATTGACCTGTCCTGTCTAAATTGTACTCTGTCTTGGGATAGGCTCCAGCTCCCCTGTGACTCTGAACTGTATGAAGTGATTATAAATTGAATGTTATGAAAAAGAAACAGCTATAATTATCTATTAGCTTAGTATTATTAAAGGAAAATACAGTACTAGAGTGATTTTTTTTTAAAGTTTAATCCAGCATAATTAAATTATTATATCGATTAGAGCCTCTTATTTAAAAAAGGGATATCAACATTAACATGTTTAAAACAGCTATATAAAGGGATAGGAGGGACGTTGAGGAAGTAACAAAGAGGGTAATGGAATTTGAGGTGGAAGGTAACAGAGGAAGAGGCAGCCCTAGAAAGAGATGGATAGATTGTGTGAGAAAAGATATGGAGGTATGTGAAGTGAGTGAAGAAGATGTGCTCGACAGAGACAAGTGGAGAAGAGGAACCAAAGCAGCTGACCCCAGGACAGTCTGGGACTAAGGCTGTGAAAAAGAAGAAGAAGAAGAAGAAGAAGAAGAAGAAGAAGAAGAAGAAGAAGAAGAAGAAGAAGAAGAAGAAGAAAGGGATTACTCATGTGTTTGCACATTAGTCTATCTAGATATCAGACCAATCTGAATATAGATCAGATAGCTAGACCATTCATCAGGATGGAAATTTCTAGAAGATATAAAGTCGTGTGAGAAATATAAGACAGACAGAAAAGAACAATAAAGAGTGCGAGAAGAATACAGCAGGAGAGGCAAAATCAAATGAAATCAAACCCAAGCCCTAACATGTAAATGGCTAGAATTCTACCACTGAGCCATCTCTGATTTGCATTTCCTTTTGCATTTCTGAATGGCTCCATCTATAATAAATAGAGTGCTTTAGTAAATATCATTGACACCATCCCAGATTTGAGTATCTCTTACCTGTGGTATAAGATGAAGAAGTGCATCACCTGAAAGGGTCCCAACAGCCAGGCCAACAAAAAGTTGTAACACCAGGGTATATGTCTCTTGACAGGAGTGGAAAAAGATCAAAGCAATGCCAAGCATTGAACCAATTGTAATGATCAAGATAGCCACTGTGCTGTAGCCATATTCTGCAAAGGAAAAAGTTCAGCAGCATCATAATATGACTTTTACAATACCTAAATACAATCAAAAGAATGTATCGCTCCATATATACAGTATATGATTTATGGAATAGTAAAAGTTTATGGAATAGATATTGATTCAATGTTTGTATGTATGACTTACTCATGTGACATTGTTGCTTGAGCACTAAATCACCTTCTAATAGAGAGGAACAGTTACTCTACTACAGTACTACAATACAGCAGTAGTACTCCTAATTTGGCAAAGACTATTGCATATACAATATGTCAATGACAGTTCACAAGGTGGAAGACCATGTCATGACACCTTGACAAGGCTGTTGAGGAGGTCCAAGTATGATGGTCTGAAATACATAGCAATACATTGTTTAGTTCCTAGAATGTCACTTTGTGCCCTTCCTACAATCTTGTTCTTGTGTTTTTCAGCAGGACAGTACATGTCCTCATGATGTTTCTTTTTACCGTCTTTTTGTTCATTTGTCCTAGTTTCCAGACTTAAGCCTCATTAAATTGTGAGATGATATTAGATGAAACATCATCTATGGGCTCAGAGACATGTGAACAGGTACACTACATGCTTGTGTAGATTCTACGATAGGAATGGAGAAGAATCCCAAGAGGCCAACCTTCTTAACCTTTTTCGAAAAAGAGTTCAAGATTAACCTGCATTGCTTCCAATGGTTGCCACTATGCTAAAAGCATGTGACTTTTACAGTACATCCCAATTTGAACAACCGTTTTGGAGATAAACCTGATCATACTGTACCTACTGCATGTCATTTGTAGTTTATAGTCTTCCTGCTACAAACAGATTTAATAAGTCTCTTGAATTCCTTTTTGCTAATTAAATTATCCATTTACTTTACTATTTTCTTATTTAGTAGAGCTAATGTATATATAGTATAAGACAATGTATTAATTATTTCTATTTTGGTGATCCTCTTTGCAAACCACAAAAATGTTGTAATAGCTGTAAAAGAACAAAATGTAGCACACAACTAGCATATTCCAACATATTTGTTCTCTGTTGCCAATGTAATTAACTTTATTTTAAAAGGCCTGTTTAATTAAGCATAAAACATTACCTCACTATTTTACAAGTAGTCCCATGCACATTACTAACCTGTTTTTCCTACCAGCAGTGAACATCTGTATAATAACTGAATTCAAAATCTCAGGTTTTATCAAATGTTTTTCTATTTACATAATAATTCAGTTGTTTTTCTTAATGATGATTCATTCTGGCTTTCCATGGTTAACTACTCCTTTAGCCAGCTAAAAGTACAGTATTTGGTGTACTTCTCTTTTTTAAATAACTGAATAGTTTTAAAACAAGAAATACAAATAATTAGTGATAAGAATTACTGTATATAATCTGTATTCCTTAATAAATACAATTATGCTAACAGTATCTATTAGCTCTTGCTTGTATTCAGATGTATTTACGGATCTTTAAGTCTCGTATAAAATGTTAGATGTACAGTACATACTGTACTATATTGCAAAATAAAATTACAACACTGGGAGCAATCTAAAACTTTTGTTGAATATTGTTTCTTTCTTTGGCACGTAACCAAGCCTGTAAATTAGTAATGCAGTTCCTCTTTGGATCAAACTATTAACTACTATGCATTTATTTGTTTTATCATTGACATATATTAAATGTATTTATTAAAAAACTATTTCTGGAACAATTAATACAACAATTATAATTTTTAAAGTTTATTTTGCATCGTGTACCTTGTTATAACCATAAAAATTATGTCAATTGGAAGTCACAGATAATAAGAAAAAAATCTCAATTAGTAGGAATAAATTACACACAGTACAATAGTCATGTACTATACATATGTCTTCAGCTAAATTTTTAAAATAGTCACTGACTCAGAATTACTAATAGACTGAAACAAGGAGTTCCAAATCCTTGGCATATACTGAGAAAGCTCTAATGTCGTATCAAGTGTTGTTTCTAGGATGAAGAGAAAATCATCCTGAACAAAGAAATCTGCCCAATAGCACTAACTAAAATCCAAATAATCTCAGATTGGAGAGTTGTTTTTATTGAGCCCTAACTCTTTTTCCATTGTAGTGGCAAGACAATTAAAGTACAGGAATTAAGTTTGCTGCTCCCTTGCTAGTCTCTCTCTCCTTCATCTCAGTGGTGCTTGATACAGAGAGGCCATTCCATTTGGTTCACAATTAAGGTGTTTTTCTAGCTGATAGAGTGTCCTGATAAGGAACAACTCCCAAGGCTGAGACACATCAACCACCCTAACAAATGGTCATCTCTGGCACCTCACTGTCTGGGAGATTCCAAGTGAGTCTTATTCAAAGTTGTTTACAACTCTAAGGTCAGAGTGCATTGTTACTCATCATAAAGCCAATCAGGAACTGGTAGGGCAGGTTAACCCCACGTAGGTCTCGGATGCCCATGAAACTTTCAACCAATGTTGTTGTAATGTTTGTTAATAATGTTTCTTTATTAGCCCTATACAATTTCTTGTATTAGGAATGCGTCTTTTCACATACCCCAGCTTTTCTCCAGGGAGACACAGACACAGAGACAGGGAGAGAAGCTTGGGGTCAGAGCGCAGGGTCTGCCATTGCACGGCGCCCCTGGAGCAGTTGGGGTCCAACGGAGTAGGATTCCTCTGCCGGCCGCGGGATTTGAACCGGCAACCTTCCGGTCACAGGCGCAGATCCTTAGCCACAGAGCCACCGCTCCGGGACGACCGCAGTTCCTCCAGGTAAAACAGGCAGGGCTCCTCAGGGGGCCTCCTGGAAATTTCTCACTCAGCTCATCCTGGAAATCCTCAGACTCAGCCGGAACCACCACGTAACGGCCAGTGTGTCCGAGTGCAGGACTTTGCTCTAAGAGTCGAGAACAGAGGTTGCCAGCGTGTAACCAAAGAATCCACCCGAGGTTAGCCAAGCCTCGTGAAACCATCGCGAAAGCTCACCTGATCAACAAGTGAACTACGGTCGGAGCTGTGGACAGCTGAATATAAGTATTCAGAACTAGCGCTTCATTAGGAACGAACCGGTCTTCTTCGTGCCTAAAGAGAGTGACCTGCTGAGACCCGCAGTCACTTTTCTTCTGTGCACAAACTCGCCAGAACTAACTAGCTGGTCTTCAAAGAGCATCAGCAGCGCATCGCACCGAGCCAGAGAGCGCCGATTGGACACAGCAACAAGCCTGCTGATCTGAATCCACAGAGATTGGATGAGTATTCAACCTTCTGCATTACAGCTCGAGAATTCAATTGTTACCTCAACCCCAGTTGATATCAATTTAATTCCTATGAGTGATGTACTTGCTTTTGAGTATCTAGTGTAGAAAGTGTAATCCAAGTTAATTTACGAAACGGTCTATATGAATAATATACTGAACATATGTCCCTCTTGGTATTTGTAACTCTTCGTGATTGAATATATACCTTTTGTATTCTCCTACCCTCACGATAAGATCTGTTATGTTCATATGCACATTTTATGTGTTAATAAATGTATTCTAGTGTATTAGTTCCCGTGTGTGTGCATTGTTTGAGGTATCCCCCAAGGTTGATTCTAATAGCCATCAAAATAATCATTTTGTGACTTACTGCTACAATTAATAATTGTCCCAGTAAATGCACAAATTCCTACATTTACTGGTGCCTTGTGAGAGGATGCCTACACCATCTTTACAGAACAGCAACTTACTTTCAATGGCACTTGGAGGAGAGCTTCTTTGGTTTAGTTCCCTAGTACCACAAGCATTGCCCAACAACTGCTGGATGATTGCTGGACAGATGTTGTTGAAGAGTTCTTTAGAGATCTGAGAATGGTGGTCTAGCATGAAAATCTCTACGAGCTGAGTGGCAGAGAAACACATCTGTTAAAAAAGAAGTGTTACATTAATTTCACAACTTTACGTAATTCGGTATACTGTACCTGTACTGCTTGTAAATCATTTTTATTTTATTTATTTTGAATCTTAACCATATACAAAGATGAGTATGTGTGAAATGTTTTTCTATAGATGAACAGGAGCAATGAGATTTTTTTCTTTCTGTTGAGAAATTCAATAGGAATTTCGATACTCTACACTGTTTTTTATGTGCCTCAGTTCTCTTGTCTAATAATCCTTCATATACTTCATATTACTTTACATTGTGAAATGTCTGGTAACATTCTGCCTTGAGTTTCATAAAGAAGTAGTTCAATAGTTATTTAATTGACTAGGGTACTGATGTTGTATAATACACAAATCATTGAGTAAACATACATGAACATACATGACAGTTTTAACCTTTTGCTGCAGTACAAAAAGTGTTCAACAACAAATCCTCTCCAGACAATTTTAGAAAGATGTGTATATGCAAAGATATCATTTTGATTATTTAATCCATGTTTACTGTATACTGTATTCTGGTAGACATGTGCCTTTTTAATTAAAGTCTAAGATAAGAAGATAGGAAATGAAGTGAATCTGATTTCACTGCTGCCGTTTTGCAGTACAAAGCCAAAGCATTATTGTTATACTGTACATCCATTAACATGTTATGTATATATTAAATAATATAAGTACTGTATTTTAATACAATTAATAAATAATATGATTATATAAATGATTGATTTATGAATTAATATTCTCTTAATTAATCATGCTCATACATTTTATAAATCTTACTTTCAGTTTATTTGTAAGGTGTAAGATGCTTACTGTATGTGACACGTGCTTGCTGACATTAGGATTTTGCTGTTAGAAATACAGTTCTGTGCTTTAACAAATCAGGATTTCATTCAGATCAGAACATTAGAAAGGAGTCCATTCTTCCCTTCTAGCTCTTTGGTGGTATGGTGGTATATACCATGGGATGGGTTGAGTGCCGTCGAGTCAGTGTCGACTCATGGTGACCATATGGCCAGTTCCACCATCAATATCAATAGAGTTTTTTTCACAAGATACGGAAGTAGGCCTTTCTTCCACGCAGATAGTGCTAGTGTTGCCGTTGTCACAGAAACATGATCCTCCCTCACCAACACCGCCCCATAGTGCTGCTGCCCAGTATGGGTTATTAGAGAACCTTGTGCCCGATTTGGGACACTAACCCACTACCCTGAGATTATGAGACTCATGCTCTACCAACAGAACTAGTTGGGGCGTGGTATGTACTATATCAAACAGCAAACCACATTTAAAGAAAACAATACAACAGCATCAGCCTACAGAAAGCTTTTTTTGTTTTCATCACCTGTGCCCAGTCCTTATTTTGCTCTTGAATATCTTCAGGACAACTTGCTTGTTGGTGTGTTTCAACATGCATATTTTCAAAGCTCCTGGGAAGCCTGGAAGCAGCAGCTCTTCTGCTCATTTCACCAGGGTTATGGATTCCTCCAACACCCAACTTATGCAACAGAACTTCCAGATCTAGAGTGGTGATCAAAAAAAGTACTGACAGGCTATGCATCTCACATACTGTAGGTGAGTGGCTGTTATACATGTATATACAGTAATAAATTCTTAAACAAAACCAAAGGTTCTAGAGTTCCCCATCACAAATCAGTCTTTAAACTGACAAAACCACAGCATACCATATGACAACAAACTCACATCACATAGCAAAATAAAACTAACACTGTTAATTTAGCAATTCAGTTCCTGGGGTGCTATCTGCGTGGAGTTTGCATGTACTCCCTGGGTTCAAGTGGGTTTTCTCTGGATGCTCCGGTTTCCTCCTGCAGTCCAAAGAAATGCTGGTAGGTTAATTGGTTTTTCTGTAACATTGGCTGTGGGTGTACTGTATTTTTTGTGTGTGTGTGCCCTGTGATGTGATGGGCTAGTGTCCCATCCAGGGTGCATCCTGGGAGGCTGTGGCTCTCCCGCAATGCTATACAGCATAAGTGAATTAGAAATTGATGGATGTAACTAACAATTCAGAAGCAATTATTTGGAGAATAAAGACATTTTTTCTCTCATTTCATTTTAAGAATGATTTCAAAAGTGAGACATGACAGTCCTCATTTAGTGAAATAGTTCTAATATTTAGGAGTTTTTTTTGTTTTGTACTGACAATGAGGGCTGCAGCAGTGACCTTGGCTGTTGTTTCCCTTAACTACTCAGTTCAATTCTGTGTTTGTTCACGTGTCTTAGATTGCATTTTACATAGTGTTTAAGAATTTGGGTGCTTACTGTTTTATTATTGTGGTGTAATTGCACATATTTTTCCTTTTTCCATATGATCACATGCCGTCTGTTTGACGGAAAAGCTGGAAAATATCACTTCTTTTCTGCTTGTTATAGAAATGTTTTGACTGACATAAGTCCATCTCCCATTGAGAGGGCTGTCCTTCACTAATGGGTTTTTCTTTAAATGAGGACAATTGTGGCAGGTGGCAGACCACACAGCAGGAGAGAGGAATGGGGGAACCTGTTAACAGTGCCACAATCTAAAACACATGGAGTTGATAAGATTATAGTAATGAACTACATGTGTGCCAGACCTATAAAATAGCCACACTTTTGCTGTGAAAGAAAAGTTTTGACTGAGAAGCATGATAAAAACAGACTTTAGTTTAGTTGGAGATAAAATAACGAGAAGGTTTAGGTTTTTTTGTATAGTATAGTAGAAGCCTCTGCAATGTTCTGAATGGGCAGTCCGGAGCACTTGTTGAGCAAACCTGTGAGACTCTTCTCTTTGTTTGTTAGTTTGTTTTACTTGTAGTAAATCAGATAAACTGTTAATAATTACATTAAAAGTACCAGTTTGTGGTTTTTAACTTCTGACTCTGCCCAAGTCTCTAGCTTGTGAGGGTAAAAAACGAGTGAGACACCACAAACAAAATGCTACCAAGACTACCAACGTCATGTTTCAGAAAATATGAGGCCTGCATTCATCCATCAACGGAGCTCCATTGTTTAGATTTTGAACTAAATCTTACTTTTGATAAGAACAAAAAAATTCAAATCAATTTAGATCATGATGATCACATACTGTATACTGATCTATCAGGATACGAGTTTGCTGTTTTTCAGTTTTTAAACACTATCACTTATCATCAAAGATGATAAATATCACAATAAATAGTTTTAGCAAAGATGCTAAAAATAATTCTTTTCAAGTGTGTGGTATTGCTTAGCATTAATAAACTGTGCTTATCATCAGTCTATACATCTAATGCTTTTTCCACAGTAAATTGTGTCTTGTGTTGACAATGGTTCTTTCTCCCTCTTCAATTTTACTACAGTAAATTACCTTTACATTACCTTCAAGATCCCATGGCACTGTTTGTAAGATTAGGGAATGGTACCCTAATACGGCGTTGTAGGGGAGCCAGAGCCTATCCTGGCATACAAGGTGCAAAGCAGGATACACCCTAAATGGGACACCAGTCCATCGCACCACACACACAGACACAAACATGCACATGTGCACACCAGGGCAATTTTTTTCCAACCAATTAATCCACCAGTATGTTTTTGGACTGTAGAAGGAAACCAGACCACCCAGAGAAAACCCATGCAAACAGTAGCAGAACGTACACAAATGTATGCAGATAGCACCCCAGGAACTGAACCCAGGCCCCAGCACTGCAAAGCAGCAATACTCACCACTACACCACTGTGATGCCCAGCCTAGCTGCACTTCCTCCTTAAAGTAACCAGTGAAGTCATTTCTCATTTATTTCTCATTGCAGTGCAGAGGGACTGCTGGCACATAATGGCTGCCAACAATCACTGAGATGTGTATTGCATTTCAGTAGTGGATTAAAGGGAACACATCACATGTGTAAAGATTTCTGGGATATATCGGGATGATACAATTGCAATACATTATTACTTATTTATAATTAGAATACATCAATTGCACATGTTGCATACAGGATTCAGTCAGCAACAACAACATCCCCCACAAATGAGGGAAGCTGCTTACCTGTGGTGCTGATGTCACTGGTGCGGTTCAGAGAGTGGAATATGTAGCCGGTGAAGAATGCGGGAGAGGGGAAATTCCGCTTCCGGAAGCATTGTCCTCTGAGAGTGTAAGTTATAATTGCTGCACAGAGTTTTGGGACCATTTTGAAATCTGCTCCTTGAATATCCACAATGTTTAGTTCTTCCATTAATGTTGAAGTGTCTATGCACTTGAACACATCAAAGGAGAAATTTCCAAGTTAAATAAAATAAAGTGTAATCCCTTAATATGTAATGTTAATTTATTTAATTCCAATAAATAAGCATTGCTTCAACACTTTCAGCTAAACTTGAGATCTTGTAGACACAAAGTTAATCTCAATGCAAGGACAGAGTTCTTTAGTGAAATATGTTAGCTCTTTGTTAGCTATGAGTGATAAAAAAAGTTTTTAAATGTGTCACATTTTTATTTTTAGCATGTTTAAAAGCAAATTTATGCACACATATTGCATCATGTGTCTGTTAATATTTTGATAGCTACTGTATATGCAGAAAGTCTGTTATTTTCTCATTTTTCATTGAATTTCCAAGTTTGTAATGTAATATAAAACTGTCAGCTATTCCTATAAATTAAAACATTTCCAAAACTACAAAAAAAATACAGTTTCTATAAATAGCAATTTATCTAAAAATTAAAACTCACATGACTCGATGTTGAGAGCCGGTAGTGCTGACTGATAAGCTGCAGGATGGTCTCAGTTTCATTTTGGGAAAGGAACTGATTGTCATCTTGGTGGTTTATATTCAAGACCGCAAAGAGGTAGTAGTGATAGTCTTGAGAACTGGTGGAGATGTTGGATGTGCACAGATCTCTCATGTTAATGACATAATACAGAAGAACTGTTGAAATCATTTGAAAATCTTCTTCGGTGAGATAGTCCTTGGCCTCATCATTCAGCACAGACAACAGCACATCTGCTGCAAGGCACTGAAATTAGACAACGTAATGACAGCAGAACCTGGACCTCACATTCAAACAAACAGAGAATTAACATTTTAATTAGTTATAATTAACAAATTAATATATAGATGTAAGCATGACAAAACTATGTACTATGTATGTTCTGAGTCTACAGAAATATTACCCTTTCAATTTCTTTTTCATGAATAATACAACGTTGAACCTAAGGTAACAATATATTTAGTGGATCGATGCTTTTTTTTGTCACAAACAGCATGGGGATTTAAATCCAGAAAATACCCATGCAGAGACGCTAACTCTGAGGTTGTTGATAATTTTGATAACAAAAGAATAAGATTAACAACTAGTACAAGTTATCAGAAAACAACAACAAAAAATAAAGCCCAAGTGATTTAAACAAAACAGAAAAGTAGACAAAATATAAATGAAAACTGCTGGAAGCCAGACAGAGGTTTATCTAATAGCATTCTTTATTTTCCAGCTGGTGTCAAACTTATTATTCTTCAATTAATTTTATGTTGTCCTATACAGTATGCATGTGAATCTCAATTCCACTTCAGCCAAAAGGCACATTGGACTACAGTGGAAGATGCCATGGTTGAGGACCAAAATATGGGAGCAACCAATGAACAGTGGCAGTAAATAGTATTTACACCCTAGAGCCAGGTGTTATCAGCACCGTGTTCCACTACATTCCCAGCTCCCTGCAAAAGCTTACTGAGGTGTCTCATGTTCAGCCATATACATGAACTCCAATTGAATTAGTTTGGCGTGACAAAATGAACAAATAATAGTGTTGGCTTCTTTCAGAACTTTTTGAAATTTTAGGACATGCATGTCTGTCCTCTAAATACATACATTTATTCCAGAGCTAATGAAAGTGAGGCGATGTCATGAAAACGGAAAAAAAGCTGCAGGACTATGACACCTTTCTGTGCATTTCATCTCTCTCTCTCTGCATTTATCACCAGATTACTCTTGTTTATATGTCCAAAATCCCCATGACTATGATTGTCACTTTAAGAAGAACGGTGTGGAAAATATTTTCTTCACTGTCCATGTAACCTGTGACAGTAAGAATTGAAACAAAAATGTGCAACATTACAGAACATATTTACTAAGCAAATACTTTTTTTCTTTCTACGCTTTTTAATCAGATATTCTATATTTCTCTTATCAGTTTAAAATACTCTTCTGTCCTCCAGTAATAAAATTATCCTTTATTTTCAGAAGTTATTTTTCTTGCTGACTGTAGGCCGCCCCTTGTTTGGCGTGAAGCCTGGCATTTGATCACGTGTGTGACTTTTTACCTTGCATGCCAAAGTACTAGCTTTGTGCATTTCTGAATATGTGCAGTTTGTTCATTGGAATTTTAAGAGCTAGTTATTGAGAAGGCTTTTTAAGTGGGTGTAAATACATTTTGTTTCCAAAGATCTTATTCAGAATGCCTACTGTGGGAACCAGAGCAAGGCTAGGAACTACAAAAACAGGGGTAAAATATTATATACACTTAAAATCCAATTACTTCCAATGTGTATTCAAGCATCTAAGTGTTCTGAAAATAAGGTACTATGTTTCCAGAGACAATTCCCCTTTCCCACCTTGAAATGCATTCAAAAGAAGGTTGACTTCTAATCTCGCCTGCTTCCACTCTCCGGTGTATAAATATCTTGCCTTCATAGCACAGCTTTGTGAATCCTTCCCTCCATCCAATTTTCACCCTTGCAGCAGCTGTTTGGTTCATTCCTGACCAAATTAGGTCGTTATAGGAAAGTAACTATATGTCAGTTTTGTTCCCTACAGTCAGGCTGCTGTTTCCTTAGTCACCTAGAATACCCCAATTCAACATCCAGTACTTACCAAATTACTAACTGTTGCATTATATTGTATTTAATGTATTAACATATAAAAAGGCAAATCTGCAAGCCTCCAGTCTATTTTATTTCTGTACTACATAGTGTACTGCATACTCCTAATGCAGAGAAAACAACAAGTACCATCTACTATTGTGGGTATGCAAAATAAGAGAATGTATGCAGGAGACTTCAATATTGATTTTCATTACAGTCCCCCATGAAGTCACTTTTCTGGATCCATTTCTCTTTCAAATCTCTTCAGACTGCCATCCAGCCAAGTCTCAGGAGATACCTCAAATTAGTATAATACTCCTTTGTAATATTTTGTATGGATAGTGTCATGATCGTCATCCCTCCTCTTAAGGGCGCTCTGACCCTTTCTTATTTTAGTTTATGTGCACCTGCCCCCAGTTTGCCCCCTGTTATTATTTAAGCCGGGCGCTCCCGCTATTCTTGGCTCAGCATTGGAAGATGGACTCCATAAGGCATGCCTATTCCCCGGGCTCACTGGTAGCCCGAGGGCTGGTCTCATTCCCCGGTGTCCTGACCTGTCTGAGTCCCAGGCTCAGAGAGCTTGGTCTCGATATCTTATTTTTAACTCCCTGCTCCTGTTCTGGATCCAGTTCCAGACTTTAACAATGTCTGTCTTGGATGGTTCTCCCGGCACCTGGATCCTCGACTGTGCCCCAGTCTCCCTTTATGGACTGTTTGGACTTGTTCTCCTGCACCATGCCCCCGAGCACTGGATTAATGTCATCACGCCCCCCTATCTGTCATCCTGTCCTGATCCTCATCGTGTTTTCCCTGTCATCCTCTTCCAGTTACTTCCGGATTATACCATCTGCATAGGGTCCTAAACTACGCACTTCACGGGAGCCAGGACCCCCACCCATGACAAGTGGTACCTCAAAGGATGAAGCCAAAAGGCCAGTGTTGCTATACTGTATATCCAAATATCCAGTACATATTTATTTGGAAGGAAGTGTAGTGTTGATTCTTTTGAGTCTGGTTCTATTTACCCTACTTATGACTTTTAATAGCTTGCTCCATTCCTCACATCTCCAATATTTTTACCATTACATCCATAAATTCAATTGTTGAATCAATCAGCTGATGGAAATCTTGATCCAGTGTTAGAGAGATTTTCTTACTTTTACCCAAAATCACAACATGGTCCATGAGTGATAGAGCCTTTTGTGTCGAATGCACCTAGACTGTGAAATGTTCTTCCAAAAAGGGGATCCAACTCAATAGTTAATTTTAAATCTTGCCTCAAAACCTATTTGTTAAAATTGGCTTACAATAATACTGTACCAATATGAGGGAATCTACATCCCTGAGTGGACTGTGCAGCTGAGGTACCCCTATGAAAACTGTATTGAAGGCAGCTATTTTGGCTCATGTGGAAATAGTAGACACTAAAATGAGTAGCCAGAAAAGAAGAGTAGTCATCTGAAAGTCCAATAATTGAGTACAGGCGTTGGTATGGATAATTCAGGCCCTGCTAATAAATATATACAGTATAAATACTGTATATACTAATAAATACAGAGCAGGGTGGTATTTTAAGGAGAAACAATGTACAACGACAGAGGTATTTTCACAGACATTTGAAAATACAGAACAAAGACATGTTCTGTGTTATCTGACAGTGTTGTTTATATAGAACAGGATTTCACTCTACCCTGTAGCATAGGGGAAAAAACACCCTAAAGTCAATGTATAGACAGGACTCCAACCTTTCAATTTGCTATTTTGATTTTGGTTAAATGACACAACATTCTGAAAACTAAAATAAGTTTAGTTAAAATAAGGCTATAAATTGTTCTCCTACAAAACAGCCTTCGTTGGCTTACAATTTGTTGCTTTCTCTGCTCTTTTGTTTGCTTCTGTTTTTTATGATCATAGCTTAACTCATGAAAGACACTTTATAAAGTATTATATTATTATTATGTAAAATATAAAGTAAAAAATATTCGAGACCCAACCTGATTACATTGTTGTTGTGTTCCTGCAATCCTTTCTTGACACTTCACAGTATCGAAAAGTGCTGTAATTAAGGCTTGGGTTTGGTTTCTATTGAGCTGAGTCTGGTCTTCCAGGGACAGAATACGTAACACCTCTCTCATGTATTCGGGGCTGTCATCCTCTTCAGACACCATATCGTTCTCTTTGAATCCAGCTGCCTCCAAAACTTTGCCCAAAACACAGAAATGAACCAGCAGATGCAAACTCTCACACCAAAGGTGCATGTTGTCTTGAATCTGAGGCCTTGATGTATGTGATGTGCTTCCTTAGTTACACTCCTGTCCATAAGGGAAATCACAGAAAAACTTTTAATAGCAGCAAAGGTATGTAGTTCGAGAGGCGTTATTAATTTTGTAGTCTAAGCTGATTTACATTGACAAGCTGTTACCACACAACAGGAGGTCTTCAGGGCACTTATTACCTGAAATAGCTTGGGACTAAAGAAATTGCTATAAACCAGGCACCGTAGTCTACATCAAAAGGATTAAAAAACCCATTGAGCTCAAAGAAAATAATTGGTATGCCATATTGTATCTTTAAACAGAAAACGCAAAGCAATTAATTATTAGCAATCAATTTCACACAATTCTTGAAAATTGTAATTACCGTTATCAGAATTTCAAATTAAAATGAGTTTTGAAGTCAGAAGCTTATTTTCATTAACAAATAAAACAAAAAGACTCTGAGATAATGATTTCTGTTATAGCCTTAAATTTTCAGCATCATTGCAGTTATTGCGTAATAGACAGCAACAAGCCAAAATGTGTAGAACATTGTTGTGGAAAGGCATAAAAGGTTCTGATACCGACATTTGTTTTAAATATACAGTATACTGTATATATAATACATAACAGTGCCATTTATGTTTAATGTTGATAACATATAATTAGAGTTTTCCTTTATTATGAAAAATTAAACAAACATTTACTGCTAAAAATGAATTGCTAACATTTGATTCATCATCGTGAGGTGAATTTAAATGTTAGCACTGACATCACAGAATCAAGATATTGAATATATTTTACATTATCAATAGATGCAGATATTGTTTTACTTAATATGATACATTCAGATAAGACTGTCTTCCCCCAAAATAAGTCCTTATAAAACATTGGTTTACAAAAAGAAAACTGCCAAAGAAACCAAACTTTGATTTCCAAGAATATTTTTTTCAGAAAATCTTACCTTACTAGTAGAGAATTTAACAATTTTGCTCCTTTTCAGTGCAGAAGAGAACCATTTGATGTGAATTCCACTGCATTAGTAAAACCTCTTATCAAAAATAAGTATTGTGTAAGCTGAAAAGGATTAGCAACAACAACCTTATAGGGTTCCAGTTGCCATGGAGAAATCTGCTTTCATTTTAACAATGAGGGCACTCTATGCATGGGGGGGGATTGTTGGATGATTGCTGCCTCAGAGTGCAGTGTACTACAAACAGTCCCTACTTTCATGACAATACTCTGAACTGGAAAAGCTTTTAAAAGACTTTCACGGCACACAACAGTTTGTACATACTGTATGCATGCAATTCTGTGCTGCACACATTATGCAATAATTCCTTTACAAAAGATGCATGTTTTTGACACATCAAAAACAAGAGCTGGTGCTTGTTGGAATAGTACATTGGTTTCTTAGTAAAAGAGACTATATTAAGTCTGGCTTGAGAATTAAACAATAGTCAAAGAATACAAGTAAATCCAAGATACATAAAACGTGTCTGTCCAACAGTGGGTTTAAAATGTGAATACTCACACAGACAGGAAAAATATCCCTTTTACTTTTTCTTTTACGTTTCAATACATTGGATTTTTTAACAAGCTTTGTGGAAATAAAGAATGGGCTGAATAATAAGACAGATTCCAAACTCAGATAATAATATATTTTTCTGGGAAAAAGAAGTCGATGCAGAGTTGAAAACAATGCTTAGTGTTGGAAAGTATGGTCTGTTCCTGTAAGTCACATTTAAGTTAAACAAAGGAGAAAATCTCAGGTTAAAGTTTTAATATGGTCACAACCAAAGTGTCATGATTATAGTCCCTCCTCCTTAAGGGTGCTCCAGCCCTTTCATTTCAGACTTGATTATGTGCACCTGACCCCTGTTCCCAGCCCACTTTAAAAGCCAGGCGCTGACGTTCATCCGGGCTCTGCATCTGATTTCCGTATCGTGCGAGTCCGGGACCTGGAAGCGCCTGGTCCCGTTAAGGTTTTAATCTCTGTTCCCGTTCCCTGTCCGCCGGTTCCGACTCAGTTCCTGTTTTTAATTCCTTGCTGGATGGATCACCTGGCTATGGACTTATTCTTGTGTTTTTGGATTCCCTCTCTGGATTACTTTTGGATTGTTTGCCTCGGCCACACCTCCCGCGTGCACCAGCGCACTTTGGACACGCCCCCCTGTTTTCATCCCCGTATTCCTGCATCACTTTTTCCTAGTGTTTCCTCACGAATCTGGATTGTGTCGTCCGCATAGGGTCCGGAAAGAACTGTTCGTTACACAAAGATTATAAAGGTTATACATTGCCTTAAAAATACTTTTAAGTGATTTTCAAAGAGATTAGGAATTGAAGAGGACTTGATTGAAGTTTGCCTTTCATTGAAATTTAGATAATAACTGCCTTTATTATTACATTCATTTTATTATATTTAATAAATGTAACTTAAATGAGACTCAGCAAAAGGTTGAAACCAACACTTTATGTACAGTAACTGTCCAATTCTCTGATTTTACCCATTTAAAATGCGACCATTCCATTATTTCACATACAACTTAATGATTATCTTAATCCTAACCACAGCTTGGCATTAACGTTAAATTAGACGTTGAAGTAGAAGTAGAAGTAGTCTAAAAAGAATTACAGCGAACCTCGAGGAAAGATCAAAATCTAAATAATCTGTAATAATAATAATAATAATAATAATAATAATAATAATAATTGCTTACACTTATATAGCGCTTTTCTGGACACTCCACTCAAAGCGCTTTACAGGTAATGGGGACTCTCCTCCATCACCACCAATGTGCAGCATCCACCTGAAATGAGCAGCTTACCAGATATTTACTACAGGAAATATAGGGTTACATTTATATAGTAATAGAAGCCGGACCTACAGTAGGTGTTAGGGCTAGAAATTTGCATAAACCTAAATTATTTTTAATGCCATGGCTATGATTAAGAAGAGATTAGGAAGTGAAGAGGAGTGAAGGAGACTTGGGCTTTAATTTAAATTTAACTTTAGATATCAAATACCTTTTGTATTATAAAGGGGATATACAACAAATGGATCCTAATTTAAACTCAAAAAGTTTAAATCAATACCAAATATAATAGTCCAGTTTGCTTAATGTAGTTATTTAAAATGCAACCATACCGTTAATTCACATTAAAACGTAATGGTTATTCTTACTACAACCCTAGCTCATCTTAAATGTTAGGTTCTTTACTGTCAATAAACACCATGCACACTTTGAGTCTCAAAGTGGCCTAAAATGAACACAGTTGACAGACAGCGAATCACAAGTTAAGATCCAAATACAATTGAAATTAACAGGTTTTAATCTGAGTAAAAATTCAAAATATTTCTTAATGTAAGGGCTAAATTTATATAATACTTGCTATACTCATCCAGGAGCCATATCACCCTGCAGCTCACAGTCGGCACCCCACTGAAGCTCAACAGGTGTGAGCCTGGCCAGTACCTGGATGGGAGACCTCCTGGGAAAAACAGGTTTCTGCTGCTGGAACAGGTGTTAGTGGGGCCAGCAGGGGGCGCTCACCCTGCGGTCCATGTTGGTCTTCATGCCCCAGTATAATGACAGGGACACATACTGTATCTTTAACTACTATTCTGTTTCTAGACATTAACTTCTCCATTAACAACCCCCAACTCTCTACTTCGGTCTATTACAAACCCACTGATTCACACAACTATCTCCTATATACAGTAGCTCATTTCACCCCAAACACACTAAAAACTCTTTCCCTTTTTCATAATTCCTTTGACTACAATGACTCTGCAGCAACGACATCGATTTCCAGAACCAAGCCCTCAAAATGTACTTTTTCATCAACAGAGGATACCCTAGTAGTGTTATTGACAGAGCCCTTGCCCGAGTCAAAAACACCCCTCGGACCATCAACTCGAGCAGGAACTCCCTCCATAATAACTGCATTCCTTTGGTGCTTCCCTACCACCCCAACACACTTTCTATTTCCAGGACTATTAATGACAAATTTTCCATCCTACAGGATGATCCCTCCATTGAGGCCCTCTTTTCTGACCACCCATCATTTTATATCGCCGACCACCTAATCTGCGTACTTCTTGTTCACAGCTCCCTTGACCCCCCTCAGCAACCATCAACACCAGGCACTTTCCCTTGCAACAGAGCTCGCTATATCAGTTGCAAGTACATATCTAATACCACACTCATTCAAGGCCCCTCAGGACAATTCCGGACCACTCAGATGGCATCTTGTACCTCCATCAACCTCATTTACTGTATCTCTTGCAGTAAATGATCAGCCATCTACATTGGGGAAACAGGAATGAGACTCGGAGATCGCTTCAGATAACGTTAGGTTGTGAAGATTAAAGATTTCTCCAAGCCTATTGTTTCTCATTTCACCTCTGATGGCCATGATCACACTAATCTCTCCGTCTGTGTTCTCAAAGATGGTTTTCCTAACTCCTACATCAGAAAGACTACAGAAACTAAAATTATCCTGCAGCTAGGATCACACCTTTTCCCTTCTCTCAACGACAGACTAATTTTCTTCTAAATTCTCTCTATTCATTGTTGGTTTCATTTCACACCTCTTTTCACCTATCCTGACATCACACTACCTGGTTGGCCACTTTGTCTGTCCCCTGCTCCCACCTCCCGCTTCTCCTCTCTCCCACCTTTTGTTCTCCTATGCTACATTACCTTTGTTTACTGCCATGTCTTTCTCACACACTCACAACTCGCAACCTACAAGCTAAGCAAGTGTGAGCCTGGTCAGTATCTGGATGGGAGATCTTCTGGGACAAACTAAGATTGCTGCTGGAAAAGGTATTAGTGAAGTCAGTGTATTAGTGGGGGCGCTCACCCTGCGGTCTGTGTGTATCCTCATACCCCAATATAGTGTTGGGGATAGTAGATTGTACAAAAGGCAATGTCCTTTGGATGAGATATAAAACCAAGGTCCTGACTTTCTGTGGTCATTAAAAATGCCAGGGTCTTTCTAAAAAAGAGTAGGGGTGTTACCCCAATGTCCTGGCCAAATGTCCTATTGATCTTTACCAATCATGACCTCCTAATAATCCTCACTTATAAATTGGCTTTATCACTCTGTTCTACTCCCCACTGATAGCTGATACAGTATGTAGTGAGTGCATTAGTACACTATTGCTGCCAATGCATCACCCAGGTGGGTCCTGCACATTGGTTGTTTTGGTGGGGAGTTCCCATTACCTGGAAAGCCCTTTGAGTGGCATGTCCAGAAAAGTGCTACAGTATATAGTGTATGTACTGTATAAGGATTTATTATTTAACTAAAGAGCACAACTTAGTAATTGTTCCTCTGTCTTCTCTCCTAACTAAAAATTTCCAGTCTCATGCTCTACTGTAGTGAATAGAAGATAAAAGTGTTTTTAACATTCCAAACCACACTTTGGGTTAGTCTTGGTTTTGTTTTAATTTTGTCAAGGGTTTCTATCTTATTTGTAATCACTCCATTTAGTATCTAGCAAAGTACTCTAGCTGTCCTGGGAATGAACATCACAGTTAAATCTGAAAAGCCTAAGGTAACAAAGCAAAACAAAAATCATTTCTTGGTAAAAAAAAAACATTTTTTGTATCATTTGTATTCCTTCATTAAAATATTGCTGTAAAAGCTGATTAACTTTGACTAACTGCTTTAATTTTTGGAATCCCAATTCTATTACATTTCAGCTAAAGAAAGTATTAATGACTGTCATGAGACTTGCACTTTCTGGATTGCTTTCAATATACTTTCATAGATTCCTTGTCCTTTTCTTATTGTGGATCCTAGGTTAGTTGCAACCAAAATATATTTGGTACTTAACCAGCGTTACGATGGTTCAGAGTTTTACCAGCCCAAAAGTATTGGTCTCTTCCAATACTTGTTCTGCCTTGTGCCTGTTGCTTGTATGGATATTTTCTGGTTCCCCCATGACCCTATTGGATAAAGCAGTTAAAAAATGGATGAACATACTGTATATATTTGATAATGTATACAAACACGCTACACACTTTGTGGAAAGAAAAATACATTATAACTAATAAGACACAAACAGATTTCCAATTAGATTCCTTGCTCTTGTCATTATATCACCAGTTCTCTTTGGATAATAAAACATCTTAGTTTCCAAAAATGACAATCTTCCAACTTGCCAATCAAATAACCAAAGACATTCCATTTACTGTATATACTGTGTAGCGGCAAGGCTTATTAAAATACAGGAATTAAGTTTGCTGCTCCCTTGCCAGTCCGTCTCTCCTTCATCTCAATGGTGCTGGATACAGAGAGGCCATTCCATTTGGTTCACATTTAAGGTGTTTTTCTAGCTGATAGAGTGTCCTGATGAGGAACAACTCCCAAGGCTGAGACACATCAGCCACCCTAATAAATGGTCATCTCTGGCACTTTACTGTCTGGGAGATTCCAAGGGAGAATCTCATCCCAAGTTGTTTACAACTCTAAGGTCAGAGTGCATTGTTACTCATCCTTAGCCAATCAGGAACTGGTAGGACAGGGTAACCCCACGTGGGTCTCGGATGCCCATGAAACTTTCAACCAATGAACGGCTGTAGTTCCTCCAGGTAAAACAGGCGACACAGGGCTCCTCCGTGCTCCTCCTGGAGATTCTCAGACTCAGCTCAGGCAACCACGTACTGGCCAGTGTGTTCAAATTCCAGGACTTTCCTTTGTTCTAAGAGTCGAGAACGGAGGTCGTCAGTGTGTAACCAAAGGATCTGCCCGAGGTTAGCCCAGCAGCAAGCCTCGTGAACCCACCGCGAACGCTCACCTGATCAACAAGTGAACTACGGTCAGAACAGCGGACAGCTGAATCTCAGGATTCAGGGCTATCGCGACATCAGGAACGGACCGGTCTTCTTCTTGTCTAAAGAGAGTGACGTGATTGGACCCGCAGTCACTTTTCTCATGTGCACAAACTCTGCTAGTAAAGCCAGAACTAATTAGCCAGTCTTCGGAGAACATCAGCAGCGCATCTTAGCAGAAATCTCTCCCTCCTTCTCCCACGTCGCACGCCGAACCAGCACTGCCTGGCACCGGACCAGAGAGCGACGACTGGACACAGCAAGAAGCCTGCCACTGTTCCTTTGTGTCCACAGGAGATCTGAATCCACAGAGATTGGATGAGTATTCAACATTCTGCATTACAGCTCGAGAATTCAATTGTTACCTCAACCCCAGTTGATATCAATTTAATTCCTATGAGTGATGTACTTGCTTTTGAGTATCTAGTGTAGAAAGTGTAATCCAAGTTCATTTACGAAACGGTCTAAATGAATGGTATGCTGAATGTATGTCCCTCTTGGTTTGTAACTCTTCATGATTGAATATATACCTTTTGTATTCTGCTAACCCTCACGATAAGATCTGTTATGTTTATATGCACATTTTATGTATTAATAAATGTACTGTATTGTTGTGTATTAGTATCCGTGTGTGTGCGTTGCTGAGTATCCCGTTGGGTCGGTCTTCTAATAGCCATCAAAGAATCATTTTGTGACTTACTGCTACAATTGATAATTGTTCTAGTAAATGCACAAATCCCTACATTTATTGGTGCCTCGTGAGAGGATGCCTACAACTGTATACCTACAGTATGCAACACAGGAGTTTAATCACATATTAACCAGTTGTTAATGAATGTTGTATGTTGAACGTTGAATGTTGTAATTTACATTCTCTTTAGAATGTGCCATTTACGCAACCATCTGATTCGCAAAAACCACTTCACAGGAAATAATGACACAAAGAATTTGATGCATTTGAGGATGTTTGTTTGGATAGCTTAAGATTTGGCTTAAATTGTTTGGTTGAGGACCAGTCCCATGTCCACTAGATGAGGAAACTGGGACCTCCATGCAGAGTGAGGAGTTAACCAAGGGGGAGCTTCAAGGTGGAGATGAGGTGGAAGAGGGATATATAAGTTAAATATAAAAGAGCGATTTACATATTATATACAAATATGCAATACACTGTATATAGCTTTCTGGAAATTACAGAGGGAATGTTTTTGATTAAGAAAGACAAAAAAAATATTTGTCATAAACCCACCCAAACTTCAGTTCAAATCTTCCACTCAATGCTAGAATGCAACCAAATGCAGAAATTATTTCCAGCATGTCATAGTGGGTTTACACTTACACAGAAATGTAAAAGGATGGAGTGTAAAACGACATCAGATATAATGTACTTTCTGTGTAGGTGCAAATGTAAAAACAGATCCAGAAGTAACATTTCCTTATCTGCCAATGTGTGATTGAAGTCAGGGGAATACTCCTTCACACCCCTTCAGTCACATGTCGAAATTGTTTTTTGTTCTTAGTGGCTTCACCTCTACTTTCAGCACTTGCCAGAGCACAAAACAAGCCAGTGGAGGATTTTTTTTTTACCACCTACACAGCTCACAAAGTACAGTGTTTTGACTGCTCAATACATATAAAAACACTGGCCAGGAGGATGCAGTAGTCTTAAAACTGTAAGAAGCAATAACCACACTACACATGTCTCAGAGATCTGAATGACTGCATTTGATAACTGTCCTGTCACGGACGTCTAAAGGGACTAACCGTGGGGAGTAGGAGAGCAGAAAAAGACCCATATGCGTTAGACGGGAAAAAGGCCCGGGCTCATTAGTGCAAAGAGTTCAGGAATGCCGTATAGAAACCTATGCCCTCAGGGAGCGGACGTGGGGCGCCCTGGTGCTAGGCGGGTCTCAGGACATCCGAACGTCAATGCTGAGCGAGGACAGAGTGCAAGACCCGGAAATATATAGCCCAAGGGAAAGAGAGGGACAGGAAGGACAGCAGACTGGAAACTAGGGACAGGACAGAATAAGGAGCGCCCTCTGGCTGCAGAGGGCGTGACATGTCCTTGGTCAAACTCTGTCTAGCAATTTAACTTCTGTTTTGTATGTCTTCTGCTGTTAAGTTGCTCAGCTGTGACCATCCTTCTTTCTGCTTTTGACTCATTCAGCTACTTTGTTCATTGAGCTACCTACAGTAGTTGTTAAAATTCCTTATTTCTTCTATTCTTTTCAAACAATTAAGATAGAGATGCAAATGATGAACTTTGTTATTCTTAATTTAGCTACAATAGATTCTTATATACATATACTAAACTGGTAAAATATAACACAACAGAAGGATCGATAAATTCTATTGAAGCTGCAGATTAAATGTAAAAGCATTTAGATAGACTTCAAGACTTTTAAAAGTACACAGTATAAAATTCAGGCAGCCAAAATATAAACTATATATACAAAAAAATTAAATAAGGTACTTATGAATATGACTTTATGTTAAAACCGTACATCTTGTATATCTTCTTGACAAACGTTTTTGGGAAGCAATAAAAAGACAAACATACTGGTATGTTATCCACTTAAAATATCAAGGGATGCTATGTTAAAACTGAGCAATACACCAGACAAAGCTCATTTAGATTATTGTGCATTATTCTGGGTACTATATTACTAAACAAATATTGCTGGAATCAACCAGCTACTGGACTTCCAGGAATGTTCTGACACCAACAGGCTAAAAGAATCAACCCTTTTTAGCGCTGAACAGAGAAAACTATGAGGAGACCTGATTCGAGTTTTTAAATTCCTCTAAGAAATTGACTAAGTCAAAGAATATCTCCAGAATCAACAATGAAGCATGGCTATGCTGTAAGTGGAAACTGTGTGGAAGTGCATTTAAAACTGAGGACAGAAGTCACTGGGCAAAGTAGTTAGCATTGCTGCCTTGCAGTTCTAGGCCCTGGGTCCAGTTTCTGTGGTGCGTTGTACACGGAGTAGTATGTTCTCCCCAGTGTTCACATGATTTTCCACATGGTGCTCTGGTTTCCTCCCACAGTCCAAGAGAATACTGGTAGATTAATTCACTTCTGGGAGAACTGGCCTTGGAGTGTGTGCATGTTTGTGTCTGTGTCTGTGTTTTCTGCCTTGCGCCCATTGCTTGCTGGGATAGGTTCTGGCTCCTCCACCACCCTGTATTAGATAAAGCTGTTAGAAAATGTATGGATGGATAGGAAACACCTTCTTATTCAAAAACATGTGGAGCCTGCAACAAGCTATCCAACTACTGTATATTGCTGAACTTTCTATGTATATATATACACGTCTATTTTTTCATTAATTGCTGTAAAGGTCTGCCTCATACATAAGATGAACAGTTGCTTCACTTTTCACTTGCTTTTGGATATTAGTAAACACTGTACAGTCTGAGGCTGTGCAGTATTGAAGTTGTTTTCTAATCATAATTTGTAATTAAGTACTTTTCACAATGATTATTTAATTATAATGGCCTTGTTAATGGCCAGTTAAAAGGTATATGGACATTATAGGGGAAACATTGCCTCTTATATTAATTATCATCACCTTTGCATGGACTTCATCTAATCACTTTTCCTAGTTCAAGATTTGGTATTAGCAGGAAGCAGGAAGTACAAAACAGGAAATACTTTTTGTTGAAGTAGCTAACAAACCAAAGGTTATACATCTATTCCTATCCCAGGTGTATCCCAAGAATATTATCAACACATTATTTTTAACAATCATGTTTTAATTTTTTATCTTTTATTTACAGTCAAAGAAAAGTGTTCTCATCCAGCTGATTTATCAAGTAAAACACTAATAACGAAAGGTAAAAGGAACATTTTATAAAACACCATGAGGAAGCACAATGAATAAAATTTGCCAAAAAATTTTATTTGCCGTGTAGTTTGGTTAAGAAACGTGGGAGAGTTCCTGTCTCAGGAACTGAAATCAATGTTGAGGATATTTGCTGGAAAAAGGATCATATTATCATATTATACATTTGGTGAGAATAGTAGTGACCCATAGTGAGTTTGGGGAACAAAAAGTATGATGTGAATATGTAGTTTGGGTGAAACCCGAAGAAGGCTCCACAGCCTAAACGTTGTGTTTCCTTTCTTTTCTTTCAGCATGGAATAAACCTAATACTTGTTTGTATGATGGGAATGACAGTAAAGACACACTAAGGGTGTGTCACACTGACTGTCCATGATTCAATTTCGTTTTATCTTACGGTAAACTACTCTGTATTCACAAGCTTGATTGTATACCTAGCAGACTTGTGCTGTGGTGCAAAATCTACTTTAAGTAGGTAGAATACTGTGTTTTGAATGTGGTCTTTCAGAAAATCATTGAAGAGCATAGGTTTGCTGTTACATTGCATTCATTCAGAAAGCATACACTTCTGAAGCCTATTGTTTTCTTGATAACAGCTTGAATTTTACAGCAATTGCCACCAAGATAAACAGGATGGGGAAAAAGTACATGCAAAAGTTTACCATTTTACTTTTACAATGCTTTTGTTAACATTTCACAATTGTAATAATTCGAGTCAGACGAGAAGAAATCTCCAAAAGTCCACTGAATCAAGATCAGGAAGCTTCATAAAAGATTCCATAGCTCTAAAGACCCCACAGCAGCCAGGGAAAAAGGTTAATAAGTTGATTTTTCTTTTTTGTTCACTACACACACATGTAGCATCTTTAGATTGTGGCCTGTTCATTCTGTTCAATGTTAGCTACCAGGACTTTAGTGTCAACAGGTGATGAAGAGGTATCGGTATTAAAATATAGTGTATTATCAAAATTGCACTCTCCTTGGACAGGCCTGCGTCCTCTCTTGTAAATGAAAAAGGCAGCAAGTCCAGCTCCTGTTATTATGAGGATAATAATGGCAACCACAATTCCAGCATAACCATGGGGTGATTGTTCTCCAGAACCAGCATCTACGATAAATAAAAGATGTATATCAAATGCTGTTATGTTTGTTTTTATACAACTTATAATAAAACAACTATCAAGACTTCTGTGTGTGTACTGTATACATACAGTATATAAGATATATACTGCATGTACAGTTTTCTTTGAAAATTATTCTGTAGGGTTGAATACACAGACATGTTTTTAAAATCTATATATGAGGAGAGAAAGTCCAGTGCTCAAGAGTCTCTCACATTTTAATCATTTGAATAGGAGGTATGTTTTTCCTGGATTAATAAATTGCTTGTTAAAAGTAATTTAAATCTCATACTTTAAGTGAATATGCCCTTTCTTTACTTACAGTAAATGTATATCCTTTTTTGTTCCGTGACTTAGAATACAACTAAATTTAACCATCAGAAGAAAGGTCAATGAAATGCACAGAGCCCATTAAAAACAACAAATAAAAAGGAACATCGTGCCAGTTTTAAATCCTTAGTTTTAACAGTGCTCACATAATGTGGAGACTTTCTTACTACTGCTCTTCTGAATAAAAAATATTCAAAAACATTTAGGCAGCCTTTACTGGTGAGTTAACAAGTGGATCAGGTAAAATTACACACTTGATTAAAATTTTAGTCTTCTATGTCCATAAATTTAATAACTTACATTAAGTGAAGAAAAACAATGTAAAGTCATTAAACACTTTTTCCTCACATACAGTATTTCCATAAAAGATCACTAAAGCATTAGAAACATCAAAAAAGAGACACTTACGCTGTTCAGTTTTGGGGCTTTTCTGGGTTGGTGGAATGACTGGACAAAAAGAAAAGGTAATATCAGCATGCAAAATGCAAAAAACACATTGGCAGACATGCAATGGGTATACAGTATATAGATATGAAGCACAATTTGAGGCCTCTTGGTCTTGGTTTCTAGTGCTTTAAAATGGTCAGCACTACATTAATATTAATATGTCCCATATTTTACAGCAACTTCTGCTGGCACTTAAAAACACTGTTACCCTCAAAGGTTTTCCCTATAATAACTACATTCAAGCCAATAGCTACTGTATGATGACATATAACTCCAACTCCAATTGTTTTATCCAAAAATCATTGCTAAACAATTTAACAGATGATGTTGTATAAAAAACAAGTAATTCACGTTCAACTGTATGAACTGAACTGTCTGATTTTGCTGAATTTGTAATATACAATCAAATATTGGATTTTCATCAACTTCTAAGTTTAAAGCATTTAAATTATGTAGACCACTTCCTGAAGTTTACTCTTTTTAAGGTTGCATGCTTAATAAAAGCCTTCTCTCAGAATGAAGAATTTACACATAAATCCATAATTCTGATGACAATGTGCATGCACATTTGACATTTGTATTGTCCCAGTATGTCTTTGGACCCTGGATATCTTCCCTTTTCTTTTTTTGTATTGAAACATTTCTGTTTGACAGCTACAGTAGCTACAGTATGCTAAGAGGCTAAGAAAAACTACATGTATGTTGTGCAAGCTCTTGAATGTGAGGTGTCAGAACAAGTTATTCGGATTCAGAAGTATTTAAGAAGCTGCCCTGTCATCTTGAGTAAACTCAGCACTCCTTGTGCTCACCAAAACAAAGTTTCATCTAAGTAGATCACCTAATGAGATGACTTTGTCCTCTGACTTTTTCTAATTATCTACTGAACTGCCATCACACAGATAAGTCTGAATGAAAAGATCGGTGTCACCTTTTGCTGCTTTGCAGATATATGCTTTGTATGAATGGCAGTTTGCATTGTTCCACATCCCACTGTCAGAGAACATCTCAACACATTCATCATTTTGACGTGATGGTTCACCACTATTCCAATTAGTGTAGTCCACCACACTGTTGTCTATCCATAGCCATGCCCCTGTAGAAGAAGAAAACAAGCAAAAATGAAAGTACACGTACTGTGTATTTCTTTAACCAGCACTGGGGTGCTAACATTCTGATAAACCAAAGTAAGAATGGAGATTTTGAAGGTGATTGCAAATTAAATTTAAGATAACAGTTTAAAGTATACAGTTTCTGCACTTTAATTTGGGTAACTGAAGGCTGAAAAGTATTGTACTTCATACTGTATTCAGATGCTAACCTGAATTGCAAAATCGTTCAAATTAGAACCACTGCATTGAGACCTTGTAAGCAGACATTTAAACTTTAATTACTAATTAGAAAAACTATGTATTTCACAATCTGTGTTTTAGAGCTGGTTTGATAAAAAGGGATTTTTTTAATGGCTTTTTTAGGGATATTTATTCATTAGTATCAAACAGACTTGATTACACTGGTCTAACAAACTCCCAGTAAATTTCATTTTCATATACTCTTGTTTTTAATCTAAAGCTTGCTCATTTTATATTGAGCAAATAATATAAAACTATAAATAAACTATTGCACTTTCAGCATTACCATGAAAAGCTGCCTAAGGCAATATTACATTACAACGTACTAGAATGTAATGTAATTGTACATTATTCATGCATTATACAATAAATCACCAAGTGAAAGTAACCTAGACGACTGAAGTATTTCATAAAGATGGTATATGTTTCTATATTAAAATGCTGTTACCATTCACATTCTTGTAAAGTCCTATCCAGAAAGACTTTGCTCGGTCTCGCTGCAGTTCAGCATTTTGCAGCAAAAACACAGCCTCAGTGGGATCTTCAATGGCGACGAGAGATCCACCTAGCATGGGATATTAATTATAAGTAATAATATTATTCATTTCACTATAATATTTTCAGTGAAAACAAATAATATTTCTCAAGTTCATTTTTCAGAAAGATAAAAAAAATATATGACAAGCACAGTTTTAAAATAACCAGGGAAAATAAGAATGTGCAATATTAAACAGAAAAGAATGACAAAAGAAACATACCAAGCTTCATACACTCCACAGAAGCATGGGCCCAGTTGTCTACCACTGAAGCACTAAATGTATAGCAGTGACCACGGAATGGCACCCACACTCTTCTCTTTTTGGGTTCAGGACAATTACCAGGAAGCTGTGGAGGCTCAGTGGGAGCAACATCTGTTAACAAGCACAACACACATTTTCTTTCTGACTGTGGTCTGACCAGTATCTGTACAACACACTACATTACAATCAGTCTTATACTGTATTTTTCATCATGTCTGCTTTGGTCTGCTTCATAACAGGCAGAGTTGCTACAGTATAAATAACAAAGTTGTGCTACCAGGCACATACACATGACTAATGACTAACGACTGCTTATTAATCCATGTGTGTTTGTTTATGTTTTAATAGTACATTATACAGTAGATGCGGCACAATATATGATGTGTATGTTCAGCCCAGCTGAACTGATGTTTAGACCCCTCTTCAAAACTGGGATGGCCATTCAAGGTACAGTGAGACTGTACCATACTGGTCTTACCCAGGCTTGTAAAACCTCAGTCCATGAGAGAAGTTTCTCATTTTTATTTCACATTTAAGACTTCAGGTAACTGAAATAGTATTTTTTGCCTTCATTTACCCCATTACAGTTGTCTGTCACGATGCTTTGAAGGGTTCAGACAATTACAATAACTTAAGTAAAGATTTTAAAGCCCAGAAAAAGGGTATTAAACTTGTTGCTAAATGTAATTATAACATAAGTAATAACGGAAATTCAGGAGAAAGGTTAAACGCTAATCTCGCACACTTCCGCTTGTCTATGTACAGTATATAAACCTTACACCCAGGACTTCCTTTCATATGACCTTTCAGACCCTATGCAGGCGACACAATAGAGTGAGTAGAGTGAGGAAAACACGGGGGAAAAAACATGCGGGATTCGGGAATGAAAACATTGGCCGAGGCAAACAGTCCAAAACTGAGTCCAATAGGGAATCCGAGAAAAGGCAAAATCCAGAAGCGGGCGGTCCATCCAAGACAAACAGAATTAAAACAGGAACCAGGTTGGAACCGGCAGGAACAGGAACGTTAAAACCTTGATGGGACCAGGCGCTTCCAGGTCCCGGACTTGCCTGGTACGGGAACCAATGCAGAGCCCGGAACAGAATGAGCGTCTGGCTTTCAAGGTGAACTGAAAAGGGGGCTGGAACAGGGAGCAGGTGCGGGAGATGAGTAAAAAACAAGGAAGGGCTGGAGCGTCCTTAAGAGGAGGGGTTACGAACGTGACAAGTACTGAACAACTGATATTGGAACAAAAACTGTTCACGTTCACATGCCAGGAACACCCCCTCTCTCAAGCTGGTCCTGACCAACTTACAATTTTACAACAAAATTAGCATAACATTAACAGTTGCATACCTGAGACATTCATTTAATTACTTTTCAAGGTATCCTACCTTTTGTCTGTTTACACACGGAGTAGTAAGTGTTATTGCAGAGCCCTGTCTTCCACGTCCCATCAACGTCCATGTAAACACAAGCAATGTTATTTCTAGGTTCCCCAGCAGCCCACTTTGTGAAACGTAACTTCCAGTTATCGATCCATGTGAAATATCCAAAGGTCTGAAAAAAAGGAAAAATTAACTGATTCAGAATTTTTTTAAAAAAAATAGAACAACCAGTTAGTTTTTGTTATGCCGTTTGAGTGTTTTTATTTCTTGGCTCAGAGCTACAGTATAAATACAGAAATTTCACACAGTGAAGAAGGAGTAAGCGTATAATGTCACAGGCTTCACAGCACCATGTAGTAGATTCAACAGTAATAGCACAAAAGACATGTCCTTCACTGACGGTACAATTTCTTCCTAGAAAGATCACTGGGGTTTTTGTGTCACTCAAAGCCAAGAAAGCCTAACTGACTAACCCCACACTTCCTCCTGCAGTGCCCACCCATTTATGCACTGCAGTCCTAATAGTAGATAAAATAAGCTCATTTGACAAAAAACACAAAATAGTACTCTGTCATTCAACAAAAAAATACGTCACAATTTAGTATCTTTATGTACTGTATATATGATCATAGAGCTCAACCTGTCCTCTAGAAAACACCTTTGCCAACTGACCCACTAGGGAGGTCCTTGTGAGGAAGCTTTTTAAATGCAGTGTCAGCACCTCTATGCAGCTACAGTAAGTTGCATTACACTTAATAAACAGCAACACACTGGTAATTGTTCTCTGAGCTTTATAATCCTCTGATTTAAATCCAGATAAATTGTTATTAGCAAAACTTCTTTGTATTTTAAAGCTTTCTTTGACAAGCTGTATTATGTACAGGCATGTTTAACCAAATTTCTTTATGTAAGTCAGGTGGGTAGCTGGGTCAGCATAGGCTGACATAGGCTGCAAAGGAACAAGTAATAGGTTTATTCCATGCTGAAATAGAACACAGAAAACACAACATTCTGGCTGTGGAGCCTTCTTTTTTTATCTGAAGAAGACTCCACAGCCAAAACGTTGTTTTCATTCTTCTCTTTTCAGCATGGAATAAACCTATTACTTGTTCCTTTACATTTCTTTAGGTTCATCTTATATTAAATTTGATTTTTTTCCCCTTAATGCTCTCATTTGGAATTGCAAATTATTTTTTTAACACATTTTACAGCTACAATATGGGAGAAAGTATTACTGAACCTAAGGATCAAATACAATCTCAAACACTTGTCAAAGGCTTCCATTGTTTCAGTGTTAACTGTAGGAGTAGCCTTAAAAAGTGATGCAGTTCTGGGCTACAGGATTCAACATGAATTCCAAGCACAGACCCACGCAAATAAAAGGAGCCCCTCATATTAATATATAGTACTGCTAACTGCGCTACATTACCACATTGCTGTTAAGTCCAATCCACATGGGTTCTTTGTATTTATGTGCTAGAAGCCTAACAAAGGCTTGTGTTATAGAATCCAGAATGCTAGCCAGATCTGCATCATCTGCTTTGCATTGTCTTCTGGCTTCATCCCAGTTCATTTTCTGATTAATCACTTTAAAGGAGTTATTGCCAAACTTAATGTAACCACCAGGTGGTGCTGTTGTTGTTGGATTATTAATCAAAGGATCTGGAAAAGAAAACAAAACCAGTATTAGAGAAAGCATTTTATCAGGATAATCTCTATAGATACACATTTGAAAAAGGAGCAGAATGCACCTTGAGAGAAATCATGTCTCACACAGATCAGCTTTTAAATTAGATCAATAAAACAGCTTTTTGCCTGTTACATTGTTTATCAGGTTTACACACTGTAGTGCATATATATCAAAATATGTGAAACCGAATGTCTTTTTAGCCATAAACAAATTGCATTATTTTGTATCAATTATTTATGATGGTGAAAACGGACTTCACATAAACACATTTTTCTTTTTGTGTGCACTATGAGGCTGACCCTTAAAATCTTCCTTTTACTATTGCCAGTGTGTTATCAGAGAAATCTGGACAGACTGCAATGCTCACCGCTTTTTCTTTGGCAAATGAAAGGCCTCGACAACAGACAGTCCTCAACTTTCCACTGTCCAGACATCGTGGGGGAACTGCTCACTAGCACTACACAGTCAAATTCCTAGAGAAGAGACTAGCAATACTCAGGACGAAACATGGGTTTTTGAAAATATTTCTGCTGCTCACATTCATATACTGTATATGTTCAGTGGAACAAACCTATATACTGTATATATCTAAATATAAAGGTATCCGAACAATATCGAGAAGACCAGGTCTGCTCATAACCATCATTGACAGAATTTTACAACACGGCTGTCATATGTATGTCATGACTGTATATCACAAGACCAAAGTTTTCTTTGATAAAAGAAGGTTAGGTACGTGGTTTAATCTGCACATGATGTTTCATCTCTGTATGCCACCTGGGCAATGAACATTTTCAGAAACTCAGAAGTATGGAGAGTTTGTGTGCTGCTTACTTCACATTTTCTGAAAGGGCTACAGTATTTAAGTAAAAAATGTAACAACACCATTTGCTTATATTGTCTTTGTCATATACTGTACATGTATTTGCCTGAAAGCAGAGCAGTGTGGCTTACTAAATTCACAAAAGACTTAGGTTTGGATTCTTTTATGAAAGGGACAAAATACAGTATGCAGCTTTAAGATCACTATTCCTGCTATGCACAATGAAGATGCAAGTTCATATTCATATTTACTGTATACATAGTTTGTCAGTGTAAATATAAGATTGTGAATATCATTCTTTTTTCTCCCACTCATACAGTTTTGTTAATCATAAAGCACATTATTCTATAAAGAAGAGTTAACTGACAAGTGATTTATAGTAATACTGCAAGGAAGTTGGTTTTGCAGCCAATTCCAGATGTACCTTCTGCAGCATAAGAGAAATAAAAAATTGAAAAATTCTCTTTGAAAATGACTCTTAGTTAAATTTCTATTTGTTACATGTCTCTTATATTTTGATATATCTGAACGCCGGAGAAACTCTTATTTTAATTTGTCAGTGAAGGTGTAATTTCTTTATATTTTCTATTTTGTCTAAATGTACATACAGAACGAAATGCATTGCCTTAAGATGTGGAGTACCTCATCGGAGTGGAGATATCGGCCATCGGGCACAGACACTGGGTTGCCCTTTGCCCAGTTGGTGTAGTAAACCCCTTTCCCATCAGTCCAGAGGAACCGCATTTCTGCATTGATGTCATTTAACCCAATCCACACATCTGCTGTCATTTCCTGAAGCTTGGTGGTCAGGAACACTGAAGAAGGAGATAATGATGGTGTAACAGTAATTGAAATATAAAACCTAAACAGTGACCTTTCATTATGCTTTAAAAACAACACCTACAACATACCCTGGCTTCTTTCAAGAAAAAAGTTGGAAGAAAACCTTGAATCACTTAGCTGCTGCAGTGCCTTGCAAAGTAATCAGAAACTATTGCAAATGTATTCAGGGTTTCCTCTAGTATTTGCCTGCAATTACTGTAGTTCCATGCATGCTTTTCCTTCAGTCCCAACAAGCCATTTCCTGCTAAGGAAAACCATCCCATAGCATGATGCTGTCAACACTTTGCTTGACTGTAGTGATGGCTGACTAAGAGATTTGCTGTGTTGGGTCTGTGCCATATTTAAACCAAATGAAATATGAGATTAGTTTTTAGTGATGATTTGCTTTAAAGCAAAGAAATTTACAGAAGGGTTTTAAAACCTTCACAAGGCACTGGACTAAATGGGCTGAATGGCACTCTAGATTGTAACTGTTCTAATGTTCTTAAAATGAGAAGCTTTGTATACTCTTTAAAAATAATGCTGTGATATAGTAAAGTATAATTTTGGTTGGCCTAAAATAAACTACTGACACTCCTCAATTACATTATAAGAAATACCAGTAGAATCACATCTATAAAATAACTGCTGTTATCATAAAATCACTTTTTTATATTTATAAAAGAAATATAATAATTTATATTTATAAATAAAATTAAAATAACAAATGCTGTTCTTTAGTACGTCAATGTTTTCAGAAATTATTAGTGGAATTGATGTGTACTACACATCAAATGCAACATGATGGAAAATTGGAACATTTGAATGTTGTGTGTTAAATGGGACATTACATTCAGTTCCTCTCATACCTTGTTGTTTTTCATTCGTTATGGAAACTAAATTTCCACCCACAGAGATGCAATAATTTCTTGCATCTTGCCATGTCTTTCGTTCAGCAGGATTGGACCCAATCATTTTGTAGCACTAGGAAAATGTAAGACATCAAAGTATTTCAGATTCTGAGATAAGGAAACTAAAAGGAACTTTAGTTGGATTATTACATTACATTGGATAATGATATACCACACTACCTCTTTTCACAAAATGAAAATGCATTTTAATTTTTTGATGCTTCTTTTAAATTTTATAAAGTATTCCAAGTCCCATTTCAATCTACTGTGCAATGTCACAATATGTTAAACCCTTGCTTCTACTCAGGTACTGCATATATAGCCCCATCACAGACAACCAAATATATATATAAAGTATATGTTTTTGGGAAACCTTACAAATATAATCACATTTTGTAGTTCTCATCAAATTGGAATTGAAACAAAATTTTAGAACCCAAAATTTGTGTCCCAATACCATCCAAATTAGCAGTTACATTAGCAGTTACATGTAGTTACAGTACATAGTAAACTAAAAAAATTCCAAAGATCTTGATGAGAGCATGATCTTAATATTTCTGCTCCATTTATTTTAAGTTCTTGGACATGTCAGATTTTCTCTGAAATTATGTTTATGAAATATTTCTTTATTAATGTATGAAGTGGCATTTTAATGTTGCAATCAATGAAATATATCAAGTAATTGTGCATACGTACTGTATGTGCATGAGTAATGTATGTCAATGCATATATACAGCCTGTTACAATTATCAAGACATCTGAAAGATATTACAAAATTACAATTAATCTGAAGAAGAATTCACCATGTGTTTTTAGGAAATGTACAGTATAAAGCATAAATTACAGTCTAATCACAACAAATAATGAGGCATTAACACACAAACTGAATGTGTTTCCTTGCTGTAATAATACCTTTCCCTCAAAATACAGCCAGTCAGGCAGACATCCTCCTTTGGGAATGACTGTTGGAGCCACAGTGGTGTTAACAAAATTGCTGCTTCTTTTACATATGGAGGCAAGAGGTGCACCACAATTCATATCATTCCAAAACCCTGCAGAAGAAGCGATCCACAAATAACTGTCAAGCTTTACATCTGTTAACCTGGTTAGTGACATTCCAAATACAATGTAATCTGGTAACTCGAAAACAAAAGTGGAAAATTATGTATCTGTGGACAGCATATGATATTGAAATCATGGAGGTTTCAGCACTAAATAATGTAGTGAATCCTAATTTACCTTAGATACAAAGTTATCACGTAAACTATTTAATTCCTTAGAAACGTTTCCCTACCATTTACAAAGCTGAATAAATACCATATAGCCAAAATCTTTAATCAGTTATAGTGCTCTCTTATTGCTGTATAGGATTAAATTTACCCTACAAGATAACAGTCTAATATACAGTACCATGTAAATAAAGCCTGAGGTATTGAACAGATTTTCTCCTATTAAAGTCTCAGTACTTACCCATGTTTTTATACATGCTGACACAATTTTCATCATTGTTTGCAAAGTTAGGCTCATTTTTTTCCCATGCTACATAGCTTACCGGGCTTCCATCTAACCACCTGTATTAAAACAACAATAAACAATGCAGTAATTGTATATTATCTTGCAGCTTGGACCATCACATGATCTACAAGATTTAGATTTGTCTTGAACTTTTTTTTGGCTGGCTGTAGAGAGGTGACTCTGGGCAAGTGTGTATTACATGGAATAGTAACCTGAAGTTGCATCTAAGGTCCAAAGAGGGTGTGTAGAGTACACTGCAAAGCTGGCAATCATGACACTGAAGACAGCACCCCAGCCAGGTGAGTAAGCAATGCTGCCCCAACCAAATGAAACTTACATTTAATTAAATACATTTATATTGAATGCACAGCTATTTATGATTGTTTGAGTAGTAAAGTTCATGGGAGTAGTAAAATACAGAGCTCAAGGTATAAGATATAGTGTTTGATTATCAGCCCATTAGCCTACCATCCAAATTTTCACTTTCAATACACGTTTCTAATCCTGCTAATGTTCTTTGTATCTGAGCATTTGGACTTCAGAGGCATTTGAAAATAGTGGCAATGCAAAAAGTAAAAAAACAATAAAGTTCCAGGAATTCCATCACTTAGCCCACTAATAATCCACAGTGCCACAGCTGAATGACTGTAGCTTTCTGTCCTCATGAAAGAGATCTGCATCTTCTGAGACTGTTTTGTGGTTAACTTGCACTCTGTGTTTATGGATATGCTCTGTGTTGCTGTGATCCTTTCCCTTACCATGACCTAGTGCTTTTCTTAGATTGGGTAGATGAATGAAAATTGACATGACCTTTTTAACATGGACATGCATACATTTGATTTAACTTGATAATAGCATAAAAACAATTTAACTGGATGTGTTTTACAGAAGGAAACTACTCACCTACTAAATTTAGTAGTGACTTAAGTAAGACTGAACATAGAAAAATCTCAGTGTGTATAAGCAGAAGGTAGATACAGTACTTTCTTTAAAAGAAGCTACTTATACATACTGGAATGTTTTATCAAGACCAACAGTCATGCCAATGTAGTATTGATCTTCATCGCCTCTGGATATCTGAAATAAAAGAATGAAAATCCATAAAAACCTTATTTCATTTTCATTCTATTGAAAATAGAATACAGCTCTGGAAGATTAAGCTTTTTACAATTATACTAATGCAAGACTTTATCAAAATATAAGAAATAATTTATTAAATGCCTTGAAAATCATTCCTCGCTTACCTGTTTCCATAAAAATGTCCTTTCACTTTCCCCTTCAATAACAGCAAGGTCACCAAAGTTCTTCTTACAGTAATCTCTTGCATCTTCCATAGGAAGTCTTTGGCTATTCATGTAGTACTGGGATCCATTATACTCAATCCAACCATCTTGTGTCATGTTGTATTCTGCAAAACAGAAAAATGCCACTTGTTGAACAGCCATGCATGTCAGACAGTGTGGTACTGTACTGTACATTTGGACCTCTAAATTTCTTTGAAAATAGTTTTTTTTTAAATTTAAAACATGTGTAGCTGACAAGTAAGCCTATCTGAAAAAGCAGAGCAACACTATACATGTAGGAAGTCTTATAGCCACAGCTGTAGTACAGGCTGTGCTGTGCATTGTTTATTGCTAAGAATCCACAGTTATGGCAGATAATATGATGATGTAGTGTTGACGTTGAGTTGCTTGTAGAGAAATAATGTTCGGTGTCACTTGCTGAGCTGCAAGAACCTGTTGTTTAGAACATGGAGCCCCTTGCAGAAGCTGAAAAAATACATATTATTGTGTAAAATAAATGCATAAACTAATTAAATAAAATATTTCTCCGTAATGACATTAGCACTCAGTAAACAAAATGGATTAACTGATTTGCAGCACTTATATTGACACAAAATGTAAATCTTAAAGTGGAAATTGTAATTTTAGATTCTATTCAGATTGTTATTGTATTTTGCTGGTGCCATTATACAGTACTACTGTAAGTGACTTACAGTGAAACAATAATAGGAAGTAGAGCTGGAGTGGTGAAACAGTGAGCATATAAAACAGCAAGAGAAGAAGAGAGTCTGAGCAAGACACAAGCCAATCATAACCAGATAGGTTTATAAATTACACATCAACATTAAAAAATCCAGTAAAAAAGTAACAGTTCTTTAGCTAGTAACCTACATAGTCAGAGACAGTATAGCAAACAAATTATAAACCTGAGAAAAGATGTATGGTCAAATTAAAAAACTCTACCTGAACTATAATTAATACTAGACAGCTTCATACTGTATTTCAGGCTTTGTAAAGACTGGAAGCAATTTTAACATAAATGTCTAATGTCAAATGAGATATACAGTACTGTATAAGTCATTTCTGTATTCTGTATTTAATAAATACAGAAAGAAAACTGGGATTTATGTTCTTTGAAAGCATTATTGTCATTTATTTCTTCATGGAGGTGTTGTACTCATTTTATTACAATTCTTTATGGTTTTACAACACAATTTGTATATTTTATATTTTATTACAGAATTTGTAATCACCAATTGCTTCTTTGTCTTAGTTCATAATCACACATCCTGTACTCCATAAACCTCTGCGATATCTGCTAAAACACTTAACCATCTGTGTGTTATTGTACCTAACCGTCATAATTCCACTAAAAAGAAGCCTGATGACTATATAGCTTGCATGGATATGAAGTAATCAAATGAGAATTATAGGAAGCTAAATATTTAACAGCTAGTTCACAGGAATTGTATACTTTGTATGCAAATATGAATATGATTTGTTGTTGATAAATATATTTAATATACCCTCATAATGCAATTGATTAACAAGCTAGCCTCCTCAGTAACAGAGAGCAGAATGGCAAGTCATTTTTATATACAGTATGTCTTTCTGGGTTTTCATGTCCTTCCTTTACTTTACCTGATGTTGCCATGTCTTTACTCATTCCCCAGACTGTGTCCAAGACGTACTGTATGTCGGATTTGTTTCCAATTACATGGCATACCATTTTCTCGATGTATAGAATTTGTATACTTGATTTTTCTAATAGGTTTTTCAGAGCTTTGTCATTTTGTAGCGGAGCTAGTTTGGGCAGGGTGACCTCATTGCCCTCCCTGCGGGTAGCAGGGACCTCAGCCGCTTGGGCTGAGGGAGGTCTCCCTTAGCTTATTCTGCTGGCTCCCTGTTGCGTTACACCGGAGACCCAGTTGTTGCGGGACGAACCAGCGGGGTGGAGTGGAACCGCTATGATCCCAATTTGAGTGTAGATTATAACATCTTTCTGGCTAATTATATTATCTTTGAGTCTCCTAGACGAGTAATTCTCAGTGCTTGTCCTGCAATGCAGCATAAACAAGCCAGTAGACTCATTCTTGGCATCATATTGCACTGGTGATTAGGGCCGCAGTTGGAAAAAAAACTGGCAAGCACAAGGGTTCTCAGGACTTTCAATAACTTTCCCAGCTTTTGTTTGCCCATTTATCTTCAACATACTGTATAATCACAGCCACCTGCATTCAATATTGGCGCTTCCACATTCAGAAACTTGCTTCCTTAATTGCCTTGCGACTATGCCACTATTATTACGGCTTTTTAAAATGTCAGTCCTCTTCTCTTGGCTGCTTTCCACCATTTTCTACTCCATTTTGTCAGTATGTGAAGAAATAATGACAGAAGAGGTACTTTTTGAGCTACACAAGCCTTTAAGCTAGCCAGTACTTTGTAGTTCTTTTAAGTGCAGCAGAGGTTGCTAGAACTACAGTGCCCAGACAGGTAATCAGTTATTTAACATGGTTAACTGACTTTTTCAGACGCAGTATATTTGCTTTCTATTCAGTGTGTCCACCATGTAAGAAGATGTGGCAGTCAAAGCAGTAGCTACTGGGGAAAGTATTCTGAGGAACATTGGTGGAGACTTTGAAGATACATAAGAGATGTTGTGCTTTTTGGATGGTTCATACGTGGACTAATGTCATTAGAAAGGAGAGTGTAAAAGCTTTTGTAGGGCTCCAAAGAGAAAAATTAAAGCTTACTTTTGTCTGTCAAAAGTTTATAGACGATAAAAAAATAGTGTGTGATATCAAATAAATAAAGTACTTTGGCACCTTCATTACAACTTCACTTTATTCAGACAGTCATTCCTCTTATGCTTGGGGTAAAACCTAATAGAGCCTGGCTGCGGTCATTAGCATCATATACAGTACAGTGCCTTTCAGAAGTATTCAGTTTCATGAATACTTCCGAAAGGCATATACGTTTGCATACTTTGTTGCTTTATAGCCTGCAGTAATAACATTTTAAAATTGCAATTATTTTATAAAGAAGCTATTCCACACATTCAAAGCAAAAAATGAAAAAGAAAGGAAGAGAAAATACTAAATTATAGCTTTGAGGCTAATGGCAACTTTGAAATAATTCATTTTTTTCTTGGGTTTTCCCTGACATTTCTTTTAACTGATTTACCCTAAGAAATCTCCAGTTTGAGCATATTAAGAATAATATGAATAAAATATAAAGTTGAAGAAATGTGTGCATCACTTTGTTATTTTACAAAATAGGACAGCATAGGATATGACCGAATAATTTTGCAAGCCACTGTATACTGTATGTACATAAAGCGTTTATGAACTTACGTGGCACAGTAGCATTTGGGGCTGCTTTCAGAGTAACTCCTGTAGAAAAAGGAAACTGTTTATTAGAATATGAAGTACTGCAGTATACAACTGCAAAGTACTCATGCACTTGTGTTATGATTTCTGAAAGAATAATATTTCATATGTTTTAATCTTTTTTGTTCCAATTTGAAATGGGTTGTAGCTAAACCCTTCATATATTTAAGAACTGACCACATGTTTGATTGTTCATTCGTTTTTTTGTATGCAAACACTTTTTTATTATTTTTCTATACTTTAAATGTAAATCCCATATTTTATAAGAATATAGAAATCTCCTTTAAAATGTTACCGTTTTAATTTGGTTTCAGTAAAAGCAGTCTTCAAAATAACATACTGAAGGCTCCTTGTTAATTGCATGATTTGCTGCACTACTTTGTACTCATTGTTCTTCAAAGATTAAAACAATAAAGAGAACATTGTGTGAATTATTTATTTGTGAATTATTTAGGAGAATTTAACCCATAATAACGACAAAAATATATGTATTTTAAAATATTTTCCAGCACTGATTTTACAATACAGCACACAGCCTGACAGTCCTGAGGCAGGATGGCCATTGATCTACAGTATAGACAATGACTGTGAAAAGGTAAGATTATTATTTCGACTTTTTTGCCGATGCTTTCATCTAAGCTTCTCACATTTGTACCCATGAATATACTGTAGATGGTTACTTTATTGCAGCAATCAGAGAAACATACAGTACCTTGTTCCACTGTATTACAGCAGTGTCCCACCAGGGAGTGGAGCCTTCTGTTTTGATTTCAGGGCCCTAATTACTACTCCATACTGCTAAAAAGTGACAGGAAGAACTTAAACATCCTATTAACATCGTGGCTTTCAGTGCATATGTTATGGTACCTCTGCGTATTTTGCAAATCCAGTTATTGTAGTGTTCACAGTGTCGATCATTCCAAGGCAATCCAAAGAACAAGCTCGTTTCCCCACAGAGTTCTGCATCATTGTGATTGTTGGGTTCGCCGTATCCCCAGTTCTCATAGGAAACCTGAGACACAATTGCGAAAATGCTTCATCTCTATTATACTGCATACACTGTACTGTATACGAAAAGATACAGTGGCTTGCAAAAGTAATTGCATATTTTGTTGTTTTATAGGCTGGAATCATGACATTTTAAAGTAAAAATTACAGTATTAACAAGATATTCTACTCATTCAAATAAAAAAATGAACAGTCAAATAGAGCAAAAAATTGAGTCAATATGAAAGAAAAAAGGAAAAATCAAGATCGCATTAGCATTCAAACTCTATGATGTGACAAACCTTAACTAATTCAGATGCACAAAATTACCTTAAAGACTCACACAGTTAAGTGGCCAATAGTGCTCATGATTTCACTATAAAAACACCTCTTACCAAGGTTCTGTTACAATAACATATATTCATTTTTTGAATGAAACATTTTTTAAATGTATAATTTCACAAAATGGGACATCATGGAAAGGTTGGGAATTATTTTTCAAGGTCCTATATATAAATATGTACAGTATGTAAAGTATATTCACAAGGCAACTTAACAATAATCAACTACGTAATTGTGAGATTGCCAGAGGCATAATGTGATCACTGAGCTACTGAACACTGAGTTCAACTGATTCATAACCATGTTTATGAGTCACAAAATTAAAAATGTCTCACCGATGTTCCATCACTCCACATAAATCCAGCATTGGGATCATGAAGATTAATTCCAATCCAGGCATTTTCATTATAGAAATGACCTCTATAAATTAGAAGTTAAAAAATAAGATATAATAATAGCTAAAATTCATTTGTTGTTTGGTTTTAATGAAATTGTTCCTGATTTTTCTGATCATTTCTGTTCTTTATTTTATGTACCTTTTGAATTGAACAAAATGCCTGAATCAATTATACAAGAGTACTAGGCTTAAAGAGTACATTCATTTTTTTTCTGTTGGTAATACCGTATACAGTACATGAAATCACTTTCAAACATAAAATGACCTAAAGTACAATAGGAGCTGCAGCTGATGTATATTATATATAGTATATTACACAATACAGTGTACTGTACATTACATACAATATTTCACTTTTGTTGAGAAGGTATTTTATTATATGAAATATCCACTACAAATATTGCCTTGCTATCTGACTATGAATATAGGTTTAAAAAAACCTGTCTGCTTAGTTAAACTATTAAAATATAACTACGTATTATAACCATACATATATATAATATAATAATATATAACCATAAAGGAACAAGTAATAGGTTTATTCCATGCTGAAAAAAAAGAAGAAAGAGAACACAACGTTTCGGCCGTGGAGCCTTCTTCAGCTACCCACATAATACTATAGTATAGTATAAAAAATTGAACTGGAATCTTTAACAATGATAAATACAGAAAAAAAGTTTTACTGTGTATCACTTTCTATGATAATCATCATAGATATATTTCTTTAATGTGCATAAAGCAACGTTTTAGAGCCAAAGTGTTTTGGACATTTCAGAAGCTGAAGCTGTCCCTAACAGAAGCTACTGTACTTACATGTTGCCATATACTTCATGAAGTTCCGCCTCACTGTGAATGCTGAGTAGATCACCTCCTATTGCTACACAGAAGTCTCGGGCTTCAAACCATGTCTTTTTATTCTTCAAATTTTTCTTAAAAAGCTGGAGAAACGACAAAAAAAATAAACTCAAAACGCATTTTTAATCGGAAATTTACATGTATAAACTTGGGTGGCATGGTAGTGGATTGCATTGCTTCCTTACAGGACTAGGGCACTGGGTTCAGTTCCAGACATAGGGTGCTACTGTTTCTCTGTTTATATTGTATTGAATTTGTGTGTTCTCCCTGTGTTCATGTGGGTTTCCTCGCGCAACCCAAAGACATTCTGGTAGGTTAACTGGCTTCTGAAAAAATTAGCTTTCGTGTGTGCGTGTCTATCCAGGATGTACAGTACCCTGACTTGTGCTTGTGTCTGAGATAGGCCCTGGCTCCCCCATGACCTTGAATTGGATTTAAAAATGAATTTGTTAAAAACTGGATGAACGGGTGGACATACAAACTTTGTGTTCTCAATTATTTACTGTACATGCTGTTCAAAGACGTTTCAGTCTATTGGAGACAAATATAATTTCACAATCTTGTGTCCAGCAGTGAAGACATGCTACCTAGCAAGGCCATAGTTGTCTAGATCCTTGGGAAAATATGATTAGATAGGAAACAATTGCACATGGTGGAGATTCAGTTGTTTGGTCTAGTTCTAAAATGATTAAACAAGCCTACTAATGCATAGTTATAGTATGATATTTTTGCTTTAGCTTGCCTGGCTGAGAAAATGACAGTTCTATCACAACCACCTCACTTACAAGGGATAAGCCAGGGAAAAAAGCTACTGAGGTGAAGCAGGCAGAGAGGGAATAGCACTCGAAAAGAGTTAAGCACAGGGAGAATTTACATATTCAGAGGTGCTGAAATGTAACAGAAGCAAAATATGCTATGGCAACACAGAGAATTAGCCTACATGTGGGTGGAAAAACAACTACTGCTGGCTGCAATTTGTTAGATGGAATGGATGAGGACATACAGTATTTCTGGCAGAACCCCCAAAAGAAGAAGAGATGTCAGTTACTGTATGTTCATGGAAGGGAGCTTTAGGGGTGATAAGAGCCAGGGTCAGACACCTTACAGGTTGAACATCAACCAAAGGAAAGGGTAAAAGGGTGAGGGGAAACTTGTTACAGTAGTTGCTAGCACCACAACTGGGGAGTCCTCAGGGACTATGAGGGCTGTGAATGAGGAGACAATGAAAACAAGGATTGGGGAAAAAAAGAAGTAATGAAGTAAAGCACAGACAACACGACAGGAGCAGAACCATTTTCTGTGGAGAGTTTGAGGCTGAAGTGGTAGGAAGTGGTATAAAAGGGACTCCGGTCTGAATGTGATGAAGGTAAGGTCTTGCTAATGCAGAGTGAGAAAACTTCCCACACGACCAAATACAGAGTGCTAGAAACATACAGGTATCACAGCATTGTGTGCAGTCTACAGAATATAATACTATGCTATTCCACACCCCACAAAGTGTAGCAATCCACCAGTGCTTGCCCTTTCACCTTAAAGTTCACCTCCCCCTGCCTATTCCACTAAAAAACAAAGAAAGTTCCCCCTTTCTTTGGCAGAAGTGTGAGGACATCACACTTAGAATTTGCCCTTCCCTGTTCAACAAACCCTATTAACTGCATTTTGTATCTGTGACACCGCAAGCGGCCAAATCCTCAAGGGGAGGTACCTCCCCCATGGACTATTTTTTTCTCAAAGCTTTCCCTCCATCTAAGATGGCAATGCGCAACTCACAGGAGACAAATACTGGAGCAGGCATTAGTTCCAGTTTAGATAAATAGTGCACCAAACCAGGAAGGGGGCAGTGAGAGGACAAGGGAGAATCATGCACCCAAGCCTGTGCTGCAGACAGGCAGAGTCCACAAAAAGGTATAGTTTTCAACTATAAAATAAGCTATGGTGCTATAGCTAACACTGCTTAACTACAGCACAAGCTGCTACACTACAATTCCAGTATTTGGACTGAAGTCATAAACTGCCCAGCTATTGAACAAGCTGAAAAGGAGACGCTGTGTGACCACACCAAGCCAGAATTATGCAACATTGTGAGGACGGCATTGTGAGCTCTGTGAGTCTGTGAAGCCTACACCCTAGTGACACAGTGAAAACGACACCAAGGAGATGCCATACAGACAGAGCCTGTGGAGCAGTGTGAGACAATGCCTGGGAGGCGCTAGATGCTAGCTGAAATGGCCAAACCCAAAGTGAAAACTACTCATGAGTAACCTCCACAATTAATGAGAAATACTCTAACATGTTTGATTGTTTGTGCCAGCAGTAGTTTACTGTATCTGCCCCGCATTAGTAGTTAGGAACTGGAAGAAGTAAGGTGTTCATGATTTTATTGAATGGTGTTTGTTTACTCATATGTGAATGTAACATATCTTATTACACTAGTCTTGGGGTGTGTCTGTAGTCAGAGACCCACCTAGCACCTGTGCCCTTATTGTGCCACTTTATTTACAGCATCACACTTTATTGTCAGTATTCATACTTCATTACTATCCCAGTTCCGGCTGCTTTTTGGAACTTTTGATCACATTTGTATTAGTCCTATTATATGAAAAGTGATTAGATATGTGCTTAATTAACAGTCTTTAAATATACTACTTCAGCATAATTTGTAATAAAAGTTATGGTTTTCACCTTGAAGCATGATTTACCCTGGGCCATCACTGTCCAATCAGAAGGGCAATCGCCAGTGGGGAATGTTGTCGGAGCTGGGGTCGTTGTCACTCCATCAGCAAGATGCTTGCAGATGTATTTTTCATTACTATCACAGTTTATGACATCCCATAACCCAGCGAAAGTTCCTGTGGTCAAGGCAACACAGCCCTGTTTCCTGCCTTTGAAAAATGAAGATCAAAAGATTATGAAAGGAAGGTGACATACTGTAAAGTTCAAAATGGAACCTTATAGAAAATACAATAAAAACATACTCCTGATATTTCTTCTAGGCAAACTATCACAATTGCTGTCCCTCCCTCTTAAGGGCCCTCCATCTCTTCCTCGTTTTGCCTCATTCCCCGCACCTGTTCCTTATTCCAGCCCCTTTTCAGTTCCCCCTTAAAAGCCAGACGCTGACACTAATCAGGGCTCTGCATTGGTTTCCGCATCATGCGAGCCCGGCACCTGGATGCGTCTGGCTCCATTATGTTCTTAACTTTCTGTTCCTGTTCCTGTTCCCCCTGCCGGTCCCGACCCGGTTCCCATTTTTAATCTACTGTCTTGGATGCATCGCCTGGCCATGGACTTATGCTTGCTTTTGGATTTCACTTTGCAGTTGTCCCTGGATTTGTTTGCCTCGTTACACCTTCCCCGACCACCAGCACTCCTTGGACACGCCCCCCTGTTTTTATTCCCATATCCTGCATGACTTTTTCCTAGTGTTTCCTCACTCTACCCCGGATTGTGTCGTCTGCATAGGCTCCGGAAAGAACAGTTCGTGACACAAACAATGTGTCAGACACATACTGACTGTAGGACTAAGGAATTCCAATCTTTCTGACATTGTTTCTCTTTTAACCAAAAGCAATGCCACCCGTGAAACTAATTTTGACAGACCTCTACTTTGCACTGTTTGAATTATAATATTAAGCTGTATTCTGTGTATTACCTTGGTCAGTGTTTCTTGAGCCTAGGTCCTGGTGAACTTGTGTGTTTTTTATTGCTTGCCTCAAGTTCTTAATCACAGGTAATATTTATTTCATTCTTATATTTTAGGTGTGTTTTTAAGTTTTCTTTCAGCTCTTATATGGTTTAGGAAACATATCAAACACGTGCCATTTCCTGAGTTTCAGACCTTCCCAAATTTATTTAACAAATAAATGCAACTAATTAGAAATACAGTATGCAGAAAGTAAAAAAAAAAATAAAACACACACTATGGGAAGTGTTGGATACATTGTCATTACCACATGTGTCTGTTCATCCTAAATTGATCACCTGATCACTGAACACTGACTGCAAAAAAAAGTTCTTAACAAACAGATCGTTTGGATTAATTATCACTTGTGATTAAGGGCCCAACTAGAATGAAAACCAGCAGATAGGCTGGACTATCAAAACCCAGACTGAGAACCTCTGCTCTAGTCATTCTTAGTTTTGAGCTTTTTCTCTTAAAGAGTAGTATATGTCAAATTTGAAATAACACAAGCACAAAAATCTACCTTTACCATACCTGCACAACTGATAGAAAATAATATTTATGAACTGCATACCTGGCATCCCAGCATTAAAGTGAGTGAAGTGCACAGCTGCAGTGTTGGTCCACACAAATGTATCCCGGTCAGCAGTATTAGAAAGGCCCGTCCAAAAATATTTCTCAGACCTCAGTCCAACCAGGCTAATGAGAAAGGCATTTTCATACCTAGAAAAAAAAATCACTTATGAGAATTATGTCAAATAACAATGTCATGCACAAACACATGCAGAAAAATTCATACTGTATACCAGCTCACAGAAAACAACATAAAAACACTGATACCAGGTGGTGGCTGGCGTTATATAGGAAAAAAAAATATTTAAAGCACTGCTGGGAGGGTGCTTTAGTAATAGTATAGTTTGTTATGTCACACTTGCAGACACAAAATGTGCAACCATGTTACAAACACATGAGACATTTATGCGTTCGTTTTTGGAAGACTTTGCACATGTCTTACGTACAGTACGTAGTTGAGATATCAGAATATCTATTACAAAATCCCAAGATGGCTCACAGATTGTTAACATTATATTTTGGTTCTGGCAAAATTGTAAATAAAAAAAAGTTGTATAGCAATTCTGTACTAAAGTGCATTATTTTTGCCCAAATGTACAGTACTTAACCTTGCTGACATGGTGATTTTATTTTGATTAAGAGTTTGATATAATTAACTTGATCTGAACTATTTTGTGAACTGGGCTTGCTTTAAAATTAACACTTACAATCCCACCCCACATCACTGGTACCCCATCAATTTCCACCAAAGAACCTATGAGCAAAAGTCAAACTGCATTCAAAGGCTCTAACCCCCAACCTCTGGTGCCATGGATCACAGCAGAAGAAAGCTCCAAGAAAATAGTATCCTGTGATGCCAGGGGAAGGAATATCCCAACACAATACCAATATTTTTCAAGCTGCAGTAAGAACAGCCACCCAAAAAGATTTCTGCCATTTAGGGAGGCCAAGATCAGAGTGGTTGGGGATAGCAAGGAATATAATTGTATGAGATTCTCAACAGCAAATATCAAGTCACAATTTATTATGTAGTTCTGGTGCCAAAACACAATCTACTATCCCTAGGGGGAACATTGGAATAAAATAAATCCTGTAGTCTAGATGGAGAAACCAGCCTTTTCAAAATGTGGTCTCTTATAGTTTAAAGTCATTTTTAAATGACAGCATTTGTGTATGCATAATTATGTTATGCTTTTCTTGATTCGTTTTTTAATTCCAAATTTTTTTGGATTTGTTTGTTACCTCTATTAAACCAGAAAGGGGAAAAAGACTGTGTACATTTTTCCTCTGCAATATGAGTAACAAGTAGGAACTCATTCCAATCAGTGACTGAGGAGCTAGAACCAACTGGAGGAGTTGTGCACCCAACAGTTCAAGCCCTCAGCAGTCTAGCCCACTGTTTGCTCACAAGTCATGATACATCTACTTGGAGAATCATGATTACAGTCAGTCTTGTACTACCCAACCCCCAAATACAAAGGCATTCACTGAATAATTATTTTATTCTGTGAGTTGTAGCATTTTCAAAAATAGTTTTGCACTGTGTAATCATAGGGATGTTCTCAGAAATACACACAAAGCAAATTAGGAAAATTTAAAGATAAAAAGCCTAGCTCAACAGTAATGTAGTCACTATAGCACTGTACTGTGGTACTGTAGTAATGTAGCACTGTAGTCTTACCTGTCAGCAATATCAACCAAATGGGCTTCAAAGCTCCTACACTTCTGAGTTGCACTTTCAAATGTCTGAGTCTCTGATCCAACGTAGTAGCAGGATAACCCATATCTGATCCATCCCTAGAAGACAAAAAATTAATTACATCATTGGTAATGTATAAAATGAAAATGGAAGACTGAATTGGATTACAGAACATGAATATTTTGGCAAACAGTTATTTATTCATTACAAAATAACCTCGTCAGCACTCAAATTCAAATTTGTTTAAATGATCAGATGATTTCTGGAACTAAAAAATATTAATAAAGTATATCTTCTGAAAAAATACTGTCAAGTCATATTTCCTTTAAAATAGTCATTTGTTTGTGATTGTGTTTTAATGCTTAATTTCAATATCTTTTTCAAGTACTAATAATTAAAAATCCTAAAACTATTCCCTGGCCTTCTGAACTATGATAATTCTCTGTATCTATCTCTGATACATTTACATACCAGACTCATATACAGTATACTGTAAAAGCATATTATTTTAATAAGTGATATTTCATTCTTAAATTTATTTTCTGAAGTCATGAGATGTTGCTTCCTGGAACACTTAATGTATGTGTTCCAGACTGAAGGAAATAAAGCTGTATAGTAATTTTTATAATTCAGTCACATCTTTATGCAAAGAGTAGTGTGGGAGTAAGGCACAAGATACCCATTAGGTTGCTGTAGGCAACCTGGCTTCTTTCAGGAAACACCTGGATGAAGTCTTCTGATCACTAAATGTCAAATGGGCAAAATGACCTTGTCTCATACTGTATGTAATATGTTTTATTGTTACTCAATTATATTGTTACTCAATGAAAAATGCTTATAGATAAACTATTAAAACAATTTTGAAAACAACTTCTAAAGAAATCAGTCTATAAAACTTTAAGACACTTTAAAAAAAATTTAAGAAAAATATTTATTGGTTTATGCAGAAGCCAAATGAGAATGGATACTCCACATGAATAGACTGTACAGTATATTCTGTAGACTGTAGACTATCTTTCTAAATATTCTGTACTATGAGAGGTAAAATGGATTTGAAGCTGAGTTTTTTTTTAATTAACTTCCAAACATTATGTGAAAACGCACAGGAATATTTTATTTCAGAATATTTCAAACCTTCACAGAATAACAGTGTTCAAATGCTGAGCATTTTTAAATATAGCTTTCATTTTGATGAACATTAACTGTTTCGGAACTGAAGTTGACAGGGTTGTTTTTCAACATACTGTTGTGTTATACTTAAGTTCAGCAAGGTTAATAAATAGTCATAAATATAAAGTAATAGCATAATAAATATGATCAACACATTTTACAAATACATCTTGATACTGTACAACTAACAATTTAGAATTAAGCTATTGTATTTAAATTTTGGTGCAACAGTAAGCTTGATTGTTGTTGACATGGAAGTGAATAGTAGCAACATTACAGTTGTTGCCATTTTATAATATTTTCTTTGCCCTGGAGGGACAGGAATGTAATACAGTAATTCCACTATTTTCTGTCATGGCCATAATGCCAAAGAAACAGATCTTACATCTACTGTTGTTACTGTAGCTTGAACTGGACTGTGACTTGAATACAGTCCACCTACAAATTTTTCATTTAAAAAAATTAAAGACTAATTAAGAAATTAGTCTTAACTATTTTTGTTTGGGATAATAAATACAAGTTGCTGTATTATCCCATAGAACTGTATAGTGTATATGGCATACTGTATATGCCAGCAGTCAGAATTCTGAGTCACCAAGACCATATAACTGACTCAAATAAATGAAATAGAAATATGTTATGCACATTATACTGTATGCCCTTTAATAGCTATAATATTGCACTGTTGCCACCATTATTATTACTTTATGTTGCTGGTATTTTTTCACATTCCAATTTATAATGTGTAAATAATATGTCACATTGCCAGTATCTTTTTATTTCTTTCAAATGAACAGTCACTATATCAACCTGTCCTTGTCATTTGGATGATGATCATAAGAAAACTGTAAAACATACCGCTTTGCAACCTTCACTCACAACTGCAGTTGAACCCTGTGGGATGGATAAGGCCTTTTTCTTGCAAATGTATCCATAGGCCTTTTCACAGACATGATCTGCCCACTTCCCTTCCTGATGGGAAACATTCAAAAGAGGCTGCTTTCACCACTGGCACCCCATTCAAAATTTTAATTTCATTTTAATCCTGTTTTTAAGCATATTAGTCAAAGGAAAATAAACTTGCATTAACAACAATGACCAGAAGTGTCCATTTATACAGCAGGGCATGTACTGTATGAGAGCAATATGTTTGAAGTACCATGCTCAAGGGTACAGCAGCCGCGTTCATTATTTGAACCCATGACTCTTTCGGTTTATTCTAATGACTACTCAACTCTACTGTCCTGTAGTACAGGGTTATCATGAAGTTAATGGACTTCTTATACAACTGCATCATAAAATGTGCTACTCACACAAACAGGAACAAATGGACATCTACAATAACACCAAAGAACCACTGCCTTGGCAGATGTAAACTGTCAGGGTGAACTGTCATTGTCCATGTGGTCAAATATGTTTGTGTAACAAATTAACTAATCCATTATTCATTTTTCTCACAATGCAGTTTGAATAGTTGAATAGTTCAACTTATTGTGTAGGTCAAAAGGGCATGAAGAGCATAATCCAAAAACAACAAAACAGAATAACATTTTGTCCCAAAGACTTGACTTTGATTCAATTTGATGGTAACTGAAGAAGATTTATGTATGATTATACAAAAAAGGAAACATCTAACAACGCTCACAGATGTCATCACGCAAATAAGGATGCGGTGATATGGACACACAGGTCAGATAAATATTTATAAATGAGATTCATCAGCAATGTGTAGGGCAATCAGAAGAAAGAAAAGAATATGAAAAGATGGAAGCTAAAAATATGAAAGTATGAAAGGCTAAAAGATAAAAAGAAAGAGCAGTAGTCAGATACAGTACATGTTTCCCAGGGTATGGAAACCCTCACTATCTTTAAACAAAAGTGTTACCTTTCCTTTCATAAGGACACAGTCCTCCTGCATATTGGTGGCATGGCTTGGTTCCCCTGTCAACCATTTTGTGAATGTCACATGGGTCCTGTCAGTCCATTCAAACAACATTGACATTTTCTGGTCATTCAGGCCTATCCAGAGTTCATCTGTTGGCACTGAAGAACAATAAGATATTTTATTAAAAGCCAAGCTAATTTTCAATTCAAAGGATTGCAGGGAAATTGTTTGCTGTTGTTTGGAAAACAACACAGAGCTTTAAGCTAAAATGACAACGTTCAGAAAACTAAATCCACAGCATGCAGGGATAAAAAAGTGTAATTTTTCCATATCTACGACACGAGTCAAATGGTAAATTACATGCAGAAGTGGATTGTACATTTTTGTGAAAAAGCAAATGCAGCAGTTGAAAAATGTATAAAAGTATCTCATCCCCAATGTGAAGGGGAGGTTGAATATACTATACATGATCGATGCAGCCTTCCATGATGATTACTACCTAAACAGTACATCACCAGCACTGTTAGTGTTCCATTAGAATGGAAATGATAAGGAGCTCTTCACACCCAAGTTGGCAGGACGCGTCTGCACATTATCTTGACTATGCACTTGTAGCATTTTAACCTGCATGAGCAGTGCACAATATAAAGAATCATTAATATCAAGTAATATAGGAATGCAGATCACAAATGTAAGGGAAATCACACCACGTCTAAGGGATGTAGAGGGAAGTTTCAGTAGATACACATTCTACTCACAGTAGCCGAGCTGTGAAATGACAAAGCTGTGTTCCTCAATGTTATGGATACTGGCAAGATCACCACCTTCCTTGTGACATGCAGCCAGAGCTTCTTTCCATATTTTTTTAGTTCGTTCTAAGTAATAGCAATGGCCAGCATAGGGCACCCAGTGATTTGGACAGTAACTGGGCTGGGTACTCGCTGCAGAAGAAGAAATCAAACATAAAATAAAGCAGTGATCTACTGCATACGTTACACATATTGCAAAAATCCGGTTAAAGGTATTGTATAGGGCTGAAGGTCAAAGCAACGTCCAGAAAAGTAGATTATAATTTCTTCAGCTATTGAAGCACAGTACAGAAAGTTCCTAATGTATAAAAAGAAGACTGCCTTACAATACAGTTAGCTACATGAACTGGCTTCATTGATGAGTTCTTTATACAAGTTATGGATTTTAACTAGTACTATGATCAATCCAAAAATGTAGGTTAAGAAATTATAAGATACAACGTCAATATGTTGTACGGCATGTTTCAGCCATTGTGAAGCCTACATTAAAAGCAGACTTAAGCAATCAGCGTTAACCTGGAATCACGGGGTTTACATTGGTAGTATTTCCTTTTCTGCAGATATATCCAAGTTTCTTCGAACATACTGAGTCTTCCCATTTAGCTGCTTTGCCTGGATTTAAAACAGCACAGTTCAGTCCTGGCTGTGAAGATGGGTGCCCTGTAATGTGAAAGAGAGACGCCAAAAAGAAAAGAAAATCATTAAAAAATGAGCCTATAGGCTCTTACATTAAGTCTAACATAATTTACCAATGCCTAAAATCAGATTTCTCATTCAAATATGAATGTGTCCTGCTGTTTTTAGTTAAATCAACTAGAAAGGTACTGTAATTACACCCATGGAAAAGGGTCTAACAGCTATCAAGTGAACAGTGCTACAGAGTATTACAACTAATTTCAGATCTGTGAAACAGACTGCACAGACAGGGTACACAGACTTTGACCTTGCTTTGAGTACTTCCTTTGTAGTCAGTGATGGAAAAATCAAAGAATCTTAGTTAATCTCTAAATCTAGTTTCTGTTTCAAGAGGGTTATGTTTTTAAATTGGATAAGTAGACAACATTATGTTTCTCATCACCTTTTCACTTTCAATTCAAGAAAGCTAAATTATTTTGAAATACCCAGAAATGAATATTGCTGCTTCATAGTGGTTCACCTCACCTTCAATTTAATCTTTTAAATTCACTCAAGCTTTTGAATATATAATAAAAAAAACACACTGAATCACAATGGCAGTCAATCTGAAAGGTGGAGGAAAGTGCACTTATAAACATCACCTGACATTAGAAAGCATGTAGTACACATCTGTTCCCCACAGAGATGCATGCTACAGCGTCTTTGATGTTAACTTTAAATGAAAATTAGCACTCACCTGGTGCCCAGTTTAGATATCTAAATGGACTTCCATCAATCCATTGCCAACCAGTCTCAAACTCCAGACTATTCAATCCAATCCACAGTGGCGATCCCAGATTTTCTGTCAATCCTATTTTTTTAAAAAAAGTAAAGCATTGGTACTCTACAAGCATACCTCCTGAGTAGCATGGTCAATATATGCAAACACCATTCCTACAGTATTTTTATGATGTGGAAAATGCAATTATAATTTTTAAAGAAGATTTGCTTGCAATTATGACAATATTTTGTACCCGCTCGATCATCTTTTAGGTAACCAATTTAAATACTAATACTTCTGCTGCATACAGAATATTTTTCTATTTGAAACTTGTATACATTATTATTAGGTTGTTTCCTTTTTGATATGTTTTTTTTTCATTACCACACACTGACATTTCCAAGTTTACTTTTTAAGACCATTTATGCATCTGTTAATTGTGCTATGAATCTGATTAGAGATGTGGGAAGCCCATTGATTAAATGTCATGCAGTAACTGTTATTTATTATATTTATTGTTTAAATGTAGTGATTTTATTCTGACAAGTACAACTGCCTTGAAGAAATGAAAAGGTAAGTGATTAAAAAATCAAATGCTTTCATTTTCTGTATATATATATAAACAAATTTAAGTTGGTTTAAATAAAATTATTTCTACACCCTTTAGGAAAAACAAGTTTGATGTTTTAATATGGCAATTTGAGTGCATTTACAATGAACATAAGTGTAAAAAATGAATGAACTTAAAACTTCTTGTTTAAAACTAGATTTTACGGAAAGCATTAAAGGTCATAAAAGTACATTAATAAGACATTTGTGTTTTAACTATTGCATCTACACTTCAGCTGATACTAATAGTTGAGCTCTTAAACTAAACCAAACAGCGTTAAATATTGTGTTTATTTTTGGTTGGGAAATCTGACCAAAATAATTTAGAAAACTGAAAAAAATGCATGTACAGTGTGCTGCAAATTATTTTACTGGCTCTGGTACTCTACCTGCACTGGCTCCTTCTGTAAGCCATTATGCCCCTAAGAGACAGTACTTTCCTACGTACACTATACATATGAAAACAAATTTAGGTTTCAAAAAATTATACAAAAACAGAGTATCTTAAATCCACTGATGTATTTTTTATCCTGTTCCTAATAGTATGGTACTTAAAGTTTCTTGAAACCACTTTCAATAAGGAAATAACTTCATTTACTGTATTGTAATGTAATCTGTTTTTTTAACCCTAATCAAAATACTAATGTACTCTACTGTGCTGTAGAGAAAAATAAGGATAGAACATGAAACATTAAAGGTTGTGTTTATCATAAAATATTTCATAGTAGTTCGCATGTCATCTTGGGAAACAACTATAAAAGACTTATGGATTATTAAGATTATTGTTTCTGTTATGAAAGGTTACAATTAATATTGGGTGGCATGTTGATTTGCTAATTATTATTGTACTGTACCAGACCATTATGGTTAAATTATTTTTTCTATCTTTTCTTTCTAAAACTAAATGTAAGTAAGTGTATTATGAGGGAAACCTGAAATGGTTAATAAAAAATAGACTAATGTGAACAAACAAAGGATTTTTTGCACTACAGAGGTGTTTTTCTGCAGGGATTTTTCTACTGTCTCTTCTCCGTCTTTTATAAAAGTTTCCCAGTAATGATACTGCTCACCACACCTTCGAAATGTGGCATTTGTACTCACACCTTTCCAGGTGCAGCCCCATCTATTTTTGAGTATTTCTACCTGAGAGATATGTTTGTTCATGTAATTCCACAATGCTCAGTAAGTCTGCACCCTGCTGCTGACAGCTTCTTCTCGATTGGTGCCAGGTCAGAACAGCTTGGGTGTTTCTCTGGTACAGGACACCTGTTACAGGGTGGGTATCCCATCCAGAAGTTGCTGTTTGAACAAACACACATGCACATCGTAAGATGAAAAACAGCTGGCCATATCAGTGACAACTTTAAATTTCAAATCAGCTATCACTGCTCATTTCTATTCTTCATACTGATTGAGTTGAATGTGAAAAAAAAAAATTCCAGTTCCTTAAAAATGGAATTTTCTTCAAAAATAAAGTAAGGTAGCTTGCTACCACGTTCATTAATCTCATTAGCCTGATTAACCTTTGGCAAAAGGCAAAGCTCAAACACAAGGTCTATATAACTTTGTTGGGGTTATCGAAGAAGAGTATTTATAAACAATCTGTTCAGCCATGGGGTGTACAGCTGACCATAACAAAGCCCTTTCTACAGACATGGGACTGTGTAGCACTGCCAGTGTGAGATGCTTCTGTACAATGAATAGGGAGCTTTTTCTGCTTCACGTCTTATCATGTCTAGGGTACATCCTGTATATGAAAGTTTTTTTTCCAATGCCCCATTCAGATCATCTGTGTGTCAACACAAAATGTAGAGTTAAAAAGTCCATTAAATACTGTACTTTTGGTAATCCTCTAGAAAACATAACATGTAGAACGTGACCTCTATTATACTATCTACTGTACATGGGCAATTAGCTCAATGAAATTCAAAATTAGTGCTTTGGAGAAATTAGCAATAATAAAATTGATTCACGTGAAACAATTTTCCCTTGCTGAGTAATAGGTTCATACTGCAAAATAATCCTTCCTATCAGAAAGGAAGCTTCTTTGATCATTTGTATTATTTATATTGGTGAGTGGTGGCTTGGCAAAGTGGTGAGTGACAGCTGGTCTGAATGAGTGCTTAGCACTTAAGGGGAGTGAATTCCATGTGAGGGATAGGAGCTGTCAGGATAGGCTCTGCATTGAATTAGCCACTCCCCTGGACTAAGAGGGTTATAAGAGCAGTAGAGTTTTAGTCTATTTCTAACCTTCAGCCTGGAGGGTGGAGAAGAGAGACCTCTTGTAAGTAGCAGACTGGGCTGGTTTAAAGTCCTGTGGGACTCAGCAAGCTAGGGAGGCTTGAGAAAATTCAGCTTATGCTGTATTGAGGCTCCATGGTAGTTCATTTCCCAGGCTCAAAGGAGATGAAGGACATTGTCTGGGAACAGGGTTGGCCTGCAGTCCCAAGGCTGACTACGATTGTTAGCCCCTGTAGGAGTGGGGCATTACGTGTTAAGGTAGCAGTGTATCTTCTCCCCACAGCTGAGAGAGTAGTCTAGTGATGTGTACTGCCTGTGCATTACCATCAGCAGATAGACAGGGTGTCTCAGAGTGTGAGAAAAACAATAAACTGCATGTTGCTTCCTCAGGGATGCAAGTGCAGGTTGTCTCAATGTGCCCCTGATCAAACAGGACCATCAGGGAAAGTAAGTAATGGGCCGAGTTATTGGTTATTAATCAAGATTTGGTACTTGAAGAAAATGGAACGTTGAGTTGAAGTGATTATTTCACTGAAGATTGGGTGACATAAAGTTAGTCTAAATTAAATAACCCAGTGCCTTGTTGTGAATAATGATGAATGAAGGGAAGATTACAATCGAGCAGTATGAATTAATTAAGTTGAATACTCCAGTGCATTGTCAATCCAGTAGAGACAAATGGAGAGAAACCTAGAAGAAAGAGGACAGGATCCTAGAAGGGGTCTGAAAAACTAAGGATGAACCACTTGAAACAGAAAAACCTGAAATGATGTGCTGGCAGTGTTGGTATTATGGTAGTCTGTGTCAGCAGATGTCACAATGTCATACAACAAATGAAAATATAGGCAAATTCAGCACTATTCAGGCAAGACTTGCAATATGTTTTTCTCTTTTGCTCCAGGCTGCTGAAACGGAAATACCGAAAGGGATTGTCTTGCTGCTAAAAAGCCATAAATTGAAGTGCTGCCCAGGTCAATGTATCATTTTGCTAAGTACAGGACTTTCTCTGAGGGTACATATTTGACATTTCTTTGTTGGTTTTTCACTATACCACGTTTAAAGTGATGTCCTCCTTCCTATCTTCAGTTGTATTGTATTTGACCACTAGAGTCATGATGAGAGGAAAAGGGAATAATCAAGTGATAAGAGCAAAGGAAGTGAGATATGTTAAAGTTGGGAAGTCAGGAACCAGATGTCTGTGCAGACCTTACATAATAACCTCTTAGTAAGTTACAGAAAACAGGAAAATAAAATGATTCCACTACACTGTCAATATTATAGTACTTAAACAGTTTTTCAGAACTGTATTAGGAATGTGAATTTTCAAACTAGTAAATTGTAATCTCTGTGAAAGTGTCAGTACTGACAGTTTAGCAAAAATCTACTGTATTTTTAGTGTGCTAGAGAAAATATAAGGACAATGTGTCTAACTTACCTATACCTGTTATAGGAAATCAAATCATAGTATAAGATTCCTTAAACAAGATTCATTATATTGATTGTCCTTAAAATTACGTTAAGTTAAATAACAACATCATTAAGCCATCAGTTATAAGAAATGTGTATTGCATACAAGTAGCATCCTAGTAGCTTTACTATCTTTAAACTCTGACAAGATTTTCTGACAGATTTGGTGTTTAACTTTATTAACTTTTAACTAAATGGAGTTATTTAAAATCACTGGCAGTGTAAACAGTGACTGATTCAATAGGTCACATACTGTAATACATTTGGACAAGACTAGTAAAATGGTTGCAGTAGTTCTGTTATCAGGTTACAGCCTCCCTGATCTGAACCTGAGGAGTGAGTTGTTATTGGACTTCTGTATTAGGCATGGACTGCTCAGAATGCACACCATGTCCAACACAAGGTTACTCATAAGTGAATTTGGTACAAGAGCTCCTTAGGCCAGGTGTTATTAACTTTGTGATCATATCATCACTTTTAAGGATGTATATTCTCACATTCAGGTAGAGGGAGAGGCAAAGCTGTCAACTGAACTGAGCTGGATCATACAGAGAGGGTTGTCAAGGTGTTTGGTGACCCAGAAGGTTCAAACAGGTAGCCAGGGTTCCCTGGGAACTCCTGGTGGATGACTCATTGTGGGACTTCAGTTCCCACTTCTAAAGAGCTTGTATCTTCGGGGAGGTTGGGGACATTGAGTGAGAATTAATCTTGATCAAGACTAAAGTTTTTAAGCGGGTTGTAAGGAGTTGTGGAAAAAAGGTAGTCAATGCCTATTATGGCACGAACACTAGGACCTGCTGGTGCATACCAGCAGTAACGGAAGACATCAAGTCAAAGAAGAAGGATGTCCATGCATTGCTTGCAGGTTGGTTTCACATTTGGCTAGAGGTACAGTCCCTGCGGACCAAGAGGGTTGCAGCTGCAGTGTTCACTGAGGTGAAAGCATGGAAATGGAAAGAGTGTGGAGGAGCTATGGAGAATGACTGCCACAGGGGCTCAAAGCTGTTCCAACAAACCATCTGACAACAGGAGGGGAAGGCGGGGCATTGCCCAAGCTGCTTCAGCAATGAGGATATCATTGAGAGGTGGAAGGAGCACTTTGAGGAACTCCTGAATCTGGTGGATATGCCCTCCTTTCAAGTGCCAGGTGGAAGCCTCTGGAGGGACTAGGCCCATTTCTGTGTCTCAGATCACTGCAATGATTAAACAGATCCATAGTAGTAAAGCTGAAGGTATAGATGAGATACACCACAAATGCTGGCTAAAGGTGTTTAGATGCTGTGATTAATATACCTCTTTAACAAAAAGGTGGGGACAGTGACTCTCTATTGGTAGACGTGCTTGATGGTCTCCATTTTACAAATAGGGATCTGAAAGTGTGTTCTTAGTACAGAAGGATCACACTCCCAAGCCTCCCTAGGAAAGCCTATGCCAGGGTGCTGGAAAGGAAACTTTGGCTGATATTCAATCATTTGATAGAGAAGGAAAATGTAGATTCCATCTAAGTCATTGAACATTAGACCACTTCTTTCTCCTCACATCACAGAAGTTTGCAACCCCTTTGAGACTAACCTATGAAACTTGCACCATTAATAAAATGTTGTCTTTTTTGTCTCATTTGACTATAATCTTTGGCAAACACACTGAAGAGGTTCAGAGCCAAGTTTGATGAAGTCGGAATGAAGAGCAGTAATTCCAAATCTGAGGGTTTTCTCCCAAAAAGTGTGGATTGTGCTCTCCAGGTGAGGGAGGAACAGCTGCCCCAGTTGTAGGAATTTAAGTACCTCAAGGTCTTGTTCATGAGTGAGGGTAGAGGTGATCATAAGACTGACCAGCAGATTGGTGCAGCAGCTGCAGTAATGCAGACACCGAATTGAATTGTGGTAGTGAAGCAGGACCTGGAGGGATTATCTCTAAGCTGGTTTGGGGGAGCCAGGGTACACCCTAGGAGAAGCAGGGACTATTGCTAAGGAATGGGAGGACTGGTGCCCTGTTCAGCCTGTTACTACCATGACCAGAAGTACCAGGAGTAGGTGGTTAGTAATGAGATGAAATCATACTAGTGTAGTTGTATGTTCCAGGAGCATGGAGGAGTGATGGAACCTCTCTCTTCATAATGGTGAATGCTTTCTAGCTTCCAGGCAGACAACTAATCACTCCTACACAGCAAGCAGATGCTACCTTATCTAGCCCCAGCAGAACAGAAATTGTGTACTTACTGGAACTGACAACATCTGAGCAATAAAGCTTATTGTGTGTTCAACAAGACCTCCTTTACTAATAGAATTGACCTAGCGAGTTCATAATTACTCTCTTACTTTAAAAACAGTGTGTTTATTTTTATTGGACTGTACAGTACTTGTTTTCAATTTACCAGTAATATATTTAAGATTTCATTATTGTAGAATTGACTAAAAAATAATTATTTTATTTGAAAAGAGTTCAAAATACAGGTGGCAATCAGCTTGCCACAATTACAGTTAAACTTTTTTCTCTTGCCTAGAATCAAATGAATCATCTCAAATACTTCACTGTTTTAATATTTTCCTCTAATGTTACCAACTGTGTTACTGTCTTATCCCAATCTTTTAGGTTTCTACTGGAATGGTTATCATTGTGAAATCCGGGTTATGGCAGTTATAATTAAAAATACATTCTATGTCATAAAAGCTATTTCCATAATCTATTAGTACTGTGTTCTTGTTTTTTTAAAGGGGCTTATGATTACTAATATTGATGCTAGAGAATAACATTATTCATATGCAGGGTTTCTTTATATGAAACACTGCCAGGGAGAAAGACAACTGGAAAGAAAATAGACTGGAAGAGATTTTTAGAGCTGTTTTGAGCCTGTCACTTCAATATGAAAACAGTGCAGTAACAAAAAGAAGCTTCAGTAAAAAAAAAAAAGCTTACTACTCACATTTTGTTGGACACAGGCCCCATTTTCTATCTGTTTTATAATCTGCGGTTGTTGCACACCATAACTGACCATCAGATCTGCCATCAAGAGTGCACTCAGCATACCATTTCTCATCATACTTGAATGGAAACTGGCAGGGTAATCCAAATGAATTGCCCCCAAGAGTAAAGATATCTGTGGAAAACAAAAGGGGACATTTTGCATGTTAGCAAACCCATTTGCCGTTTTATGAAAAAAAAAACTTAATAAGAATTAGTACAAGAATAAGTATAATCCATTAAATGGAATGTCAAATGTTTAGGAGCAAGTAAAATCCTTATCTCACCCATGTCTGACTAAATGCGGTAGAGTACATACAAATATCACATTTCTTGTTTACATACGTGAGCATTTCATTTTTACAAACCCATCTTCACACTTACAGCAGCTCCCTGACTCCTCTTTCATCAAAATGGGGGTTTTGAAAACCCCATTCTTATGGTTGGGTTGTCATTCTCATCAGCCAGGTGAATTATCCTAATAAATGTCATCAGTAGTTTCACTTAATTACACTTTGAGCCGCTGAAATCCTATTTAGAATAAATATGAATGAAAACAAAATGTTTAGATGCTAGAATATGTTTAATGGGCAGCATGGTAGCAGGGTGGTTAGCATTGCTGCCTCACAGTGCTGGGGCCCTGGGTTTGATATCTGGTGTGCTATTTGCATGGTGTTTGCATGTTCTTCCTGTGTTCACATGGGTTTCTTCTTAGTTCTCTAATGTCCTCCCATAGACAAAAGATATACTGGTACATTAATTGTTTTCTTGAAAAACTGGCCCTGGTGTGAGCATTTGTGTTTTTGTGTCAGCGTGTGTCCTGCAGTGGATTGGCATCTCTTCCAGGGTGTTCCTTGCCTTGTGCCTGTTGCTTGTTGGGACAGGCTACAGCTCCTCCTGACTCTTTATCCGACAAAACAGTTAGAAATGCTTGGATGGATAGAATATTTTGAATATTTTCAATAAGTGGCATTTCTAATGACTGAGATTACATGTAAATGTAAATAAAGTATTTACTTTCTGGATATTCTACTTGAAATCCTACTTTGCTGGAATTGGGAAAAGGACAATTTCTCAACTCTTGAGTCCCCACACATAAACATCTGTGGAAATTATTGGTATTGAATGTTTTATCAACTGAAGTTTTCATTATTTTGTTTTTTAAAGCACTGAATTAGTGTACTATTTTTTGTGCATTTGTGATCATGAGATTAGTATGAATGGTAAAAACAGCTACAAGATTTAAAATAATTAGGACAAAACCATATATTTGATCAGATCATAAAAATTAATACAGTATCTTGTGTTTAACACAGTGATTTCACATGGTAATAAGTATTGGGGTACTTATTTTAAAGACATTTCAGTCTGTGCACATCAGTGTTTAAATACCCATTTGAGGCAATAAAATGCTCAACGTTTGTGACCCACTGAGCTTCCAAAACTCTGTGCAATTATTTGACATGATTTGCCAAGATTTTGGTGAAATCACTTTGAGTTTCTGCCTGCTGTTGACGTGTTCTGACTTTATTTTTTCTTCAGTATGTAAAAGTTATGTTCAATTTAATTCAAATCTGGGCATTGACGTGACCAGCCTTAAGATTTTCCATCATGCTGCTATGCTGCATGGTTACACAATGTCCAATAAGTATGGGAGCATTTTCGTCCACATAAGCATTTTCTTTAAATGTATTATTCATCCATTCTTTTGCCAACTTTGGTTACATTATTAAGGAGCATGTACTGTACCACACTATTGGCAGCCATGAATATCCAGTCTACATTATCTATATCATATTTCAAAATGTGCTCAGACATTTGAAGTTTTGTGGACAGAGACTAAGATAAACTTTCCCAACATGATGGAAAGTTAAACTTTGGAGAAAAGAAAGGAACTCCAAAGAATATAAATTTAAAATAATTTGGCTCATGTCTCTGTACTAATCAAGGAAGAATTTTACATTTTATTTTAGGTGTGATGAATTTCTGTCCAAGAATATGTAACACTAGTGTTTAAAACATAGCTACAGTATCACAGACATTCCTAGAAATCCTAGGATTCTGAGAAAATCCTAAGTGGGGCACTCTTAGCCTAAGCAAGGTACTTCAGTAAGCGATATCACTTCAATAAATTGACTTTGCTATATAAATGTGTAGACATGTAAGTTGGTTTGAATAAAAGCATCAGTCAAACAAATTTATAGTAACAGAAAATAATGCTAAAGAGTATAAAGAGCAGGTACAGACTGAGGACCTGGCTCTGCTCTCCTCCCCACTGATAGCTGGTGTGTGGTGAGCGTTCTGGCGCACTATGGCTGCCATCGCATCATCCAGGTGGATACTGCACATTGGTGGTGGTGGAGGGAAGTCCCCATTACATGTGAAGTGTTTTGAGTGGAGTGTCCAGAAAAGCATATATAACTGTATATAACTGTAAGCAATTATTATTATTATTATTATTATTATTATTATAATGCAAAACTACATCTCTTCATCCATATCTCCAGAAAGAAATAAACCTGTGATGAGCCCAAACATGAGCTTAAACTGTTTAGAGGATTATCTCTTGCCTTTTATTTCTGTGTTTGATGATCAGAAGTTCAATTCATCATGATATTCAACTAAAGCCTCTTTTTAAATGCCTAACACAAATATACTGTATGGTGAGGCATTACAAGGGCAGCAACTGGCAATTGGTTCCAATACTAATCTCATGTTTTTAAATATTTAAATACAGCTTGGTTTCTCCATACTGGTGCTGCAGATAAATTAATAACTGTATTAGTAGAGCATTTGGCGACTGCCAAGCGGGTAAGCAGGTAAACTATTGACATAATTATCTTTTCAACTGTTCCAAAAGGCACATGAAACGAGTTTCAAGACCACATGAAATACAAGGTAACACGTTGTTTTTAATAGTCTAGCTATTATAAGAGGCCTTTAAAGGGATGTTAACCATGAATGTACAGTGCAAGCTATTTGACATAAATGACATTTACCAAAGTAGGGTTTTTATGTAGTCATTCTTATAATTGAAAATGGATGGAAAGTATACCATATGAATTCAGGAAAGATAACTGAGTTTCAGTCAATTATGAAAATTACCTGTTTTTTCATCTATGACACTGGAACCTAACGAGAGAACTTAAGATTTCTACGGCTCAGAATCTTTTGTGTAGGTATCACTAAGGCATAAGTTTTAAACAATGTGTTGTGTGCAACATTTGAGTGTAATGATATAAGTAGATCAGGATAAGCATTAAACATATTTTCACAGGTTCCAACTAAGTAAGGAAGGAATTTTGAAGAAGGAGTAAATATTATTATTACTAACATCAGGTTTTGCCATACCATGACGTGTATATTTTTTGACCCTCCATTGTAGAGCAAGTTTGATTTGATCTAGCATTACAGCAAAAAAGCTTAGACCAGTGATCTTGCTTTTGCTTTCTAGGAATTGTTTACATGCTAGTTTGCCTTGGCCAAAGCTAACATGATATTCCAGTGCCTGTAAATACTGGTTGAATGCATTGGAATTAGGTCTCTACTGTGTATTTATGCCTCATTCTACCAATGTAATGGTTTATGTATTTGGTGCTTTCTGTTCTTTTAAAATTTGCAGAAAAGGATCTGAAGCAGAACGTTAAGCAGGAAAGGAAAGGACAGTACCTTCATATCCTCGAGAGCATAAATCATCTTTGGTGCCATAGATTCTCCATTTACTCCAGAGTCCATTACCCTTGTATAACATGATATTCTTTTCATTCTTGTTTCCATAATTGAAGTACAAGTCTGCTCCCTTTAAGGCAAATAAAGTGTCATTCTTGCACTCCCACCTCTGGAGCTCAGCCTTCTCATCACATGGGAACAGCAGCACCTTAACCCAGTCCTTCTTGCTCACAGCTCCAAGGCACAATTTCTGGGATACACTCAGAAGTCTGTTCTCGCTGACCCAGCGGAACTGTTGGGACTTATCACTAGGGTTGCATGAGGTCGTCTGTACAGAGTTGATGCCCACAGCTGTGACACACTTACTGTGATCTTCGTTGTATATGAGGAAAAGACCAATGTCTGCAACACAGAAAAGGGAAAAAAATATTTGTTTGCATAGCAAAGCAGCGACACTTCGCATACACCAGATAAATCATATCAGCAGCCCAATCCTTGAAATTTTCTAGCTAACAAATTCGTAGAAATGAATATGAAACAAATCATAAGTGAACATAAAATCTCAACAATATCATACCGAATTATGGGGAGTGAACTATCAAATTATTGTAAAGAACATTTGTCCACTCAGAAACGCACTAAAGGAAAATAAATAAACTACCAAAATACTAGTGCTGAAACTACATATTTTTAGTTACAGTTTTGATTTACATTTCTTATTTACCGTTTATTTTATTATACCTACATGTGCAAAACCATTACAAATGAAGTTAAGATGTTATAATAAGATAATGAGATAAGATCAAGATTTTTCTTATTCAGATCTTGTTCAATAAAACCCCAGAATACAAATGCACAATTTGAATCTGAACTGCAAGATGAGAGTATTAATAAGTAAGGCAGAATGCCTACCTAATATATTTTCCATAATTGAGTGTGTTTGCATACTTATATCTCAATTTTTAAAATTCCTACTTTTTATACTTGAATTTTAAAAACTCATATTAAGTATACTTGTAAGGCTTTTAAATAGTGTTATATACACTACAGTATCATCTGTAGCATCTGCATGGTGAACAGATTGAGAGGTACCACATACTGTATGTCATTGATTAAATCAGTGGAATGAATAATAAGGAAGAGTTGTAATGCTTCATGAGACTTTTTTTCTTTATCCCTTCCTTATCAGATTGTATCCTTTACTTATCTCCTTTTATCAAATTTAATGGAGTATGTGCTCAAACGATATTTTCTTATTATACCCCTGGGGTGGGGGGTTAAATGATTCAGTTTATATATTCAAGGTTCAAACCACTTGTCCTAGTACAAAAAGTCCCTGTAACAAAAAAGTCTAAAACTGAGGTTTTCCAGTTTTGATTCTTGGGAAAATTATATCAACTAATTAATCTAAAAGGAGCTGACACATTGTAAAATATGTGATCTGGTGATGTGTTTAATTTTCTGATATCATTTTTCATTAGGAAAAAAAGAAGGCCCTGCTCTATTAAAAGCAAATAAAGAATAAACATTTGTAACATCATTGAAGTATTATTTACTTTAATATGCACTAAAACAAATATTTAATAAGCACTATTATGATGAAAATTCAACACATTTTATGTATGTACTTTATGTGTCACAGTATGTGGAGTACTTTTAAAAAATTACATATATACACAGTATATACAAAGACTTTGCAATCTTTCTTGTAGCACTTTATGTTTGACTTTTACTGTGCATATAACGTTTTTACTTTAGGTACAAAGTTTATCAGATTGTAATATCAATTTATCTTACTGTAAATGAGATGGACTCCAGGCACTGATCAGGCTTGACTGTTAACAGTAAAACATGTGCTTTTAAAGACTGCAAATTCAGTAGTGTATGTAAAATTAATCTACAAGAGCAGTGATATTTGATCCATAGTTTTTCTGAAAACTTAAATTAATTTATTACACCCTTTTCATAGGACAATGACTTCCTTCATTGAATGATTCAATCAAAAAGCCTGGCAAATATTTTAATGCTTAGCTGTTTAGATTTAACAATGTTATACATGCAGTACAACAAAACATTTGCATAATAAAAAAGACAACTTACCTAACTGAATGGAGATGTGAAAAGTAAGAGTTAAATACATAAAAACAGCAAATAATCTAGACATCATAAAATGCTCAGACATGTCCTGGCAGATATGGAAATGACTGACAGTGCTGAATAGATGAAAAGGACTGTTGACACACTCAGGTATCCTTTATCTGAAAATATTAGGAGAAAGTGAGGCCTTTTTTCCCACCCCCAAGAGTTGGCTAAATATCCTGTCACATGGGAATCTGAAATAACAGGAACGAAGTTATCACATGTGTTTCCACATATTTGTACAGGAAAGTACCAGTGTTGCAATGGGTACTTTCATCTTTATTAAAACAGAAGGTAACTCCTTCCAATCTTGTAATTAAAATTTTGTAAAATGTACTAAATATTTAACCTAAACTGTGACATCTCTAGTTCTGGACAGTCACTATTGGACAAGTGTAAATATTGTCCAAATATTTACACTTGTTACACAATTGCTTTATATTTTTCTTTTTAAATAGTGTCTATATTTGTGTCCAATGCCCTGATGTTCTGCGGCAACGAAACAAAGCTGTTTTTTCTTACCATTGATACAGTGCCAAAAGAGGTAAGTTCTGTTAATGAAATTGACAAAAGAATGGTCATGAGTTAGAAAAGAAGAATGGTTTTCAGGATATCTCAAGTTAACATATCCTGTGTTTGGGCAGGACAGAATCACTAACAGGACAACTTTCATCACTTTGTGCTGATTATGCACAAGTTTGCTTCAGGTTTTCTATATCCAAATGGAATCCAGCTAATCTTTTAAAAAATACTAACACCTACTGTATATTTGCTGGTGATGAATATGAACATATTCTGGACAACCAGAAAATGAGAAGGAAAGACTGTTACAGAAAAACAATAAGCTTAAGAAAATACTGTATCATTGATACTTTACAGCTGTAGTTAACAACGTTCAAGGCAAAGGAAACAGGTGAAGGTTTATTCCATGCAAAAAAAGAAAGAGAGACATTTTGGTTGTGGAGCTTTCTGCAGGTGTCACACCTAAAACAGGCTCCAAAGCCAAAACGTTGTGTCTCTTTTCTTTTCATTTCAGCATGGAAGAAACCTTCACCTGTTTCCTTAGCCTTGAACGTTGTAAACTACAGCTGTACAGTATCAATGATACAGTATTTTCTTAAGCTTATTTTTTTCTATAACAGTTTATCCTCCTCAATTTCTTTGTCCAGATTGTGCATATGAACCTTTAAGATTAACCTTTCAGATACATATACAGTACAGTAAGATTAAGATCTTACTTAAGTAAGTTACTTACTTAAATAAGTTACTTACTTACTGTAAGAACTTACAGTAAGATTAAGATCTTACTGAAGTACTGTTCCTACTGTATCTTCAGTACAGACTTCAGGGGAATGAGAAAGAAGGTGAAGGTACTATTGGGCTAGGATAAGGATAGGGAAAAAATGAAAAATGTCTTAAAGAAATGTTTTTAAAATATGATCACTTTTAGAATTACACATTTCTTATCTCTTTTTTTTCTTATATTTTCTCCTATTACAATCCTCTTATTATAGTGGGAGAACACTTACCAGAAGAAGGGGGACGTTTTTGGCAAGCTGTTGGTAATATCATATTTTATTGAGTTGTTTAGAAACAGTAAGTTACTGCAATTTTTCAGGGAATATTTGTCCTAAACTGGTCAATTCCCCAGAAATCCTTACTCTCACTTAGTTGGTTTAATGATTAGTCAATTAATTTAGAATAATTCACCAATCACAAATGTACTGGTGCACAAGGAAAACACAACCGGCTTATTTGTACATCACTGTCTCTTTGGGCACATACCTATACAGAAATAATGTTATTTACATTTTAATAGTGAGCACATACTGTAGGTTTATTGTGATCATTTTGTGATCAACTCATGTGATTTCATAAGAACACAAAATGCCCAGAGTCCAGCAAAAAAAAAACCCTCCTCTGCAGGGACATGGACAGACATGGCAGTACTCCACTTCAATAATTAAAATTGCCTAGTAGCCATTGAAAGAGAAAATAATGCTTTGTTCTGTTTCAACAACCAACTGGTCAGTCAAAAGAAACTACTGTATGTGAAGGACAGGCCAGAACCTTAAAGGGATAGGGTCACCACGCTGTCCGAAAACCATCACATCTGTCTTATCCATCTGTGTTATCATTTTCCGACTGCAGTAGTTACAGCACAAGAAATAAACTGCAGGTCAGCATAATAACTGTAGCTCACCATCATCATGAAAATGCTATTCATTCCCAGAAGCTGAGATGAGAGAAGAAATCATTTTTTTCTGCTGCAGAACATCTGATGTAGTGGCAAGAGTGGTGCAGGGTTTTATCAACCACATGAATGATGTTTAGACTTTAACAGACCTAACAGAAGATGTGAAGACATCCTGGTGACATTATGGCGAGTGTTGAAGTGTTCAAGCCACTTGGTTGATCAGTGCATATTTATCCTGTAACATAAGAATGGCTATGGTGATTAAGATTAAGGCCATTGTGAGTCTTATTCATGTAAATCATTTATAATTTAGGAGCCAAAACATGGAAAAACTATTACTTATACACTGTTAAACTACAGTACAGTATATGCAATGTTTCGTTCATATTTTCAAGGTTCTTTATTAAACATTTATTAAATAAACATAAAATATTTCTAAGCAGCACCTTCATACAGAATGAGGTGTCTTATTCTCAAATTGCTTTTTTAAAAATGGTTTCAATAAGAGTATTTTTAAATAAACAGTGATCATATTTTCTACAGTGTTTTGTGCACCATCAAGAAGGCTATTGCATACCTGTTCCTAACATTAGAATCACAAACAAGAGGATGTCATCCATTTAACTCATCTAGATGGTCTGATAGCTAATTAGTCACTGAATTATACAACATCCCATAAATTCTGGATGCTGACCAGTACAGATTATTGTGAAATTGTAAGCCTTTTTATTGCTTCCCAACATTGTCTAGATGTGTTAACATGAATATCTAAATCTTTTTCATGATCAGCTTTCTCAAACTCAGAGTTTCCCACTTTATATTTATGGTTTACGTTTCCACTACTAGTTAATCTCTGCACTTATCTACCTCAATTGTCATCTGTCAGGTGTTTGTCCAGTCTTGTTTGACCATTGCCATTTATACAGTATAAGAACAATGTGAAAAGAAGCTGTGCATGAACTCTTACAAAGCCATAGTCTGGAGAAGTGCAATCACAATATAAAGTATTTAGCAAAAGACTGGTGCAGTGCAGGAAACAAGGGGCTTGTCAAAATAATATTTCCAGATCAAGGCCATAGACTGATTATCATGAATACATTTGCTAATGATGAAATAATTAAAAAGGATGGTGGGCTGGGGGTCTATCTCTGTATAGTGCTGATTCAGAAGATCAGCCAACAATCTGTGTCCAAGAGGAACCCCATTGAAAGAGGAGCGGAAATGAAGGGTGAGCCTGTGAAGCAGAGGACAGTGAGAAGGATATCCTGCATCCTGCCAAAGGAAGCCCGGGAGAGAGATTGCAGCAGAGACCCTTGAAAGCAAAAAAAGGGACCCTTACTACAGTTAAGTTACACTGTCACATACTTTTTATAGCTTTTTCCCTATGCTGGTTAGTCCCTGTGATTGTTAGTTTAATGAACGCAAAAGCCTTACTATAAAACACTGAATTGCCCCTTTGCTTTCTCTTAAGAAACACAAAAATGATTTGCATTTCTATTTTTCTCCCTTGGGTGTACAAATATATTTTCAAGATATTACACTAGACATTGGAAGATTAACATTACAACATTAACAAGCAAATCTGAAAACACCTTTAGCTTACAGAATGGTCCATTTCAGACTGTTATGACCACATGTGTCAAAGCTACAGTGATGCAGGTTTTCTAGTTCTTTTCAGTTATTGAAAACATGTACTGTAGACTACTGTAAACCAGACAGTTAATCAAACAAATAGTGAGATGTGGAACTAATCAGTGATGACCACCTGATTCCTGATTGCCTGGTCCTAAGCAGTCATTGCAGTTTCTGACATACAGTACTTATCAGCTGTGCCCTTAATGCTCCAAAACTGAGACAAGGACTAGAAAAGCTGCAGGGCTGTGGATCTCCAGTAATGCAATTGGATAAATAATAGCTCACTGTCAAATGGAGAACTGTTTAAACTTAAACTCTATAACTTAAAAACATATTAATGTATAAAGTCATTATTGTATCTACTGAAGGAAATAATACTGTACATTGCCATGTGTGAATCTCAAAGATGTGACGATCTGTATCAGTACCTACATGCAGTTTTAATTGTGCATGGTGGTGTTGGGTGCAAATGTTCAGTTTATTTTGTCTTGAACTTTTAAATACAGTAGAGACTCTGGTTAATGTTAAACACATGACTGTCATCCAATGATTTCAAATGACTTACTGTCGTAAGCAAAGCAGAAAGGATGAAGAGGGATAAACTTACCTGTCCTTAATTTACTATGATCCCTACACCAAGTTGAGAAACATTTCCCATTTTGCATGTCTGCCTTGAAAATAAAGCAGCCATTTAAATAAAATATTGTGCATTTATTGAAAAATATAAATAGCATGTACAAGAATCAGTAGACTTTTATACAGAATGAAATATTTTTGAATGAATTAAAATAACATTTTGAAAATTTAACAAATCATATAGAATTTTATATATACAGTATATTTATTCCCATAAAGGTTTGCTCATAAACATATGAAAAGGATTACTTGTAAAAGCCTTACAAGTCAACTTTTGCAACTACCAAAAAATGGAAATAATTTTCAGAAAATGAATCTTTCCATGATTTTGCCACAGCTTTTTGCCATTGCAGACAGGTAACTTGACTTCTAAAAAAGTGCATTTTTAGATAATATATTTAAAATTTATTTGTGAAGAATACCTACATTTTCCCGCATACTGTACATTTTAAATAAATGTGTCAACAAGCAGGTTAGGACTCAAAACTGGAAGGTAGAAGTTAAAATCCCAGGTACCTATAGGTCACTGCTGTGGTACCCTTGAGCAAGTTACTTCACTCAGATTTCTCCAGCACAACACCCAGCCGTGTAATTGGGTACAATAATTTACATTAAAGCATCAGCCAAACAAATTGATAAAAATACATGTGTGTGAGTTTGAGCACTGAGCAGAAAATGCACTTGGAAATTAATTGATACAAAACTGAAATGTTGAATGCTCTTCAAAATAAATAATAATAAAGCTGAAGAGGGGAATGTCAAATGTCAGGACAGACACTGTGGGAATGTGCCACAGTGATAAGAGGAAATTCCAGATCTGAAAACAACAGCCAGGTTATGCCCTAAGCTTGTCCAGTGGAAGGAAGTCAATCCCAGAAGGAAGATATAATGGAGATCTGATTGGAGTAAAGAGCATCAATAATAGTCACCTCTTTAAGACTCAGATCAAAGGACGTGTTTGAAAATAAAGTGCAAACAGATTTTGGAGTTAGCAAATACAAAGAGAGGACTTTATGCCTTCGGAATGTAACCTTCACATGACGTAGATATAAATTAGGTTTCTTCATAAATCAACAGAATCATGGGCTACTGAAAAATTAAACAGGTAAGAAACATAGAGGCAGCAATTTGTCTTGAATGAGATACCTCTAGGATTGAGACTACTTTTGATTTAAAAAACAAAACTAGATTGTTGTTGTGTGTATTGTACTGCTGTCTCTAGATTTTCATGTTTACAGCACCCAGTGTGATATAATAAATACAACTAAAGGCAAGCAAAATTAAACCTACAATACAGAAACAGAAAATAAGATGAAACCATATTAAATTACATAAAAATATATATTTACACGAGTTTTGCACATTAGTGAGATACTAGGATTCAAGTTTGTCTGTGTGATGAATGATTTTAAAAATATGTCATTTTTACATGCCAAACAAGGCATCTACGTAGGAGATTGTGCACTGAGCTCAATTAAAGGGGTGTAACTCACTTGCACCTTCCTGTTACTTTGTCTGGCAGCCTGCAGTATCATACAGTGTCCTGTTTGTGACTTGAGCAAGAGAAAAACAAAATTAATTGCTAATAGTTACAAAAAAGACAAAGAAAAGAGGTGCAAAATATGACAATTCCTGGTTCCTTTTCAAGCTGCTGAGAAAGGACTGGCCGAGGGTAGTCCAATGTATAGCAAAAATATAAAGTGGTTTGATTTGAAATTTTAAATTGAAATGCTGATGATTCCATTTGCTGTGCAATTCTGCAACAGGCTAATTTGCCAAATGCAGAACTCACAATCCCAGCACACAGAGATACTGTACATAGGAATGTCAACTTACTGTACATGCAATTACAAATAAAACTGTTATTTAATTAATCTTTTTTTAGTTTCAGTTAATATGAAAAGATAAGTAAGACTGTTTTAGATTAAAAAGTAAATCAATAGTGTCCAAATCCTGGTTCAGGGTGAAGAGTGTACTGATTTTCAAGTGCTGTACCTGGGAGAAGCTAATAAATGTGCTCAGTTAAGTGCAGTTGTTAGGCAGCCAGCTGGTTTATCTCATTAAGAGTTGACTTGGAATGAAATGCCACAGACACACCAGTTCTCCAGAACCGGAACTGGATACTCCTGATTTTCAGAGATGTTATATGATTCATATGATTTTACTATTTTAAGTTTTCATCAGAATAAATACAAGCAAGTGATACCAATTCTACAAGCATGCTTTACACTTAGTTAATATTTAGGAAGATATTTTCATTCAACATCCATTAACCTTGAGTAAAAGGTCATTAGCATGCCAATACGTGTAAGGTAATATTGAGCTCCCTATAAAAAAGAACCAGATTCTTGGCTAATGTGAGAAGTGCAAATTACTACCTTTCAAAAGTAGTAAAAAACATATAACCACAAAAAGATCAGGACTGCAAAAAAGAGGTTCATATCTCAATTTGTTTGCTCAGGTGGCATCTCAGCAATGATGACAAGTGAGCAACTGAGAAAGGTAACAGCTGCATTCCTTTTCAAAGAACTGACATTCTCTTTCAGACTGAATATAATTGCTTCCTAAAGGAGCACAGACATCACAATTGGAAGTGCCAGGGAAAAGTGCCCCTTCCTTACTCCTCTTCCCATGATCCTCTTGTACCCTAACCTGTATGGTTGGACACAAGAGGATTATGGGTTCAAATCCAATGTGGGGCAGCATTGCTGTTGTTCTGTTGAGCAAGGTACTTCACTCAGATTGTTCCAGTAAATATCTTCCTGTAAAAATGTCCAGGTCACCATTGTACATGAGAATTTGTTCACAATTGACCTATCTGGTAAGGAAGAAGGAAAAAAAAAAGTGTTTACAATGTGGAGAGAAATGAATGATATCATACAGATGATAAAGGGTCATAGACTGCAATGTCTTAAACCCCACAGAAATTTAGAGATCCACTATTCTGTTTAGATCATGTTTTTGTCTCACCAGTTCTAAAACAATAGCACTAGTTTGATATTGACTAATTTATATTTGACATTTCAAATTGAAAACAAATTGAATAATTGTTAACCTGAAGGCTGAACTGAGGACTAAAATTATTTGTTTCCCTATTCTAGTTTGGGAGTTCATTTTTTCCTCATATGAAATGAACACTTGCTGTCAAATTGATGAGTATGACTTAGATCTTTGGAACATTGGGATGTAAAATACATTCTAAATTACATAGATATTTTCATTTCTTATTTGTGTTTATTTTCTGAATTCAATAAAATAGGGAAACTGATAGATCTACTACCATAGGTCAGTTGTCAAAGCGGAAGCTGCTTAGATACTGCAAATGGTCAATTTAATGAAGGACGAGGATAACTGATACTGGAACTGGTACGCAAGCAAAATGGGGAGATTCTTTTCGCTAATCAGTTTTCCAGCTGCCTGGTGTCATTTTCAAGTGAAATTTCTCTTTCAGGTAAATGGTAAAAGACTCAACAGAATCCACTGTGTCTGAAACTGCACATGCTTGTTTTTTCTTTCATTGTTTATTGTCTTCATTGTCTTGCTAGTAAATACTGTTTTCTTTCATAATAAAAAAATCTGTATATCCCTTTTCTTTGGATTTCACCTCATGCATCCCTCCTCTACCTCCAGTTTGTTAACTCCTCACTCTGTTTGTACTCCTAGCTTCTTTGTCCTATGGTCTATGGCCCCCAGTCAAGGAGACTTAGCCAAATCTTACTGTACCTAATCAATAATCTCTCTCAAACACATCTAATTGTTGGAGTTTATTATTCCTCATGAAATTGTATCATTGAAAACTAACTTATTTTTATTGAATATTAAGTAAAAGTAATAAGGAATAATTGCACATCAGTTTACTAAATAACTGTGTATCAACAGATCATCAATTAATGCACAATAAGTGTACTGTATATGTGCACTGCCACTCTTTGGCAGGTTACCACTTCCATAACAGTAAAATATCAATCTAATGTCTTGCATAGTATTTCTACATACTGTACTGTATGTAAGGGATCAAAACTTTGAGTAAAAACATTGAGTAAAAACCTGTCATCTTTCTTCTTAAAGTATGTCTCTTATCCTCTATGAAACTTTGTAGTGAGCTTTAAAAAATGTGTCAGAACATATCAGAAGCAATTTGTACACTTTTTGGTTAAATATTTACATGCTTGTCGTTGCACCCTTTACATTTTATGAAAGCACTTTATGAAGCCTACCCTGATAATACCCTATGCCACTTACTATTCAGTTTTTACAGAACAGGTAAAAAAATATCAAACACATGGAATACAGCTGTTTCCAAAATGTGAGAGATAAAATAACAAGAAAATTACCTCTATTCCTTTTAAAAATATAGCTTCAAAAGCCTTCAGGAAGTTTTAAGTACTGTATCTTGCACTTTTGCTCTGTATAGGCAATATAGCCAAATCCAATTGCTTTCCATTATTGCATAAAAGCTGGAGATAAGCTGCCTTTTTAAAACATCCTCTCTGTATTAAACATTTTCATCTTGGTCATAAAATTAAAATATATAAAAGCCAGAACCACGAAAAGGTTTTTAAAAAGGTACAGCAGAGGTGTCACACACCCAAAAATGGAAATCAATGCTATTCGGATAAAAAGAAAAGGAATGTCTTGCAATATGACTCCCAGTGAACTTAGGAGTGGGTTTCGGGGCTTGAGAATCAGCCTCAACATAGAGATGTAGCTAAATATGTATATTGGGAAAACCCAGCGCGAAAAATAAACTTGAGGGTGTCCTGCTACTCTCACCATCTCAACAGTGTCAAACCAGAATATGAAACTGTCTACAAAAATCTCTGCCCTCGTATCATTACAGTGCAGAAATTTGAAGGGCCCAGATGATGTGTAAGGTGAGTTGTTATAAGCAGTGCTTGCTGTGCGGGAACTCAGGCCAGATATACTGTACTGTCTTTCTTGATTTCCCAAAAGCCCTGGCGCTGTTCCATTAGCTTCCAGCCTGATCCTCGTGCCATCATTATCTCTTTCAACATCCATCTGACCTGATACGGTTGTTACTTGCTCCAAGTGAGTCAGAATGGGACTTGGAATATCGGCATCCCGTTCATCTTCTAAAGCTGGCAAGAAAGTACAACAGCATTAATCTTCCTCTTGAGGAATCTATCTTTCCCTTTTTTCACAGCCATTCTGGGAGTGTTGCTCTGTTGTGCAAGCTGTATGAGCTTGTATGGGAGATACAAATTACTGGAACGTCCTAGAAATAGATAGTCAGGTGTCTAAAGACTGTTTTGCAAGAGAAAACATTACTGTATGTGTGGGATGGAATGTAGATATTATACTGTAGGTGTATTTGTAATCCCTAAACTAAGATAGGAAGGTGAAAAAAATGTTTGGGGTTGTTCCGATGCTGCACAAACAGATGATATACTGTGTAATAAACAAGGAGTACATCTTTAAAGAAACAACACAATTAAATTTTCAAAAGGGAAAAAAAATCTGATTCTAATGCTTGAAACAATTACACTGAATGTCCCACTGATAAGTAGCATTGTTTCTTCGCAGTGCTGGAGACCTGAGGTCAATTCCTGGAGTACTATCAATTTGGAGATTGTATGCTCTCCCCATGTTCACATGAGTTTCCTCCTGGTCCTCCTCGGTTTCCTCCCATTGTTCAAAGACATACTGGTGGGTTAAGTAGCTTCTGGAAAACTTTGCCCCTGGTGTGAATATGTGAATGTCTGTGTGTGTACCTTATAATGGACTGGTGTCCTGTCCATAGTGTATCCTACCCTGCACCTGTTGTTTGCTGGGTTAGTTAGGCTCCGGTTCTGCTATAACCCTCCATTGCACAAAGGATAGATGGATGTAAATACTATAGGAGCTCAGCAGGAAAGTGCAAAAGAATTACAAATGTGTTCTGGGAGATAAATAAGACTTAATAAAAGTTAAAAATACATTACCTCTAAATTTGCACAGAAAGACATCTAAGAAGAGAAAATGTGAGCGAATGGTTTTGTGAGAAAAGATTTGGTGTGAAAGTGTCAGTAATATAAAATAGCTGCTGTCATTTTTCACTCTAAGATAAGGGCATATACAAACAGTTCTTTTGCTGTCTGAAGAGTCTTTTAGGACAATAAAGCCAATTTGTATTTCTGAACATACAGTAATCAACAAAGGCAAGTGCACTTACTATGATTCTGCCCTGTAAGACGGCATTTGCGAAGCCTATCGATGATATCAACACATATGAAGGACAGCAAAACCAGTGAGACTGGGAGCTCAGACAACATGTCGAACCTTTCAGCTGCATTAATCTGTACCTGGTAATAAAAGACATGGATTAGAGTGGGGAAGGAAAATCTTATCACTTATAAATAAGCAAAGATAAAATGACATTTTACGATACATTGCATATAAGAGAGAGAAAGAGAAAGAATGAGATTTAAAGTATCTTTGAATTGAATTAAGTAGTTTTTGAAGACTTTTCTGGCTGTTATCCTTAAAAAACATATTTATTATGTTTATAATAAATATGAATTTAGTGAAAGACACTGTATATATATGCATTACATATATTCAAGTGGTACAAAGTTTGTGTTAGAGAAACACTACCACTGATATTCTGTTACACACAAATAAATGAAAGTGTGACTACATGGTTGAAGGCAATTTTAATGAATACTTATATGGTTAATTTACTTCATCAGTGCTCTTCAGCCCTACAGCAAACTGACAAACATTAAAAACTAATCTTCCCTCTATTCTAGAGTTTGCTGTGGATTATCTGACACAAAGGGTCACTTTTTAAAGGGTCACTTCATCCAGTTTGACAGTATTGGTTTCTAAATGAAGAACTATAACTTGTTCTTTAGATTTAATGCCTGCTTCTTTATTAAATTCTGGTATTTCAGGTCTATGTTCATTTATGTAAATGAATGAAAAAAATATTTTTAAACTTTTTCAGTCTGATTTTAAACAATTACAGAGCACTGAAAAAGCTGGTTAAAGTGGCCCATGATTTACTTATAGCATCCAATTGTCTGTTTTGATGCACTTAGTATGGTCTTTGACATAACTATCATGATAGTCTTCTTAAACATTTAGTGAACAATGTTGGTATTGATAAAAAAGCTCTTGACTGGGCTTAGGTCATACTTGACTGATGAAAATCATTTTTTTGACAATTGGATGAATAATTTCTGGTACTTCCCCAGTGTTGCAAAAGGTCCAGTTCTGGTTCCTCTTCTTTTAACATACGTTATGTTCTCTTAACTTTATTTGATTCATTGGAAGTGTGTTAACTTCCATTTTATTGCTGACAATATCCAGATTTATTTTTACACTAAACCTCACATTTGTATGGCAATTGCTTCCCCCCTTATACTGCCTGCCAGAAATTAATTGATGCAACATTTTTTGGTGTTGCCCTTGCCATTAACTGCTACTCCTTTACTGTGAACTTAATTGAGTATTTTGATTAGGTATGGGATAAAAGAATTCTTTATTGTGTTCAGTCCTTAGTCTCAAACCGCTGGTCTTCTTCCAAGAAATTCTTCCTTCATCTTGTTCAGTTGAAAGATATAACCTCATAATAGTTGATATTGATGCTGTATTTTTCATGATTGTGTTAGCGTATATTTAAATCATTTTTCATTGCTTAAGCTGGGAACCTTCTTTGGGAAGCTGAAGTCTGACATATGGACAATATGATCAACACAACAGTTATGATAGCAGATGATCACAGTTACAGTGTCTTGTTTCCTTGCTTAGGAGAAAACATTGATGCTGGAATATTTGTGCTGCATCTTGATACAGTACATCTTCATCAGACAACATTGGTCTGATGACAAGTTTCATCAGAAAATCGTCATTAATTCAAATTTGAATGAATTAATTGAACTTCAAATATTGAAGTTGGGGTGGGTGCATTTGAAGTTTACTAATGGAGGGTTTTGGTCTTCTGAATGTTAAGTGAAAGTCCAATCTTCTCACATGCCTCATTAAATCTGCTAAAAAGCATTGGGGTAGGTTACTTTGAGATTATTTGCCTTCTTTTCCATGAGTCAGATGCACTTCAACTCTGAGCTTTGTTGTTACCAAATGAATCATGGATTCATTGTTCAGAAATATTGAAAATAGAGTCAAGTTGATGACACAGGTCCAAGTTTTTTTTTTAATTATTTAATGTATTGAGACATTCCACAAGGTAGACTTTTTTAAAACCACTCTGCCACTGAGGTCTTGACTTCCACTTCTAATGAGCCTTTATGATGACCAGGACTGAAGGAATCCTTCCATTTTTCACCCTGTCAATTCTGACCCTATATTATTCATTCCAAGGTCTTTGGAACCCAAATATGGAACCACCTAAAAAGGAACATTGCAATTCATTGTTTATTTTGAGGTTAGAAAGAATCTGTATTGTAGATTGCATTTCAAACCACAATGAAAGTACACAGTAATGTGTAAATTCTCTGATTTACATCACAAAACAGACTAAATTTCCAGGTGTGTGCAGCGCCATATTGCCGTCATTGTCTGTGATTACTCTCAACTTTCGCCGACAAATACTACTTGTTAACTACTTGTATACTACTTGTTGCATACAGATCACGTTGGGACATTTCTGCAGCAAAATGTCTGCTGCACAATGTGTACTTATTCGCTTGTATATCACTTGGAACATCACATCACTAGTGAGCAGGTAGGGCTGCTTCACATCACAATTCTCACAAACTCTCATTCTCGCCTGCGGTGAGACCAGAGGTTTGCGACAACATGGACATTATACCGTACACTACTTTCACAAAGTTCAAAATGTTGTGCTGAAATTGTAAACTTTTGCAATACTAATTAATTTACTTTGCAACCGAGATTTAATAGCTGGTCTGAGAAATTGGGACTGCAATTGGGACTTCATATTCACATTGCTTAGATTATAGTTATAGAATAAGAGAGTTTTACTTTTGGTATTACAAAACACTTATCAAGAATGCCAGTTGAACATTTTTGTTGGCAGAGCTACAGTACGGCTGATGAGTCAGTACTTCAGCTTAAGTCTAAATTTACCATATATTTTTGTCATATTTCTCAGAAGCTAAGGTTGGGGATTCTAAAACAAATCAAAATTGACTATTTTTTCAGTTCACTTAATCATAATCATAGCATATAAATGAAATATCATTACTTCTGCAACAATGAGACAGGACTCCTAAATCTTGCATTCCCATTGTAAAAATCTAAGGTAGTGTATTGTTACAAATGAGGGGTTACAAAAATGCAAAAACAAAACAGGAATTGACCAATCAGTTTAAATAAATAAAATAACCATACATAACCCCCAACAAAGATTTCTGCCAAAATATACCCAGCTGGTTGGTATAGTTAGAGGAGTGTGAATTCTTCATTCTCTGGTACAGTTTTGGTGAAAGGAGTAATAATTCAGGCACATTTGGTGAAACCAATATTTATTCACCGTGACCACACACACACAACAGAAACATACAATGAAAAAGGGACAGTATTTACAAGTTTACCGACAAGGCATTTCAGAGACCCCCAGGTCAAAGAAAAGAGAAGCTACCTTCTAAACTAAATATAATACAGTCTATAATTAAATCTCTCTCTCTTACCCTGACACTACAAAATAAATGGGAGCCTACCTCCCTATCCTGAAATGTACCAACTAAGCAGGGTTCACTCAAGGAACTCCAAGTATCCTAAATGCCACAGACTAGCAAGCTCCCTAAGCATGTTCAGAGAGTACTAATCAGGTCTTTTCTGATCTTGAAGTAGGGACTCTCACCTGGCACCAGCTTCAAGCTCTGTGTGCTTCTGTCCCATCTTTCTATTATCGTCTGTCCTTCTTTTTCACTTTTCTCCCCTCCCTTCTTTTTGTCCTGTCATGATATGATTATATAGGTTTTTTTCTGGGCTGTTAAATTATACTTAATAATTTAGCCAGAACTTAACTTAGGTAAACTTTATGATTGCTTTGATCACAGACTCTGGAACCCCTAGATTCTTAAACACCTGCATTGTCACATACCTCAGCCTGCAACAGTATATATTAATCAGAATCTACTGTAACCTAAAATATAATTTATTTTTAAGCAAAGATGGAATGAAATTGAGTCTTTGACTCCATAAACCTAATTAATATAGAAAATGAATTTGTAATAGAAGATTGAGCCCAAAGGCTTAAAGAAAAGATAGTGGCTCTGTTCATCTGAAAGGACCCCAAAGCACTTCACATACACAATGGGACCCATTTCATCCACCAGTGTGGTGTAGCACCAGCTCAGCAGACAGGCAGCAATCACGATGCACCAGCAGCACATCAGATAGTAAAGTGAGAATCTACTCTGCCAGGTAGCAAAGAAGTAAAATTCAGGTAGGCCACATTGACCAAGCCAAGAGGAATTCAGGACCTTGATTTACAGCACTGTATCCTTGTCCACCATAGTGCACTCTGGTTTGGCAATTCTGTTTCAAAGGTTTCTGTTTCAAAAGTGGTGTATAAGTCCTAAGGGTCTTTGGATTTGTAGACATCTCTAAATATCCCTTGAGAAACTAGGATTAGGTCCCTGCCCAATGGCCAAATTACAGACCCATCACTTGATAACAGATTATTCTTTGGGTAGAAGGAATGAAAGCTGCCATCAAATAATGGGTTTATTAACCAGGAAGTGAGTAGAAACTTTAATCTGAGACCTGGACTAAATGCATAAAGGTGTTCACCATTCCTCTTTGCCAGTATAACAGAAACAAAAGACAGGAACGTACAGTATCACTCAAAGTGCATGACTGATCTGTGTTTTGTAACGATGTGTTGTTAAAGTGAGCAGTTGATCGGCAGTGTTCTTTCCAGTCCACAAAGCAAAAGATTTTCAAACACATTGCTTATTGCTAGATATGTCGTTCCTTATCACCTTTTTAAAACAATAAGGAACACAATTTTATCTAATCTATGCACTGCAGTGTTGCTTTGAGTTATGACCTGTTTTTGATTTACTGTTAGGGCTAATATAACCTCTTCATAATAAAACTAGATTTTGCAGCCACCTGCAAATGTTACAGTGATCATTTTAAACAACAATCACATGTTACTTCCTATGGATCATTACCTAATTTTCCCCAGTTGAAAAGTGAAAGGATTACAGTGTTTCTGTGAAATGGAACACAAACATTTCTGATTATCTGTTTCTTAAGGAGCATGCTTCATATAAAGTATGCAACTTAAGGACACATTAGGATAAAATCAAGGATAAATCGATGTCTAATTCTAATATATCCATAACAATGCAACAGATTATAAGGCAATAATTATTGATACATTATTTTTAACGACAATATGTCACGGAAGAGGATAAAAGTTTGGAAGAAAATATTGAAAGTGGAGAAAGACAGTTTTCCTTTGCAATAAAATCTATCCAAAATAACATATGTGGAATTACCTCAGAGCTGGCAATTAAAAAGGCAAAGCAGGGCAATGTAGACAGGATCACATAAACCAGAGTAACAGGCCTCCTAAAATAAAGACAAAGTTTAAAGTAAATAAATAAAATCTTACCTTTCCAAACATCTATAAACCGTGTAGATTCAACATAAGGGAAATTAATATTCGTTGAGTGTCATTACTTAACAAGACCATCCAGATTACATGATACGGAAATGATAATTAGCTGTAAGAAAAGCTATAGGCCATGGAGGCCATGTGGAATCTTACAGCAATGTGATTAACAAATTCACAGAACATGATTGACTAACAATGGTTGAATATACTGTATAGCCAATTAATTTTGGAACTCCAAGGTTTTTGACATTCAGCTATAGGATCCTAAAAATTTGAACATCCCGTTCAAGAGGAAAGGAAAGGCAGCAGTTAACGCGTCCTAGACATCCAACACCAATCAAATGGACTCTCCACGCTGTCAAGAAGTGCATGGAAAATGAGTCTCTGTAAACATGCACAATAGCATCCTCCTTGCTTAGTGCAAACATCAGTATTCCATGGCAAAGGACAATTCCAATGCTATGACATACTGTACAGTATGTCTTTCTTTTGAGAACACTTTCATTAATATTTGTTGAATCCACAATGTCACTTTTATGAGACATTTAGGTTTAGCACTATTTTGTAAATACATTTACAGTGCCTTGCAAAAATATTCAGACACTTGCACAGTTTTCACACTGTGTTGCTTTCAAGGCTTGCAGTGATGACACTTTGAAGTAGCACTGCCTAGATCAGACTGTCCCTCCAAAGTGAGCTCACAGACCAGCAGGAAACTGGTTAGGGATACCACCACAGAATCACCTGCAACTTTGAAAGAACTATAGAGTTCAGTGGCTGAGATAGGAGAAAATGTCCTTGAGTGTTAACCAATGTATTGAAGATTGGCTAAAGCATCTCAAATCCCATATTTATTTTGCATCAAAGCATTTAAGTGATACTGTAAACATATGTCAAAAGCTTTGTGCTCAGACAGGATAAAAAAAAAAACTTTCCAGTACAAATACAAACCATTACACCTTTACTGTAAAACATGGCGGAGCCAACATCATGTTAATGGACATCAGCATTAAGAACTTGTCAAGATCGAAGAAAAAGTAGAGAAGATGAAAACCTGCCTGCTAAAGACCTAAAACTGTCCTGAAAGTTCACCTTTCATAGAAGAACGACCAAAAAAAAAGGACAAAGCTGCACTGGAGTGGCTCAAGGATTAGAAAGTGAATGTTCTTGAGTGGCCCAATTGAAGTCTAGACTTAAATCTTGAGAAGCAGACAGCTCATACTATTTTTTTTAATTTCACCAACTCCTCTCTTGCTGTCTGTGCATTCTCCAACCTGGAACAGCATAATTTTGTAATTTCACAAATTAAAACACCCTAGGTAGGGTCTGAATACTTTTGCAAAGTAGTGTACATTGGTGAACCATAACCATGTGAAGCATTTGTGAGACCATCTATTGGTCTGCCCCTTATTGCAAGCAATAGACATTCAGGATAACATGAGTTTTAGGATTACGAATTACTAAATAGAAAACAAAGGGTACAGATAGGGGGGAATATTCATATTGGGACGATGAAATTAGCGGTGTACTACAGGGATCTCTACGAGGACCATTGCTCTTCTCAATTTCTATCATTTATCAGTGATTTAGTAAAACTTGTCCGGTTTGCAGATAATACCAAATTAGAAGGATTAGCAAACACTGTAGAAGCAGAAAGTGAAATAAAAGATAGATACATTTGAAAATTGGACAAACATGACATTTAAGATAAACAAGTCCAGCATTTTATATGCAGGCAGTAAAATCATAAATTATAAATACAAAATGTGAAAAGATGTTAATGTTTATGTTGACATATTTATCTTAAAGACAACATAGGGAAGCCATTTTTATATACAAACATTTGTTTCTTCATGATGAAACAAAAAGTGCAGAATCAAGATCAATGGGTATTATGTTAAAACACACTAGTAAGGCTTGATTAGGAGTAGTGTATACATTTTTGTTTGCAACAAGCAGACATGACAAGTAAGTCAACCCAGAAAAAAATGTTAAAATGAACAGAGAAACATAGGACACAGGTGGGAGTGCATTTAAAGGTGAAAACTGGAGACACTTCTTTACCCAGACTGCAGTAGGAGCATGGGAAAATCTACCTTTAAATGTTGTTGAAGCTGATAACTCTAGCGCAACAACATAGAACAGAATGAGGTCCTTGGATATATAAATATTCTCCAAGACATATTGTATTCTCCCAATGTGCACTAAGTCTATCCAGAGTTCCACAGTGAAAAGTGTAAATATTGCGACAGTGAAATTAAATTTGTCATTTTCACTGTGTACTAATCAAATTTGTATTTTAAGTCAAAACATTAATATAAGGCAGTCCAGACTCTTGGTACGTTCTTTTTTATGCTTTGTCAAGCCTCAACTGTAGCTACTTTCAGTTGTTGCTTGTTTGTGTAATTTTCTGACTTACAGTAAGTTTCCTCTTCAACAAGTAAAATGCATGTTTGATAGGATTCAAATCAGATTGATCTGGCCAGTTCAAAAGATTGCACTTTTTCTCCATGATGAACTCCTTGGTTAAGTGTGCAGAATTGTATCGTTCTCTTATTACAGGGTCAACTGCCACCCAAAGGGTTTGTAGAGTACCTTTTTTTGGACATAGGCAAACAAAAAGCTTATCTTTGTCTTTTCTGTTCATAAAACTTTGCTTCAGAGCTGTTGTTGCTCATCTGTGTACTTTGAAATGCTCTTTAAAAAGGCTACAAAAAAAGCATTCTATTTGCATCTTATGTACAGTATGCACAGTGAATTGAGATACTTTCAACGTTGTACTCTGAAGATTGTCTGCAATGTCTTTGGCTGTTGCTTTAGAGTTTTTCATCACAGCTCTAATGATTTGTTTGGTATTGGCTGCTGTCGTCTTCCTTGGACAACCCAGTCTTGGCCCTTTGCTTATTACCCCAGTAGGTTCTTCCTTTTTTAAGACATTCAACAATGTTAACTTTGCTTTACAACTGTTCTAATTGGATTTAGATTTCTAATTGGACTTCAAATTTCATCTGTTTTTTTGCCTTCTGCCACAAAAGTAGAAGCATTTCATGCTCACTTGAAATAAGGGGGCTAAAACCAATAAATGACATTCTTTAGCATAGCTAAACATGTATGTAAAACAAAAAGAGGAGAAATTATATTTTTTTTGTCTCATATTAATCTTTTGATCTGAAATATTAGCACACAGCAAAAATGACCTTATATGATTTTCACTTCACTGGCCCAATATTTCTGCTTTTCGCTGTACATTTTTCTGAAATCTCCATGTCAGACAAAGAAGGAAAAAGAGTCAGGATATCAAAACTCCAAACCAAGTGGATGCCTTCTCATAACCCTACATCCCAGGACATTAGTTGACATTCTGAAGACTAGGACTGTTGATCTTCTCCGGGCAATGTATAAACATGCTAGTAATTTCTATGTTAGTACTTCCTATCTGACAAAGGATCATTAACCTCACTTAGATTTTGCCAGTGTGATGTACAGATCCAAAATAAACAGGTTTTCTTTCGAACTTGGGAGGCTAATAAATGTAGTACGAACAAATAAATAGTTTTAAGAATATTGTTGAGGGAAAGGTAAAATCATTTGAAAATACAATATAATCAGGTCATAATAGCAGTGAAATTCTGGTTAATGTTATTCATCCACATATACAAGAATAATTCTAAATAAACATAGTACAGGTACAGTATGTTGCCAATGCATCAGTGGGAGAATATGAAACCTGTTTGCTGTTGAATCACTTACCATCCTTTCCTTGCTGTGAAGAACTTTCTTTTTTTGGCTATCATGTACTTCATGGGGACCCAAATCACCAAGGCCACAGAAGTAACATAAGCAACCGAGGAAGCCACGATGAGCCAGTACGCAGTGCTAGCATCCCCATCCTGCATCCCTGCCTCTTTGACTTGTTTCACGATGGAAGCAAACCTCTGCATGACAACGAAAACTGGTATACACAGAGCCGCAAACTGCACTATTTCACAGAAAGCAAATTTGATTTTCTTCCCCGAGCCCATTCTTCAAAATGTGTTTGATTTACAAGAAAATCCTGTTAGTTTGGAGCTTAGGCCTTTTACCATTGTTCATGTTCACTAGCATTTTCCACACAGTAGACTGGACTCTGAACACTGAGTGCTTACACTGCATTAGGCATTGTATACCGTACCTTTATTGCCCCTGTGACATTGTTTCGTCCATCACATTTGCCTTTTGGAATTTTTATCGTATTGGAAAGTATTATATGGCTTTTAACTAATTAAATTCAGTTTATTGCTTGTCATACTGTAAAGAAAAAAAGAAACCAGGTAAAATATTACTAAGACATTACTTGGTAAAGAAAGAGGCATTTGGGTAGTCTATATGGAATTGTGGTCGTTTAATTGTTTATAGATTTAAGGTCCTATGAAATACTAGAGAAAAGCGAAATTCCACATATCCTTAAGAGGCAAAATTCCCTAATCTGAAAAAAGATTGCAATTATAAGACATTGATTCAATTGCACTAGAAGTGTTGATGGTTTTTAAATAAGCTTGGTGTTTGGTGAGTTGGTGTTACTCAGAGACAAATGCACTATGTGGATCTCATCTTGCCCATTCAAAAATCACCTTTGCATGTGAACTATGAAAGACTTAGAAGTAACAATTTTATTAAATGTAGAATCAAATACTAAATACGAGCTAGGAGATGCAGACGGATTCCTTTCAGATTTATGTAAATTATTTAAAATAGTACATCATAAAGGTGGCCATTAAAAATTGGAAATGACATAAATTTCAGAATCATAATTTTTTCAAGACAGAAAGATGAACCACATTAAAGCCTCTGGCACCCACAGTTGAAAGGGAACAGGGTTGTGATTCCTATTGGAGAGTATAGGAGTATTAAATGCAAAGTTATAAAGGACACTAAGATGGGAAAACATGCTAATTTCCTTTCAAACTTTTTCAAATATATGTAAGTAATTACCTTCTTTAAAAATTAGCTGTGGTATTTTTTACCAATCTAAAAATTCTCCTCACCACAGTTGCTACTCACCACTTCAACTTCAACCACGATCTTCACCATTTTCACCTTTGCCACTGAGCCCCATCTAGTGGCACGTCATTTTCCTTTACAAACATGACAACATTTTGCTATCCACACACAGAATTGTGTGCTGTTCCTTACACTGAATATATTCCAAACTAAACTTTTTTACCAGAATAATTTCCATGATTATCATTTTCTATAAGTTACAAATGGCAGACAAAGTTTTTTTCATAATCAACTTTATCATAAAGATTAATCACACTGGACAAAACAAGGACTTTTTGTACTAGGATTTTATTTTAGAAATAATGGCGTGAAGCCACATTCCATCAGAATTAATCAAAATGTCATTTTCTGGAAGTAAATACTATATAAAAATGTGCTTGTAAATGGTGCAGAAAAAAACAAGGTGCGAAAAGGATATTTTACACGTAACCACTCTCTATACCAAACAACAAAGCATTTAAAAATAATTGGACATATTATCAGAGTTCTCATCAATGTTTGAAAAACGTGAAAAGCATGTTAATAATTTAACAGTAGTATTCTAAATCATGTATGTACTGTTAAATGTCTGGATTATATTATCTCTTTAAATAATTTTCACCAGTATAAGAATGATTTCTTTTTTTACATCTGCTTACAGGGACAGATCTGTCCAGAATATCCAGCCCAATCACAGAGAAACCACCAACAACAGTATTTTACACTTACACAACTTGTTTAATAACTACAGTTCCCTCTATATGTATTTATACCCCCAATGAAATCAGAACAAAAAATCAAATAGCCAAAAATGATCTACAAATCTAAAAAGTCTTATTGTAATCATAACAGCCATGTACAGAGCTATATTTTTTATGTATAATTATTTTTAAAATAAAAAACATCATTCACGCGCTTGAAATTAGTATTTTACAAACCCTCACTGTAAATAGATTTGCTGATACAGATTACATTGACAAAACACTTCCAGTACTGTGCTATGATAAGGGATTTCCAGACAAAATAGCTCTAGGTTCTTCAGACCCTTTTCAAATTCCACCTGTGCACTGTTTTCTTAAATTCGAACAATAAATATTTAATTAGACTGGAAATTGTAATGGTCAAACAAGAACCCTAATTTTGTGTGCAGGTTTTATATTTTTTTACTTGTTACGTGTTACTTAAGAGCTCACAAACATTATTTTTATCAAACGTTTCTAGAGATTGAGATGCACTGTATATTAACACAGTCTTCTCTTCAATAAATGCCAAAAATAAATTATTTTTTACAAATCATGACCCCCAGAATGAGTGGAGTAGCATATAATAATCTAAAATAATTTTTAGATTATTATCAAGATTTTGCTAAGTGCTTGTAATTAGCAAAGGGCGCTGTTGCCAAACCACATCAGAGAGGTTTGATAATATTAAATCTTTTGAGAAGGGACTGCAATTGTAGAAATCAGAAAATGTATTTTAAAATGAATCTTAGATTTAATCTAATATTTAATTTGAGAGACAGTTTGTTTGAATTCTGAATTCTGATTTTAGTATCATTCAGTGCATTTGGTCTGCCTGAGTAAATGCTGTACATGTTTTAATTTCATGCATTTAAAGAAATTCAAGTTTGCAGCTGGCGTATGTACAAAATTATTTTTTATTGACCCCCAATGAATGGTTTAGGCAAAACGGTTACAAATTCTGTTTTTTAAATCAGACTATCTTTCCAATACCTTCAGCTAGCATATAGAGGGAACTGATTAATATATAGTAGTGCAAGATGAAGCTTTTAAAGTCAGTCCATCTCAGTTTGACAGAAAAGTTTAAAAGTTAATAAAAATAAATGTCTCCTGAAATTATTTTTTAATTTCATTTGGGAGATGAACTAATCTACTGTATACATACAGTATAAAGGAAAAATTAAAAATTTAAGATGCATGATTAACGCTGCTTTCAACAATGAGTTGTTAGTATTCTTTAGCATTGTCCTGTAGTGCATTATTCCTTGGTCAAAAAAGTGGATACACAGTCCTCAGCATCTAAACACAGTAAGACTGAGATACAAGACAATCCATAAGAATCTTCAAGAAGGGGTTATGAGGAAATCTTCATTATGTGGAAAACATATAGCTAATAAAGTGTTTTAATCACATGAAGCACCATAAAAAAACACTATTTGTGCATTATTATATAAAATACGGTACATTTCCCCAGATGTATTTCATACATTGAATATCACAGATTTAGCCAAGTAAGTAGCCATGCCTAGCCATGATGATCACTCTCAACTTGCTGAAAGTGTAATATAGTATTTGAACAAGTGCAGATAGGGTACTCCATCCCATCCATCAAGTCAGTCATGTCCTCCACCGACTGTCCATGAACTTCCAGGGGGTTGCAGTTTTGCTTGGAAAAAAGCAATCCTTGGCCAACTAATCCAAGCCCTACCCCAGGAGGTATAGTGGTAATGATGTGCCACTGTTTCAAGATTTAAGTCACAGGCAGGTAGTGTAATATCCCAGGCACATCCGAACCTTAGAGTTTAGTTGAAGTTATCAGTGTAATAATTTTATAATTCAGTAAATTCCCTTGTACTTTTAAAGCTGATCATTTCATCTCGTATTGTAATGTTTAAGCGTGTGACTATGTGCTCTGCTTTAAGTTTTTAACATGACTCACTGCAAAGGTAGTCTACACACTATCTGCCTACAGTGTGCCTGCAATGCTGCTGCAGTATGAGTCACACTACCCACAAACCCTTTATTCATTAATGGCAATTCTGCACCCCTATGGTGTTAATTTGACAGAATCTAGTACTGTACATACACATGCATGAATGTTATAGAGTACAAATCTAGTACAAATACTGAGCGTTTACTGTTTATACACACATACAGTACATACTGTATATCCAATGCCTGAATATGTAATTTGCAACGTATTCAGGCCATTAAATACAACACATTCTTGTGCAGGACTGCATCTCTTCCTTGATTTCTATATTTTTTAGTGCATGGAAATCACAGAAATTCACATTTCATACAGTATATATCAGAAAATGTAACTTTGTCACCTGTGTCAAGTCATTTAAAAGCTAAATGTAAATCACAAATTTTAGTAGGTTTACTATCTTATTGTGCATCCTTCAATACCTACATAAAGTAAAGCAGCAATGTTAAATCATCAAGCATAAATATAACAGGAGATAAAAAGATCACACACTTCTTCTACAGTATCTTACCCAGGTGCTCAAGTCACTGTACTGTGTAATTCTTAGGCACATCATGGAAATAAAACTGAATCTTGATTCTAAGGTAACTTAATTGTATTTTTGTCTCCAAATGTGCTAAAAATACATGACATACTGTACCAGTAAACCTTCATCTTGATTATGGGAAACTAAAAAATACTTAAAAGAAAAAATCATCACTCAAAAGACAAGAATTATGCTGAGTGATCGATCCTTTATTAAAATAAGTACAAATAAAATGTTCTTTACATCAGAGATACTGTGACACCATTCAGGGTACTAGTGATATTAAGTATCTGCACTTATGTCATATAAGCTTGGTGATCCTGCTACTAGAAGAAAAAATACTTGGTCATGGACATCATACAAAGTTTTGATATCGTCCACAAATTTCATTAGATCAGGGCTGCTTAAGCTCTTATCTAAAATTCCAAGAAAACTCAGTGCGACAGCTTCTTTTTGGAATCTGGAAGGGGGTAAATTTTAATTGTAGAGAAAACACCTTCACAGAGAAGAAGAGCTGAGACCCAGTTACTAAAAAAAAATTGGGGTTTGAAATGAACTCTACGTTTTGTGCTTGAAATTTTGAGATATGTGGCAACTCATAGTGCACCTGAGATAACTAAGATTAGAATGAGCTCCTTAGAGCCCAACTTCATGAGATACAGTCCAAAGGCTTCTCAATGTATATCATATTGCATAAAATGTTTTCCTGAAATTTGAATATTCAAATACAGTTACTGGAGAACCCTGAACCTAAAAACAAAGCAGAGATGCCCATTTTATTATTTAATAATTAAACTAAAACATCTTGTTTCTCAGCTTCAAACTTATGACACATGTCCCGATTAGTGTTAATTACTGTATAAATATTACAAAGTGGGATTTGGTCAAGGTTTGTTTCATTTATTTTCCTCATTAAAGCATTCATTTCCATCCATGATGGAGTTCATGTGATAAACAATCACAAAGGGATTTTTCAAACAGTAGTTTAAAATAACCGAAGAATGCAGAATATCAAGTTGACAATATTTTCTAAATACATTCCTTATACTGCTGCCTTAAAAAATCAAATATAAATTAAAATACACTACAAAAACATCAATTTCTTTGACAAATTTACTATACCATTAATCAATGTAACACTGAGTAAGAGTTGCCGATGTGATCAAAAAAGGCTAGCCAAAATGACAAATAAAAACGCCCCCATTCCGTTATATGTACAACATACATGTCTTAGCTATTCTGAATTTATCATATTAGCCGCACTATACTTGGTGTTGAGTTTTTAGTGAATACTAAAAACCCTGTTACATAGAAGAAAATAACCTAAGCTACTGTCCTTCATTTTAGTGTTCTGTAAAAAATAGAACCCCTCTTAACCAGTCATTGCACATTGTGATCAGTTCCTGCAATCAGATTCTTCTACGAAAGGGAGATGATCCAGATGATAAATGCTAGATTAATGTCCAAAGTCCTATAGCAGTGCTTTCTGGGAGTACTGCAACTGCTGCTGGGTGTCTGTCGGCTGGGGAAGACTCTGAGAGGCAAGGGTGTAGTTTGACATCTGGGACACACTGGCATTCTGGTAGGAAGTCATTTCAGCATTGGAAACAGCCACAGCATTAGGTGGGGGACTGTAGACTGCCGGCTGGCTCATGTATGCAGTGCCCGGAGTCGAGTTCACTATCGTGCTGGTTGACCATAAAAACAAGAACCAGAATTTTGTTACTTACATGAGCTAACACTTGGCAACCAATTCTCAGCAGTGGTGTAACACAGAGAATACATATGCAATGATGTCATTTCGCACATTATGTGATATAACTGAATAGACTTGACTGAATCAAGTCTTACATGTTGAGAAAAATCTCAAAATCTCAAAAAAGGTCCGGATTTTATCCCAAGTGCAATCTGATCAATGTATAGTATACCTCACTGACTTCTACCAGGAATGAAGAACATATTTAATGTCACACTGTATAATCAGGGTGTTTTTTGGTTCAAAAGATTAAAAAATATTGAGATTTACTTTAATACATATTATTTTTTCAGCTTAATAAATAAAAACATTTTGAAAAGATAGATTAGATTAGACCATAGATTTCTCATTAGTACATCTTATTTTTCAATGAGGCATCAAGTCGCACTTGACTACAGCTACACTTAGCCAGGCAGAGCAATAAAATCCAATGAGGATATTTTCCTGTTCTTATTATAAAATACAAAGCACATACAAGCTTCGCACTATTTTCAACATTTATGCTTTAAATGCATGCAAAAGAGATGTTATCAGCATTTAAATTGTGTATTTGAATGTTATAGCTGTTCAATACATCTAAGCTCAGTAATTTGTAATAGTTTTCATCTAGTCCAAATAAACAGCAGAGACACTATTATTTATAAGTCTTGAAAATTACTGTTGGAAATGCTCTACTACATGCTTAACACCTTGCAGAGCAGATAACTAACCACAAAAACTCTAAAGACTCTAGATGATGGTGTTTGGATAAATAGCTCTAAAACAAAGAATAAGGTGCTCATCTGAAAATACTTGTAAAATAGTATTCTACTACTGAAACAATTTGAACTCATGATAATTGTGTTAAAATGTTTAAATTATATACTGTACCTGAACACTTAACAAATGGCACATAAATAGATCCAATTAGATTCCCATAAACAGAATTTCCTCCAATATCAGCAATGAAGGATACGGAAAGCTGAAAACAGCACTGTTACCTTGGAGCAGGCTGTGAGGTCATGGCAGGATTTGGGCTGTGGGGGAGTCCTCCTTGGTTCACTGAAGCCAGCTGTTCTTGTGGCACACTGTATCCCTGGACTGTTGCCATGGCAGCAGTCCCACTCACTGCATATGTGCTGCTCTGTGTCTGACCTGGGTAACCCTAGAAGTAAACAGGGGGTGTTTATACTCGCACCCTAACCTTTCTTACTAAGTTCATAAGACTACAAAATACAGCAAATCACAATGATTCCCATTGAAAACAACATTTTGCAACACACAATTCGTCAATTACATTTGTGTGAAAAAATAAAGAGATTCATATTAAAGACAAGCTAAAAACACTCAGAGAGCAAAAACAGGTTACTGGTAACAATAAAGCAAACAAGCTTTCTCACTGCCTCACACTTTGAAAAATGTCCAGGTCCATTTGAGGGGGTATAAGGTCAAACCCAGGCAAAACCTGGAGCACACAAGAATCCTGAATCCTGAACACTTAAAGAACTATGCAAATGAAAATGTGACGCAAGGTTTTGTGGCCTGGTGAGACATATTGAAAATTTGAAGCACATCAAACCTGCTTCTCAACAGCAAGCATTGGGAAGGTTCACAGGAATCAGGGAAAATGGATATGGCAAAGTAGAGGTGAATCCTGGTGAAAAACCTGCTTTAGTAAGTCAAGGATCTAAAACTGGGTTTAAAATTCATATTTCATTAAAACAGTGACCTAAAACACAAAGCCAAAACCATACTGGAACTATCTGACAAGAATGAGTGCCCTTGAGTGACTAAGTGTGATCATTACAGTTTTTACATCAAAAAGGTAATTCAGAAAACCTACACTTATACTGTATGTTTTTGGGCTTCTGTTGGCTTAATTAATACAAAGAATGTGTTAATACTGTACAACATAATTGTGTTTCATGTATGTCATGCCAAATCCTGGCGCACTAGAACATTTTCAGTTTATAAACAATAAACTAAAAGGATTTGGTCATTTCAAAAAATGGCTGATATGGATAAGGGGGTAGTTTTAATACTACATTTCCCAGGTCACTTATCTTTTATGACTGTTAAAAACAATGATTAGCACACATTCACAATATTTTAAATGGAAGTTTAAGAATATATCAGTTTAAAAAACTTTTAGCTCACACCTAAGAGAAAGAAAAAAATCCTTTATACCGGCTGTGTTCCCGAAGCAGGCTGCTGCATATAGTACTGCTGGCTCTGCAGTTTGGCGTACATGGCGTACACGGGGTCTTCGTTCATCAGCTTGGCATACAGTGAAAGGGCCTCCATCACCTTTACATTCAGCTCTGACAGCTCAGAGTGCTTCCTGAGAGAAGAAGCAAGCAGCCGTCAGTCTTCGAACAAATGGTAAGAAAAACTTACAGTGCTAATTTTTATTCCAAGGACATAGGTCAATATTTATATTCCCGAAATTTTGGAACAACATTTTAACAAGACACGGTTGTACAGGTAAAAACATTTCATCGAAATATGATTTTGTACAATCGGAAAAAAATAATATTTATATTACCTTATATCCACATTACCTGACAAGGTAATTAACACAAATAATTTAGGAGAAGGCTTAATACCTGTCAATATCTTCTAGTTTTTGATCAATGAGAGGTCCCATTTGATTGCAAGCCACTATAATACAAAAAAAAATCTATATAAAATGATGATAGATGAAACTTTGAATACATTTCTAAATGTTAAGTACAGTGTTCTCCCACTATCAGTATAGAAATACTGTATAGCAAAAGCAAACGTTACTGGTTGTAACTTAGACCAGAAATCTATAGTACTAGAAACAATGTTGGCTTACACCAGACAAGTTACTTTTCTGATTTATTTAGTGGCTATTAACTATTTCTTTGATTAAAATGTATCAAACAACAAAATAAGTCAGATATGGCAAACCAAGAGCTTACCATCTTACAATCTATATGGTCCTATTACTGCCTCGAGCATCATTTTCAATCATCCATCATTATACAATACAGCATGCCACCATAATGTGGCTCAGTGCATTGGGAATTCCTTTAAGAATAAGTGTTTTCAAGTGTGAATGCACCTGGACAATTTTTAACAAGGATACTTTACTATCATTGCGCTCTGACTGCTGAAGTTAATTAAACAACAAACAGGGTCTCCTTATGTATTCCCTTCACAAAGGTAAAATCCTTAAGCCTCTCAGATATCCTTTCTTCAGTCTGTTCCAATATCTTAGTTCTTCTGTATAATGCTCATGCTGTATGATCTCTCATAGATAAACTGTATTTCATAAATGAAAGATTTAAGCTCAAGAAAACCCACTGGGTTTACATCATTTTACCTTCCAGCTGAAGCAATTCTGTGAGATCAGGCTGATTGTCTGTAGGATCTGCACTTTGTATCATCTGTAGCAACTGATCCATTTTTTCCTGAAAATTAGAAGCAATGCTTTAAAACTCTTAACCGTTTTAGTACTATTCTTCAAAACTGGTTTCTAGTGCACAGAATCCTCATGTCAAATGTGAAACTTGTGAAAAAAAAAGCGATTTTAACAATGTGTTCAAAATGCAGTCTAGAAACAGTATTGTTTTCAATAGAATCTACTTGTAAAATCCAAAAGATCTGTTGGACACAAGGAATCTATATATACAACTATTATCACAACTATTTAATTGTATTCAACACAGAATGCAACTGTGGGATCACTGGTGTTTCCTTGTTTGTTATGCTTAACACATCGTGTCCCACCATCATGCATCTACTGAACTAATACACATTTGGTCAATGCAAACCAAAGTGTGGCATGGGACAAGTTTGAACATATTTACCTCATCAATATAAACTGGCTCTGGCTCAGGTTCAATAGTTTCCACTTGAACTTCATCACTGAATTGTACCGTTTTCTTCTCCGTTTTTACTGTGAAAACAAGTTAATATTTATCTACATCTAATCTTCCTTATAAAACAAAACACTGGATGTAGAGCTTTCTTATACTCACTCATTTCTGGCTCTGCAGTCAGGTCAGCAGTCACAAAGTTTGAAGGAAACAAGCCAACTCCTTGATATGTTTCTCCTTTCCACCAGTTGGGGTCACTGTGGAAAAAATACAAAGCAAAAAAAGACACCAGAACTACAGAATTATTTTACTATGATCCATTTCAGGTTACTAATACAGTACTTCTTTGTAAATGCATTTACAGTATTTCAGGCTACTGTATCAATGCAACACTTGCTTAGTTAGAGAAAATACATTGTATGTTTCGGATGTTACAAGTTTAAAGAACATCTAGTCAAAATGTATATATTGCAGACTCATTAAAATTTGGTACTTCTTGCCAGGAGTCCAAGAGGGACTCAAGTTTCAAAGAGCTTCCATGTAACTACTGATACCATTACTATCTTAAACCAAGTGCAATTTAAAGGCCGGTTTGTAATGTCGAATTTATATCTCAGAAAATAATTAAATTCAGAAGATATCGTTCTCATGTGAACCTAACAAGTATTTTAATGTATCCTGGGTTGTTCAACCTGGGTTGCTCAAACATTTTACATCCTGTTCATTTATCACACTTCTTTTCAATGTGTACTGTCTGGTGAATTAAATGTTTATTTGTTCTTGTACATAAATACGGAAACTTATTAGCTCCAGGGAGAAAAAAGATCTCATTTATACAAGAGAGTATTGCGTTTATACAAGGAAATTATTGCATTTAAATGAGAAAATGATTGCATTTAAACAAGACAGTATTGTGTTTATATGAGGAAATGATTGCGTTTAAACACAATACTTAATTTGTGAACAATGCTGCCTACTACATCAATATATTGTATTATATATATACAATATTGTCCTGTGCAAAGCAGCATTGACTTTAACAGAAGAATACTGCCACATTCCTCTTTTTGGGAAAAACAATCTAAAGGAGCACATGTTCCACCTTCTGTATACAGCACATGAAATACAGCAATGTGACAGTAAGCATTCCCAGGTTAAATGCTAGTAAGTAGTCAAGTATTCCATTCAATGTTTAAAGAGTCGACAAAAACCCACGTATGGTACATATTTCTGAAGATTCACATCAAGAATAACATACGTTTGGAAAGCCATGTGATTCTAGTTGTCAGAGAAACAGCGACAAACACACACGTTTAACCCAGGAATGCTCACTGACACTCTATTTATATATAAAAAAGCCAGTACACGTGCTCATTTATGTTATTTTTTTCCAAAAAGAGAAGTGTAACAATATTATTCTGTTGTTAAAGTCAATGCTATATTATTGCATATATAATGCAATATATTAGTCTAGTTGGCAACATTGTTCACAGATAAACAATTATGCTTAGATTGCGCTAATAAGTGTCCGTACATAAATGAGGTGTACATTGTAGTTGTTTGACCATATTTTACGGGTTATAAGGTAAAGACCCAGTTTGGAGTAGGGGATATTTGAACGGAGCTTGTATAGGGAATCGTTATTATATATTCTTTTTGTATTTTACTGCATTTGAAAAAATACAGGCTAACTAAATTAACATAAAGTAAATTAGATTCATATTATTCTCCTTTTCACTACAATCCCAAACACTTTGCTGTAGGTAAAGAACAAATACAAATGAAAAGAAAAAAAACGATTATACTAGTGTGTGCGAATGATCTAAATAAGCACATGACAAAAAAAAACTAAACATGCTGGGTGGGCTATAAACTGGCTGATATTTACAGAGAACAACTAAGAAAAAGCAGGACATTTTTTTCATTGGAAAACTCGTACAATAAAATGGGCACAAAACGTGAATAGTGTGGGACTGAAGAAAAAGAATACAGTGCAATGACCTGTTTCTAAAGCTATCCATTATCATAATGCTGCTTATTCCTGGTGAGGGTCACGGCAAACTGGAGCCGATCCTAGAAGCATAGAGTATAAGGTGGAACTGCACCCTGCCTTTTGTTCTATTTCTATTTGCCCGTTGTTCTATCTTTGTAGCTATTTAAAGGGGTGTTAAAAGAAATAAGAAAGATTATTCACCTGTCATCGAGGACTGTAATAATTTCCCCTGACTTAAAAGTCAGTTCGTTATCTTCAGCAGCTTCAAAATCGTAGATGGCTCGCACTTTTCTGCCCTCTGATTTATGATTTGTTACCAGGCTGGAAGCACTGGGGTACAGACTGGAGAGGGATGACTGGGGCTGCCTTTGCTCTTTTAATGACAGCTCTATAGCTGCATATGAAAGAGAGATCATAATATACCCACATGTACTTCACCAGGAATGAAATGCTCAACAACAAACACAAGGAAAAGATATACAGTATCTATATGGTAAAAACATTTTTTTTTAATGTGTAGATGATATTTCATTAACAGTTCCAACTTATTGAGTTAAACCACAAGAAGACAACTTACGTTTTTGTGCAATTATCAACACATTTCAACGAATTATGTTGTTTTAACTTACTGCCATTTTTTAAGACTTATTGGATTTTGAATAAAAAGGTTGAACTTGCCTTTAGCCAAGTCCTCTTCTTCCTTTTTATTTGCAGTAGTAGAGGGGTCTTTAGCTACCAGAGCGGGGCTTGCTTTAGCTTGTTCTGCTGCCTGCAACAAGGAAAAAAAAACAGTAGAGTCAGCTTTGTCATTATGTGCAATTATTTTGGCACAAGGTTAAGAAGTCACTATTTGATTATTTCTGTGTCTCTTATTCTTTATGATGAAAGTTGCACCGTACTCTATATCGCGGTACTACATAAAAAAGGATGCTTGGATGATTAGTACATCTAAGAAGATACTGAAGATTACAGTATCTTAGGTTAGGTTTTGGTACATGGTGCACAATGGTCTTTGATAGAACTCATCTGGAATATTCTATCTAATCTCTTAGAGAATCTCCAAAGAAGAAACACTGAACTTATAATGAGGCAGTAGGCCTTGGTTTATGATGGAATTAAAAATAACTAAATATTTGCTCTTGGCAAAGGTACAGTAAGGCTTGATTTAGTGCTTCAAAGTGAAATAACTCTACTAGCTGCTTCTTTTAGTAGAAATTCTCACATGCATGCTGGTTTCATACCTGAGAGCCTGCAGCAGGAAAGGACACTCCCTGCTCTTTGAGATTTTTAATCATGGCAGATATGAGACTGAGCTGGGGGTCATTTCTGAACTCCTCAGCCCATTCCACCATCAGGGCCTTCAGTTTCTCACACACCTTTGGGTGACCCTGAAATGCAGAGGAACATTAGGTTAATTTAGCAGCTGGAAATTGAAATAAAATATATTGCAAGGCAGACTGAGGTTAACAAATGCTGTCACTTATGTGCTGAAAGATTGAAATTTCTACTTACTGAAAAAAAGATTAACATAAAAATCACTGACAATTTAAAGGTTACCCATTTCACAAGTCATTTCATTGAAATACAAGAAAGGCTACGTTTTGTAAGTTATTTATCCAATATTTTTTTTTTATCCATTCACTAAAAAAAGGATATGCTAAATTTAAATTTGGTGCTTTCTGCATTACTGTTAAATTGTATTCTGTATTATATTGAGATGCGAGGCAAAAAAAATATCAGTACTTTATTATGAGGGTGTTTTAATAAATAAGGTAACAAGACTGCCAGCATTTCTGCCAACCCAGCTAAAGGCATAATCATGAATAAGGCCATGCAATAATATGGCCATAAGACATGTGAAATCCACAAACATGTTTATGCGTAAGCCACTATGATATCAATATATAATCCTGCGTCACAGAAATCTGTATCAAGCTTGTGTAGCCAACAGCTTGCTACATTTTACTGACTTTTTATCCTCTTCTTAAATTTCCTTCTCGACCGGTGACTCTAAGACACTTAAACGATTGAAATGTACATTGGCAGACTAAGGTTTTCTGCATGGCAGCACAACAAATGTAGCAGATAGATCCTTGTAAAGTAAGTATGGCATTGTGGACATCTGTGCTTCAGTATCCAGTGGGTGCACACTTGCTGGTAATCCAACTGCATAGTTGCCTAGGGACAATGACGTGAACTGTTAACCATTACATACATGAGTTTGCAATAATAGAGTTCAATGTCTGCCTTCTCTTCATTGAGGCAAATACAGTATTTGCATCTGTGGAGAAGGATGCAGGGTTACCAGTTCAAAGCTCATCTTGAACAGCTCTCACTGTCAACAAAGCAACTTCAGCACACCTACTGTACATCTTTACACGACATGGCATAGGGTTGATATGGCTGACAGTCCCTAGAACCGATGATGAATTTCAGAAAGTGTTGTGTCCTTTGCAGGCAGACATATCATGCTGAAAACCTTAGTGCTTTGACTACATTTGCAAAAAGCCAATACTGGTCTGACCAAAAACAGGAATTGCCCTACCACAGCATGATGATGATGGTAAAACAGCACACTACTCAAACTTGTCAGGGTAATCTGTTTTCAACAGCGAGTGATTTTGACAATTTATTTATTGAAACACCCTCATTGTATTTAAACACAGCATTTTGTTAGATAAAGAAGATACTTATCACATTGTGGTTTTACTGTTCACAGAGCCTGATTGTTTCTGTGTAGCTGAGAACAACCTTTTCTGGTGAAAAAGCATGAAATATATCTTTTATGTTTTATATTAAAGTTTTCTCCATTTTGTGATATGAAGATGTTAGCGTTTGCATTAGTACAATAACAGTAAAAGTGCCCTATTTGTCCTTTAGGAGTTGATTTTATTATTAAACAGTTTCACATTACTTTACTTAAACTGACAATAGGAAAACCTTATGTTTTATTTGGTTGGCAGCTAAGGGGGAATTGGGGAAAGATGTATTCAGTTGTCACATTGACCATCTACAGTATAGGAACAAGTAATAGGTTTATTCCATGCTGAAAAGAGAAGAAAGAAAACAACGTTTCGGCCGTGGAGCCTTCTTCAGGTGTGAGGGTTTAGATGCTTCAGGTTCTTCAAACCTGGAAAAGGCGCCACGGCTGAAACGTTGTTTTCTTTCTTCTCTTTTAATTAATATTAATAATTAATTAAATAATTAATAATAACTGTGAGTTTAAAACTTGATACATAATAAGTTATATTTTCAATAAAATTGTTTCTTTCTAAATTTTAAAAAAAAAATTCTAAAGTGTAGAACAGTTCAAAATGTGTAAGACTAATGCACAGCAGTTTACATATTACATTACGCATTATTTGATTCTGTACTAGTTCCTGAACTGATTCTTATACCCTCGGTCTGAGTAAATAAACATAGTGAGCTTTTAGTTGGGCGTTAACAGTCTTTACATTGCATAAACAAAGACCTGATATTCAGGTATCTTTTTACATTGTGTCAAACAATCATATAAAAGGGTGAAAAATAAAAAGTAAACATTTTTACCCATTCTCCAATTTTCTCACCTCATTCAATGAACCCTGTATGATAAATCAAATAGCAAATGTGTCAAGCCTTTATGTATAATGTATAACTTCGAAACATTACATTAGAATGCTCAAATACCAATTAAATGTCTTCAGCAGCAGGAAAAGAAGCTTCATAAAACAAATACTTAAGTAGATATTCAATGTGGAAATAGTTGAGTAGATTACTTTTTTGCTTTTATGTAATGTATTTGCAACTACACTAGGACATAATAGTATTTGCTGATCTACCAATCAATTATATCCATTATAAGGTCAAGAAAACAATTGTAAGCTCTAAAATGTGCAAAACTATGGTGTGATTTAACTCAATTCAGAACCTGATGTTAAATCCAATGCAGAAGAAAGTAATTGTCACTAGATGGCACCAACAGCCTATATTTTAAGAGTTAAACTTTACATTTTTCATGTCTAGACAATATGACATACTGTACAAAATAAAACATAAAACAATTAAATTATAAATCAGTTTATTTTTTGTTTCTTTCTTGGGTCAAATAAATAGATATTTTCACAAATTTAGGTTACTAATGAAAAAACAATCTTCTTTCACCCATATGTGGATGCAGTTTGCAATTTCTTATTATGATCTGTTTGAATTTGAATTCATGCATGCCCACGGAGTTCTCAAGATGCACATTTGTAATAGATCAAGTTATAAGATACATAAGGTAACAGTAATAACTGAAATGACATCTTGTGGAGTTTAGGTTAATAAAAGCTGCCTCTTAAAAGCATTAATGATCACGTTAAAGCAAGTTCAATGTACCTTCCTAAAATGTGCAGTAAATACAGTGGACTCTAGAATTATTGGCACCCCTTGATAAATATGAAGACAAAAAGAAGTATATAACAAATAATATTTCCAACATAAGGAATTAATTATCCTGAATTAATGATTCAATTGAAACAACAAAGACAAAATACACTATAAATTATTTTCCCCAAAATAAAAGAAACATTTACTGGCATCCTTCTTTTTAGTACTTGGTGGAGCCTCTCTTGGCAAGGATGATGGCAGTAAGTCTTTTCCTGTAATGTATCAGGTTGGTGAACACACTGGGAGGGCTCCTAGACCATTGCTCCATGCAGAACCTTTTTCAGATCCTTGAGGTTTGTAGGTGTGCGCTTAGGGGCACTCCTCTTCAGCTCAGACCACAGGTTTTCAATAGGGTTCAAATCAGGGGACTGGGAGCATTTCTTTGTTGATTTTGAAGTGTGTTTTGGATCATTGTCATGTTAAAAAGATCCACTTCGGCCTAGATGCAGCCTCCTGGCAGAGGCAACCAGGTTTTTGGCCAAAATATCCTGGTACTTTTGATAATTCATGATGCCATCGATCTTAACAAGGGCCCCAGGACAACTGGCAGCAAAGCAGCCCCAAAGCATCAAAGATCACCCGCTATATTTTACAGTAGGTTTTTTACAGTAGGTTTTTCGGCATATGCATCCTTCTTCTACACCAAACATACCCGTGATGACTGTGGCCAAAAAGTTCAATTTTGATCTCATCTGACCACAGCGCCCACTCCCAGTGCCAATAGTGTTTGGCAAACTCCAGGTGCTTCAATTTGTTCCTCCACAACAGTAGGGGCTTTCTTCTGGCAACTCTTCCAAACAGCTTGTTGGCATGGAGGTGTCGTCTAATAGTTGTTTTTGAGACGGTATGACCCCAAGATGCATCAATCCTTCTTTAACTAAAACCTTTGGATTATTTTTTGCCACCCTCACCATCCTTCTCACTGTGCATGGGGACAGGGGGCTTGCATGCTCTTCCTGGCAAATTAACCACTGTTCTAGTGTTGTTGAATTTGTTTTAAATCATTGCTCTGACAGTTGATATTGGTATTTTCAAGGTTTTACTTATGTTTTTGTACCCATTATTTCCTTTGTGAAGATCAGCAATGGTTTGCCTAATTTCTGTTGTTAGATCTTTGACCTTCTCCATGCTGAAGGATGAGAAAAGGTTTTTCTGTGCCTGTTATACCCTGGGGAAACAGAAAGTCACTAAAGTACAGATATTAGCTCCTTAAGACAAAAGTGAACTCAAACAAGTATAAATATATTATTTTTTCAGATGTTTCTGATTGCATTTGAAAGGATCTTGAAGGGTGCCAGTAATTGTGACTTTTAATTACTATTTTGGCTAGTAATTTTCACCAATGATTTTCAGGTAGAACAGCATTACTTGTTTACAATTGAACCTTCAAATGAAATGTTTTGGGAAAAAAGGGACAAGTATTCCTCTTACATATGAGTATTAAATATCTGTCATTATCTATGTGGTTTATTTTATTCTTCATATTTTTCAAGGGATGCCAAGAATTCTGTATCTGTAAGATACCTGACAAAAAGTTGCTTGACTTGAAAACATTTGATTAAATGCCTCACAAAATTCACACGAATTTGTAAAAAAACAGAGACACAAATTAGAAAAAAATTGAAATTTACTGAATAACTGCACCTCTTGCAACTAAATCCACTTTTGTACTAAATTAGTAAATCAGTAAGAAAAAATCTTTCAAGCTTTTTTATTTTAGAAAAATCAAATCCTATTAAACTGCAGTGTACCTACCTTATTTAAGACATTGCTGACTTCACTGGCAAAATCTCTTGAGCAAACCTCGAGATGGAATATTTTGCCACAGTTTGATACACATGCTCCAAGAAGCTTCAAAACAGAGAAAAAAAGTATATAGACATGGGATGTTTTTTTTTTTACTGTAACATAAGTTCATTAAAAAATCATCATCATAAACTACATTGATATTTTATGTGAACAGTTATACACTCTTTTCAAAAGCAAACAACTGAATTTATCTTCTATTACTTTGGTACATAAAACTCTCCTGATAAGATATCTCTCCCATGAGGAGTAAAACCTATGCATAATTTGTCCACAACATCCAATAGTGCATCACCATCAGTTTCTGTCTTTTTAGTCTTAATCATCTCCGCAAGTACCTGTATACAGGGAAAACTCTCTTATAAATTTGTATCTTGTATGCATGTTCCTTGGGGTTAAGGTCAGCGGCCAGAGAAAAGGTGAAATTTATTAGTAGGTGGACTTTATGCAATCTGTGCAGAGGATAAATTCAACAGCGCATTTGGATAGCTTTTGATTAAAGCAAGGCTTCCTATATATTAATTCTTACAATAAAATGAGCACAAAATGCCAAGGCCGTTAATGTTTTATTTACAGTAAATTTTCTAACTATCCATCAATCTATTTCTCACCTGCAAAAAAACATTAAAACATTGTCCAATTACAAATGTTTAAAAACATGATGACAATCAATTTACTGACAATGTAGCTTATTAAGTTATGAACTAATGAAGTGTAACACAGCTTAATAAAAGAATACAAAAGCTCTTTCTCAGTTTGACTAAATAAAGTGGTCAGCCAAATGTAGTTTTAGCATTAAAAAACAATTCACATATAAAAATACACAATTACCTGAAACTTAAAACTAAAGTGTAAGGAACTTCACCACTGGCCAGACCACATTAACATTAATGTTTTGTTACGGTAATGCATGAGTTTTTGAAATAATATAAATGCTAAGAAGGAGGAAAGCCATTTTATAACAACTGGCTCTGGAACAATAAAATGTTAATAGTAGGAGCAAGCTGTTAACAAATTTTCATTTAATCTAAATTACAATAAAGCTACTGTTAATTAATTTGTAACACAGATCCCATCCTAAGACTATTTACAGTGTTAATAGAATTCACTTCTATAAAATCACACTACAGGACACTAAGTAGGTCTTCCAAGTTTCCCCTGTGAAATAATTTGTTAGGACCAAATGTGTTCTTAGGAAGAGTCTACATTAGTCAATAACAACACCATTCCTGAGTTGTAAACCACTTTACTGTTCTAATGATTGCATACATAGTGCATTAATTGATTATGTCTGTAGGGTTTCCTATAATCTGCTCTATAACAGATTTTCAAGACTTCATGACCTAACTAAAACATTTTTTTTTTAATTCAGTTTAAAATTTAATATAGACATTTAGGTTGAGTTGTAAGGCCTACTGAGGCACTTCTGTGCTGCAGTCACTGTGGTTAGATGACGCATGTCTACATAAGAATCACTGGGAGCTCCTTCAACTAAACTGCAAATTAACCTATTACAAATTATTGTTGTGTCTATTGAAATGATTATTTGTTCCCTTTGCCAGTCACCTCCCTCCCAATTGTAATACTCATCAATATGGCTCTGTTACAAGACACTTTTATCAGAAAACAAAAGACAAGTATCAAAATGCGCACCTAGTAAAGCCATCTGACAGTTTTTACAGTGCAAATCCCAAAATGCCAACAAGAGAGATTAGCACTATTTGAAAATGGGAGGAGGCTTTCACTGACAATACATCACGTTCCCAGAGGCCCGGCAAGATCACAGATCACTGCCATGCAGAAAACAGAAGATACTCTAATGAAATACATTCACTCAAACCAGGCTGGAATCAGTGTATCACAACCTTGTTAATCAAGGTAACGGTTGGCTAATGAATCCTACTGAATCAGAGGGAAAACGCTTTGTCTTCATCTTCAACAGTATCTTTATGCACAGTGGCTATCAAAATTATTCACCCCTCCTCCCCTTGGGCTTTTTTTTTAACAATTCATTGTATTACAATATGGAATCATAATGTATTTAATGGCATTTTTGCCATTGATTGACACAAAACAGTCTACATATATCCCTAATTTAATTATAGATATAAAACAGAAAATAACCAATTTAATTAGTATTCATCCCCTTTGCAATGACACACCTAATTAGGGTATCATGAAACAAACTGTCTTGAAAACTTTCATTATTTGTGAATGGTGTCCACCTGTGTGCAGTTAAGTTACTTCACATGGGTCTACAGTAGGTGAAGTACATCTACAGTATCTCTGCAAGTCCCACCGCTGATTAGTTTTTGATGTTCCAACAAAAACAACATCATGAAGACAGAAAAATTCAAAGCATATCTAGGATAAGGTTATTGAAAAGCATCAGGGGAAGGGTGTAAGAAAAGTCCATTATAAAGAAACAGTGAAAATAAGGCACAACTGTAAAAATGTGTGGAACAGGGTGTCTTCAAAAACAGTATCCAGGCTAGAAGGGCACTCAGGAAGGTCACCAAGAGGCCTATGAAAACTCTAGAGGAATTACAGTCTTCAACTTCTGAGATGGGAGAAACTGTGCATATTGTACGACAATGATAGCCTGGGTGCTTCACAAATTTAGATTTCAGGGAAGAGTTACAAAACAAAAACCATTGCTGGAAAAAACCTCACATCAATTTTCCACTACAGCCTGCCATAAGGCATTTGGGAGACTCTTAGAACAAGTGGAAGAAGATTCTATGGTCTGATTCGATCCAAATTGACCTTTTTGGCCTCAACACCGATTGTTATGTTTAGTGCAAGCATAACACTGCACATCATCCTGTGAACACCATGCCTACAATGAAACACAGTAGTGGCTGCATCATGCTATGGGGGTACTTTTCTGCATCAGAGCCTGGAAGATTTGTGAAGAGACAGAAGGCAAAATGGATGCAGCAAAGTACAGAGAAATCCAGGAAGAAAACCTGCAAGAGACCTGGGATCTGGGAGAAGCTTCATCTTCCAACAAGGCAGTGACCCAAAACGTACAGCCAAAGCCACAGTGAAGTGGCTTAAAAACAAAAAAGTCAATGTTCTGGAGTGACCCAATCAAAGCCTGGAATTTAATCCAATCGAGAATCTGTGGCAGGATATTAAAATTGCTGTTCACGAATGGTCCCCATCCAACTTGAGCAATTGCAAAGAAGAATGGCCAAATGCTATGTCCAGATGTGCAAAGCTAGTACAGACCTATCCAAGAACACTCATTCATTTCTGCCGTCTCTACCAAATATGGGCTCAAGGCAGATGAATACTTCTGCCATCAGTTATTTTCTTTTTCGTAGATATAATTAATTTAGGATTAATTTAAATTTAATTCTGTATAATCTTTTTCACTTTGTGTGGATTAAATACATTATGATTCCATATTGTAACAAAATATGAAAAGGTCCAAGGGGGGTGAATATGTTTGATACCCACTGTGTACATCATTATTATTTCATAGGTCACAAAAGGTGAAATAATTAATAGTAAATGCACAAGATGCATCTCTTCAATAGACTGTGTGGAGTGACTTACAGTGAGCGCTTGCATAGCAACATGAGGATCCTTGTGGTTTACTCTTCTCATTATAGACCGAAGGCATTCCTTTGGCCTGAAAAACAAATGGGAGGAAACCCACATAAAAGAAGCAGAAAAACTACGATGAAAAATACACAAACACAACATAACAGCCAGTCCTGACTTTTGTGAAGCTTACAATTTTAACATATCCCATCAAAAGAGATTTTTTGTTCATTTTGGTTCACAGTACAAAATCCTATTATTTATCATGTACACACTTCCAAAATTATTTTTAAAGATAATTATGCGCTAGATAAGAAAGGCATAACAATCAATCTTTTATTTCAGCCTTCGAACTGCTAAGTCATGCCAGTGTCTTGACACGTGCAGACAAATGGGTAGACGATAAAGGATGAAAATTCTTTCTTGCACATATTTTGTTATTGTTGTGTTCAGCAACAACAAGGAGGCCATAGAGATGACCAAAAGGCTTTGATGACTTTCTGAAATAATTTCAACAACTTCAACTTAGGTTAGACTATACTATAAATAAAGTTGATTGTTTTTACTAGCTCTTGTTAGCCAAAGGTTCACATATTCTATAAGGGACCTACAGAGTTAGTGGATAAAACCGTAAACACCAGATGTTATACATCTCAGTTTATTGCTGCTTGTCTCAACAATGTGTTTACTATACACAGCAATTTTTCATAGTAACAACAAAGAAAATGCCTGCAGGACTAGGACCATCCCTTAACTAAGACGAAACTTCACAGCACAAGTGAAATATTTAATAGCAGTATACTTTCAGGTCAGACTGCAGCGCTATTGTGTAACAGTAAGAGGACACTGTGATGCCAACTGAACCCATTTCAGACTCATTCATTTTCCAGAGGGACAAATTAAATTAAATAATTAAAATTAAAATTTTCCATGTTAGGAAAAGGCATAATAAAAAAAATGTTTCATATTCAAGAATAGGGGGCTTCTAACTCCAGCATCTGTATGATAGATTCCAGGTAACCATTGTGAAGATCATTTCTGTGAAATCCTGTTTTAAGTTACAGAATCAGATCAAGTTTCAATGCACCAATCTATATTTGGTTGTGCCTTGGGTTTACACAAACTTCTACTTCATGCAAATAGAAGGGCTAATTTTAGAACCTGCAGTGGTGCACTTTCGAGTTTCTACGTTTGTAGTGAGGTATCCACACTGTCAATGTACAGTAGACCAGGGCTGGCAACACTATCTTCCAACACTGGAAAAACATGGTTTTAAAAATGCTTGCCATGCAGTGGCTGATGTAGTGCCAGCTTCTAGAGTTCAAGTGGCTGGTGTTATTGAATTAAAAGTTTCACAGATTTCTCTTTCCAGACACACAAACCAAAGACACACCAGCCTTTGGGAATGGAACTTCTGATTACAAGAAAAGACCATAACACCTGACTGTGTGTAATTGTCAGATGGTAAACTGTCATGCAATTCTTTCACAATATAAAGATCAGTCATAGTGATAAAGTGATGTTCTTTTTCCCCCCCCATCATGAGGGGACATCTCCTTATGGTCTGGTCATATTTGGACTGGTTTGGTCATGGTCTGGTATACTTAGTCAGTCTTCCACCTGGCAACCAAGATGACTGTGGTCTAGACAAGCTTTGAAAACTTTAAAACCCACTGGATTCATGCCAAAGACTATGGGTTGAAAAAAAAAAACAGATGTAAAATTAATTGAAACGTAATTCTTCAGGTGAGACCCTACTGTGGGGGTTTTCCCCTATGTATAATGACTACATATCTGGATCATGAAGCAAACAAGAGAGCTATACTTTTTCGACATCTGAGAAGGAGAACCTGCCTAAATGTGATTACCTCTGACACAGCTAAAGTATTTAGAGAAAATGTATTTAGCAATTAAAGACAAGGGAAGGAAATTAGTCTTTAAAAATGAACATTACAATGGAAAGACTGCTATGAAACGTATAGAAGGGATACTGTTTTTATAGTTTTACATCAAGGTAATGATTATAAATGCCATACAGTAAGTGCTTTTGCACTGCCATTAGCTATTGTATATATACATTGCTATTGCTATTATATTATATGCATAGAACTGCCAGCATACACTTAGGATTAATATAATGCATCACACAAAATAGAACCATGAATAAATTATACTCACCCTGTACGTGACTGTCCTACTTTATCACAGATATCCAGTATGAGGCCCCAGTCCTCAGCAGTGTTCATCTCACTGGTTGCTTTCTCTGGTGAACAAGAATGTGAACACATATTTAGGAGTTTAAAGCTTCTCTGACAGGAACTGTATATTGAAAGTTCAATGCACAAATGCCATGTTTACACAGAATCCAATATTACAGAGTTTAACCAACAATCCTAGATGGACAAACGTGCCTCTCCAGATTTATGTTACTTGTCTGCAAGCCAAAATGTAGTAAAAACTGAGAACTGCAAATTACCAAAGACCAAACGTGTAGCGTCCAGCTTGGACTGAACCAAAATGAAGGAAATCACTTCAGATGTATCAAGGCAATGATAAGAATCTTCTGTAACTGCAAATTTAGGCTATCAGTTTGCACTAAAGACATGATCTACTTTACAGCAATCACAATCTTAGTGTTAATGACTAAAATTTGATTTCTTTTTTGCATGTCTCAGACAGAAAGAAAAAGATATTTACTGCAATCAAACCAACATAATATACGGTGTAAAACGTATGCTTGGTATATTAATTAAACAAACGCATCTACAGTGTTACTGAATTTTGATTAAAGGTACACTGGAATGGCTAAACAAAAAGAAAGTGAATGTCCTTGAATGGCCCAGTTCCTTTGACTGTTAATCTGTGGCGAGACATGAAAATTGCTGTACATAAACAATCCCCAAAAAGCCAGACAGTGGTCGAACTTGTTTGCAAAAAAGAATGAACAAAACTGGCAGCATTCTGGTTTGCAAAGCTGGTATAGACTTTTCCAAAAAGACTTGCAGATGCTTTAGACTTAGTGCTAAAGATGCTTCCTTCAAATTTTGATTCGGGGGATGAATTCTTATGCAAATCAACGTATTTTAGTTTTTTATGTCTTTCACCGGTAAAATTGGAAAGAGATAAATATTTTGTATGTTAAATACAAAACAGTCCCTACTGTTCACCATCTCTACAAGGAAATAAGAGTAAGAGTACACTTGACGGCTTCCATCGCCTACTGGACTAGTGGAAATCAAGAATCATTATGCCTCTTTGTGTTGCATCTTTGCAAAGAATCAGTCCCCTCTTGATCCTAAATGAAATGTTACAATTTATTGTATCGTTTTTGACATACACTCTCTTTTTCCTAGGGAACAATAAATAAGAAATATTTCAAATGAGAGGACCATCTAGTTGATGGCAGGTAAGTGATTGATCAAACAGTATCATCCAATCATTTCATAAAGAAAGCCAAAGTATTGACGTCAACAATATGGCCATGCTGCTAGTTCCAGACTCCCACAACCCACTTTTCTTTGTGTAAGAAGTTCGGCCTGGAAAATTTGTGTTTTCATTTTTTTTACTGTAATCTGTATTCCGCTGCTGGTACTGTTTGACGACTTTGAGAATACTTGAATCAAACAAAGAATACCGGACAGTCTAGACGGAAAAAAAAAGCTTTTATCTTCAGTGCAGGTCATTGCTTTAAAGGCCACATAGGGACTACACTGAAATGAAAATGTACAGTATTACACTTGGTTGTTTATTGTGTCATATATCTTGTTTTAACGCACCTGTATAGTAACACGCACTGCCAATAAGCAAAATGAAGGGAAACTGCAATGCTATGTTTAAATTTTGGAGTAAGAAAGAATCAGCATTCATGAGTGCATTTCAGAACACAATTAAAGTAAAATGTACACAGAAACTTGTAAAACCTCCAATTTACATGATAAAAGAGACAAAATTCCCAGATATGTGCATCGCCATGTTCTGCGATTAAGGCAACAAGATGTCTGGTGAAAAGTTGGGGCCTTCCTATATTTTAAAGCAGGCCTGTGAATATATCTTTTTTAATCTAATAGAAATATTGCTCTCAATTTTGAGATGGTTTTGACAACAAATACTACTAACTAATTAACTCCATATGCAGATCACATTGGAACATTTCTGCAGTAAAACGTCTGCTGTACAACATCGTACATTGCATTACATTAGTAATTACAAAGACTAGTGAGCAAGAAGGTATCAATTTGTGTCACCATTTGTGGGAACTCTTGCTCTCTCCCATGGCGAAACTAGGGGCTTGCGACAACATTGCAACTTTTACAAAGTTCACGATTTTGTGTTTAATTCAAAATTTGTAAAAATAAATTATAACTTCAAGGAATTTATTTTGTTACCGAGATTTAAGAACCAGTCTGAGTAATTGGGACTGCAGTTCCCTTTTAAACAATCAGTCAAGCCTCCTCAGTTTTTGCAATATTTGCCCTTTGCCATTTTTTGTATTTCAGAATGTACTGATGTAAACTTTCGTAGACTCATTTTTGCCCAGTTGGAACTCAAACTGATCCACTATACAATCACTGTGGAAACTCCTACTTGTGACAGCCTGGTCGGTCTGTTCTAACACATCAGTAGTTCCAGGTAGAAAAAAACAGATAGTAATTCTTTATATTTCCAAATAAAATTCAAAGATTCAATGGGAAAACATTTTTGAGAGTTCAAAAGCCATTTTTTGTATAAATGCAAAGTCAATGCCATGTAGTGATCACTACAATTCTGCATGTACTGTATGTAATCAATATATACTGTATGTACTATATACTGTATATACTGTACATACAGTGCCATACACCTGTTACAGTAAGACCTTGAAGGCAGTGATTGGTTGACTACCAACTGATTTTGAAATTGCTTATTTAAAAAACAATCTTATTTTGACATACATACACTAAACTGTATGGTGATGTAAAGACTCATCTATTAAATTAATATTGTTTGCAGAACACTACACAGAATACAGATTTCAAACCCATAAAGTCTTGTTACAGATATGAGCAAACCCCAGGAAAGAAAAAAAGAAAATAAAAAACTGAACTACAGCTACTGTTTGGTACTTTAACGGTCTAAACTGAACACAGAATACTTATTGTGATATGAGAGGAAATGTTTGGTTTTTTTTTATTAATTGGAATTGGAGATAATGCAACAACAAGATTTAATAATAATTCAGACAGCAGCATCCAGATAGTAAGTTGAGCATTAACACAAGTCTTTTCTGATTTCTAATTAATATACAGTAGGTCAATTTTGAATTAAGAGTGTATTTAATACAACTAAGAATTTGTCCATTTACTTCTCTTATAACTATGGAATACTGCCACCCTCTAGTGGTACACAAGAGACCATTTTCTTTCTCAGTACTGCAGACAATTAAAGCCATTACACAGTTAAAATGTAAAAGAAAAAAAGAATGCACACAGAAGCTGAGTGCTGTCCACAGAAGTTGATCAAAAATCATAAAATGAGTAGGATGCACACTTTCTTCTCTATAAAAATGTATTATGTGCTGTTGATGTTTTGCACACAAAGGCCTACCTGTACATCATAACATTCTCAATTATTCATTTTCTCAATCAAAGCTAATCGTGCTTTTTCAGTTAAATATGTAAAAACGGAGAATGTCCACAACTGTACTAAATGGGGTGATTTTAACATTGTATTTAAAAACCGAAGCAATCTGAATTTTCTATGTCAGTACTTCGATACCCAATGTACTGTAATTAACACTAACATCATTTTTCTAAATAGTTATTGATCTGCAAAAAAACTGTATTTACAGAAAGTTTTTAAACTTCACTGTATGTTTTGCGTGGCTGAACTTTGTACCATCTTTGAGTGAGCAGTTTATTAATATCTGTGTTTGGTATAGCAAATATTTTTAATGTTGTGTAAAAATTAGATTATTTTTAAGAATTATTATGTGTGACTTAATATTCTATTTCGTATGTATTTATAACATAACGGCACAACTTATTATTGATTGATTGAGAAATAAAGTTTCCCTTCACATGCATATTCTCAAACATGCTAATTATTCATCTTTTACAACTTGTAACAATGATTTAAAAGAAAACAAGTATACAAGGACATTCTCTAACAGGTACAGTAAATAAAATCCCCTGCAGGCTGCAAAGAGCTTTTTTTCCTGCCCTTTTAAAATGAAAGCACTCTCTTATTTTAAAAAGTGTGGTTTTCAGAAAACGTTGTTGCTATAGAACATTTTTAGATGCTGGGGACTATATAATACTTGCTTTCATGTTAGATTTGTATCAGGAAAATGTAACGTCGCAAAGGAGTCGCAAATTAACATTAGCTACAAAAAAATCGTTTATTTACATGTATGAAAACAATACTTTAATTGTAAAGTATAACAACTCCTGTTATTATACTGTATACTTCTGCGTGGCACTAAATAAAAATATAGGACATACCCGAGAGATAACAGAATTATGTAAGTTTTTGGTCTTCTATTTAATTGATCATAGCCTTCATTTTAAACATTTTTTTTTCAGAAGCAGTATTCGTATCATTCGACTGAATTATACAGTACCTTCAGACTGTATGTACTGTATAGTGTGGGGTGTGGGACAGCCAAGTGGCTTTCTGCGTTGCCTGTAGTGAATCCCAACAGATGTGAACGGATACTTAGCGCTGACAGTGGGATTCACTGTTTATTTTTAATCTGATCTCAAACAAGTAGCCAAGAATTAATACTTTGCACTAACTGCTTTTTCTTCAGAATAATACAAGGCTATTTCTTCTGCCTAAGTAAGAGTACCACCGTGAATCTACTGTACTATTGCAGCGTCATTGTAATACCACAGTGGTCATGTGCTGATGCGAAACAAAATCACTGTTTCTGACTCCTTGAAATCCAAATGATAATATCGGGTTTATTTCACAAAGGACAAATAAACGTTACATTTTAAGATACACAATTTTACTTTCAAAAGATTCCCCTAAAACTGCTCACAATTAAAATCGGCATGTATTAAGCTGCTATAATATAAAAGAGTCTACTAGGGACCTACAGAGTGAAACAATTTAAAAAGGTACAACGGCCAATAACATTACGCACTTCTAATTATTTACTGGCGAGTTTTAAAGTAAAAAAAATCCAATTATGCTGTAATCCAGAGAAATATAAATGGAAGATATCCCAGAAACACCAGACAGGAGAAAACAAAACAAAAGCCGGCTCAGTAGCTACATGACAGCTAATAATAGGTAACTTACCCACATCTTGGTCAAATGGATTAGATGTAAAGAGAGGCATTGCAGAAATTAAAACTACAGCTTCGTCTTTTTATATTTTTTCACTCGATTCTCTAGGCAGCAGTTAATAAATAAATTCATACATAAATAAAAACTGACAAATCCAGACAGAGGCTCAGTATTGAGTCACAGACACTCCTGCAGGAGCAACTAAGCATTGTGGGAAACGGGGTGTCTGTCTGATTGCCTGGTTCGGTGAAATGAAGTAATGCACACGTTTCGGTCTTTTTGTTCTCACACAGTTTTACAGATGCTTCATAGTTTTTTCTTTCTTTAACATCGCTGTTGATATTGTCAGACCGTTATGTTTCGAGGTTCCTATCCGAACGAGCGGAGCAACTACAATCCTTATTCTGAAATAGAGCTGTTTTTTTGCAGTCAAGTGATCCAGTCAGATGACCTGCGAGCTTTTGTTATTTGGACTTTTATAATTAGATCGATATGACTGAGTTTGAAAGAGGGCGTGGTGTGCATGATTGAATGTAATTGTTGCGATTGTAAAAACAGATTTTTTAAAAATGCTGAAATTCTGCATGATTTGCTGGCTCTGGTGGCTCTGCTATATACAGTATACATACAGTTTATATTTTTTTCCAGAATTTGACCCAGTTTTGACTGACTGGCCTTATCGGATTATAATGCTGATTTCTGTTTAATTATTGATAGGAATATATAAAACCTTACACAACGAAATAAAGAATGATTCCATATTTAAATATTTTACAGAAAGTAGGTCATGTTAATTATTTTAATACAACATTTAAAATTGCCTGTTATGAACCTTTATTACACAGGTAACTATACAACAAGAGACCTTTACGTTATTTTCCAGGCCATTTGTGATATTTACACCAAGATTTTCGGTTTATGTCGTGTTTATCTCTATTGCTCTGCGCTTTTGTCATGGTTTATTACTTTGCTTTGACCGTGACAGTATACATCTCTAAGAATAAGGTTTTGAAATCAGTGCAGAATATGAAGCACCAGATCTACTTTTTGTGGCCACACTACTGTATTGTAGCATGTTATTAATCTGATTCTGGTTAGTCGCTTTGAGACTAGGGGGCAGTATAGCTCGGTACAGACATTTTTCATCTGCCTTGGTCCTAGTATTCGGCATACCAAGTATTTAAATAGTCAAATTTTATGTAATCTTAACTCTCAGTGGTTAGATCATATTTTTTTAAAACAAGGAAAGCTTCATTTCCAAAGGTAGACGTTTGAGAAATTCATAGATTTTTGTTAACATCCCTTGTGTCGAAAATAACCTTATTCTGTCTCTTTTTAAAAAGATTTTAAGATGACAGTATGTGTAGAGAAAACCAAAGTGGGCATGGAATTAATATTTTTTTCTAAACTTTGGAGGATATAGGGGACTGCACTAGCAAAATCTTTGCAGGAAATCAAAGGTGAAATGTGACTTCATAGATGAAAAACAACTTTAGATTAAAGAAACAAATGTGTTCTCAAATAATAGATGTTAGGAATAAATCGAGTGCTATAAATACAACACTGAATTTGTGTTTTTGATGTGTCATTACATTGGTATTGCACAGAACGTCAGAGTAGTCAAGGAGGACTGGGACTGTAGTGCATGTAAATGAACACAGTAAATTTTTAAAGCTAGAAATGACACATTAACTGACTTTGAAAGCAAATATTACTTGAAAATCAAGTAGTTTTAAAGTAGTACAGTAGAACCCAAATAGCCCCCCAAATATAAAACCTTTTTAGTTTTGTTATTATTCTGTTCCTTATATTAACTGCAGTCTGCTGAATTTTGATAACAATCACGTCAGCCTTGTTGAAGATGTATTTACTATATTCACTTAATAATTTACTTATGACTTTATTTACAGTAGTTTTAAAAAATACCAGAACAATCCTAATAAGTTAATACTTGTATTTTGCTATCCCCAACTTTCTTATAAAATCCCATATGTATAGCCAAAGGAGGAGCTGTGCTAGCTCAGATGGCGAGGGTGTCTAGCTCCTGACTAGAAGGTCCCAGGTTCAATCCTAGGTAGGGGAAAGCGATAAAGCTTGCTCTAATTCCTTCCAGACGGCTCCCAGGTCTGCTTTCCAAATGAGCACTGGGGGTTAATCCTTCTGGGAATAATAGGCTGTCCGGAGCGTGATAGTGTGATGCTGACCACATCACCTTCACTTCCGGTGTTGGATGGTTGAGGAAAAAAGGTGGTGCATGGGCCTTTATGGCCTGAAAAGAGGACCCAACCTACCTACCTTTGTATAGCCAAAGTCAGTTAAAAAGTACTATATTTTTTCGGTTTCCCTTACAAGATATACAGTACATTATTTTTCTACTGCTTGGCTATAGCTTGGCTATCTTCTCCACTGCAGTCCCTAAAGCTACGTTCTACTGTATACTGTATCACTGAATAGATACAGACCTCCTTTGTAATATCCCCCAGATGTTTCAGGATTTTTTAAGCATGATGGTAGCACAGTGTGTTGTCCTTTTATTGGAAAGTTGAAACTGTGTTTCTGTAGTCAAATTAAGGGGCGGATTAAGGTGATCAGAGGCCCTAGACTACACATTGTTACAATATTGTAAATATTTGGAATGAACACATAGAAAGAGGGATGTTATTGGTGGTTCTTCTTCACTCTAACTCTGAATTTCTAATATAAATAAAATCTAAATATACTAATATTTTACAACCCTCTACCCTTCTGTTAAAATATGACTGATATTATTAAATTTATCTCACAGTGATGGCAGTCACATTTATCCTTCCACAAGGATATCTTTATTACTGAGAAGGTTCTGTTTGTCTGAAAAAAAATATATTATGGTACACATTTAAGAACAGCTGGTTCATTTTTAGATAATGACATTAAAAAAGAGAACAACTATCTGTACTTAGAAGTCAACATATTAAATAACCTACTAACCAAAGTTAATCGGGAACAAACACACCACGGAGTACTGGAGAAATTAATAAAAAGTAAAATAATAATATCTACTTCCCAAAAATCTCTGTACCTTGTTTTAACAAACTTAAAAAAAACATTTCTCCATTTACAGTACACGCACAACATATCTAAGTAGCATACTATTCTTTTGGTCCCTGGCCACTAAATTATTGCCAAGTACACAAGTGCGCACATTACATTTCAACGCGCCCCTTCGCCCTGTAGCTAATGAGGCTCTCTGGACGTGTCAGGCACTTGTTGCTCAGCAGTGATCCCGCGAGAGGGGGTGCCGTTTGATCCATGGATGGATGACTGTGCTGCTCTCAGCTCCAGCTGTCAGCCGTGCTCCTGCTCCTTTCCTGACTTACCCACTCTGTCCCTGGTACCATGGCGTCCAGTGAGGAGGACGGTGCGGTTGAGGAGAAGGAAAACAACAAGAAAAAGGGCAAACGCGTCCTCGCCACCGCATGGCTGACGTTTTACAACATTGCCATGACAGCCGGGTATGTAATTATAATTCTCATTATTCTTCGCCACTCCCTTTTATATGCAGCGTTACCTCTTGCGGCATGGCAGCGTTGCCGTTTATAGGAGCAAGTTTCTGCGTATCTGATCTGCTTTTAAGTTCATGCGCTGGGGAGTGGAGCAACAGTTCACGCATTTACGTGTATAGCGTGTAACAGAAGTATAATAGTATTCAAAACATATGTTTATTATCTGAAAACACATAAATGGCTAGTCTGTGCTTCAGAGGGAGAGCCCCGAAGCACGTTCAGCTTTTCCTAATACGGTCGATTACACGGTGTTGGCGTCATCTCTCCTGTCTTGACAGTTGCGGTGATAAGTATAGATTCAGCTCTGATACTGGAGCTCCGGTCTGGGAGAGCGAAACGCTCAGTAGGCACATTTTAATGGCTTTAGGAGTTTCGGCGCTCTTAAATAAACCCGAGAAGACCGTATTATTATTATCTAACATGATTGTACATTATTAACTTTTCTTATATTCGAAATATCACTTAATACATATTTTTACAACGGATTATAAAGATTTAATCAGCAAGTAAAATCAATAATGGGTACTTGCCCGAAAAGCTCAGTAATTATGATCATATCTATGTACATGTATCCTGCTTTATGAATTATGATTTTAATTTATCGATTGAACAAGGATTTCAAAAATAGTCTGTTAATTAATTGTCGTTATTTAATCATTACCATTTGTCAGTACAATACTGTAGTCTTTTAAGCCTTCAAAATCTTTGAAATCCGTATTAATGGAAATGTTTCGCATGTAAACCATTATAGTATATATGTATTTAAAAAAATAGATGCTTGATTTTTTTAATAAGTGCAAACGGGGTTAAAATGTATTTCATTTGCGTTTTATACTTCGGTTTTATGTCATGTTAGTGTTTACTGTATTATCTATACTTTAAACGTTATGGTATTGGCGAAATTAGTGAGAAGGCAAAATTCAATTATCTTTAAAGATCTTAAAACATAACTTGTCAGCCTTTTTAATTTATTAAGCTATAAATTTGTAAAGCTCTGTTAGCTTATACATTTATGCAGAAGATCAGTTTGAAACTAGTTTTTATTTTTCATACATTTTGTTTTCATATGAATTAAGATACTGTGGTGTCTACTAAACATTTATCACATTTTGGTAGTGTGATTTATTCACATAACCAAAATGTAGTTTTATAATGATACATAAAAATGAACAACATACTGTATCTCTGTCATTTTAACTGAGGAGGAGAAAAAGTCTAATTCATTCCAGGAATTGTGCGACAGTACTGTACTGAATTTATGATACTGTAGGATCACATTGTTAATTCCTAAAATCAAAGGAAATGTTTTGCCAAAATACTGGGAACTGGAGGATAAAATATAAACTGGCAGATAATGGCCTTCAATCAATTATTCAGAAGCAAGGCTATCATCAAAAACTTACAGGTGTGCTGATGTACAATGTGTTAAAGCCCTAACACAAATAAATGTGATATAAATACCTTATTTAAAATACTGAATGTTATGTAAAGTAATTAAACTTGACATCTGACTCTAATTTGTGTTTCTGAGATAATTGTAGCTGTACACATACAGTACATACGTATTACCAAATCAATTGGGAATTACAGCATATTTGCTGCACAGTTCAATGTCATGAGGAGCACTTTTATGACATGCAGTAAATAACTTTATAGAAGTAGCATAATGGGAAGCAACACATTTTCCTTAACATGATCTTCCTAACAAAGTCTTTAAGAAATGCTTTCTTTTTTCTGTTAAGTTGCAAGGGGTGGCAGAAGTGCATTGTAATTGACATTTCAAGACAAGCACATCCAATAATTTCAAAGTGTTGGTACCTGCATCCAGTTTTAGAAGGAGTTAAGTCAGGTAATTCAGATCTCAAAAGACTGAACACTGAAAGCTAATGTAGTAATCAAGTGAAATTAAAGAAAGTGTTTTCTTTTTTTCTAGGGCAGCTATCATGGCACTTACAGCAACCATAAACTATATGATTTCACTGGAAATGAACAAAGAACAAAGAAATAGTTTTTTTTCTAAAAGAATAAACAATGTTAGCCACTTATTCAGGTGTAGGATATACAGTACATTAGTGTTTTAGATGTTGACTTTGTTAATAATTATAAAGTCCTTCACAAACTTGTATGTCAGTATGGCTGCCGTACAGTATCTACAGAATATGGGAAAGAACCAAAAGAACTGTCACTTTAGGAGTCTAAAAAAGCCATTGGTTCTGTTTTGGAAACAAATGTAAGAACACTTAGATGCAGATGTGAAGGAGGTGTTTCTATAGTGTACAATGTATTCTGTTTTATGTAGAATGTAGGGAATACAATAATGTTTGTGAACTGTGAAAAAAATCCTCTGAAATAATGGCACATTATTCCATCAGTCTAATTATTTGTAATTCCCTAAAGTGTAGAGATTAGTGAAATTAGAATGTTAAGTGAGGGGGATATTAAGGATCATTTTTAGAATGTATCTGTTTAAGAATGATTAAATTGTTAAATTTAATTTTTGAGTTATAAATAGTCTTTTTCTGCTGATACTTTTGTAAATTAAACTGTTTTTTGAGAATTCAAGAGCACTTCTGTTCTCATCACTTTTCCAGCAAGCTTTATGTGAAACCATCATAAGTGGTCAATTATTGAAATCTATAAACTGACAAGTGAAAAACATTGTATTGTATGTTCAGTGTTTGATCTAACAGCATCTTTAACCTGGTCAATGAGGAGTATATGTCTGGCTATGGGCTGAGCCACCATGATTCCCTCAGATAGCTGGTGGCAGTATTAGGAGTACAGTAGGTTAGAATGCAAGCATAAAAATATGCAGGCTATTACAAGAAATTTCCAAATACCACTGTGAAGCATAAATGTTAAATTCCAAATAGCATCTTTGTGCAGCTGTTTCTGTCTTTGGAAAATAAAGTATATTGGAATACTGTAAATCTCAGATTTCTGAGTTTTACTTGCATTGGCAATAAAAGCCCATTGCTGGTGTTATTAGTTCTTTTAATGGGAACACGGGAACAAAAAGGATGGTTTTCTTACCCAATTCAAATTGTCATATAATTTTCCAGGAGACTCTGATCGAATAAAAAATATCAGCAATATATTATGTTCAGAACTTCATTTTAGGTTATCTGCATTCCAGAGTGTGTTGTGATTGCATCTCTGTGACTCTGGGTAAGTTTTTCTTTCAAAACCTGATGTCCTTCTACTGTATGTACAGTATTGCACCTTCTAATGAATATTTTGCAATCAGCTTTTTATGTGTCATGTTTAATGTCTAGACCTTTGCTTAGGGAAAACTCAGTAGTAAAAGTTCAAGCTAATTATTTGCTTTAATCTTCTTCTAAATTACTGTAACTGAAAAATAATTACCCTATCTGGCAATAATTGCCTCGTAACTTATCAGCTCTCAGTCTAGGAGTTCTACCATGGGCTAAGGTTTAAGAAACACATCTTTCTGCAAGTTTTTTTTAATCTCTAGTTTTTTTTACTTTTTTTGCTTGAAAATTGATTATTTTTAGTTTCAAGACAAAGTCATGGAGGTTAACTAGTGTGGACCCCAGTACCTATTGGTGATGATTCTATGCCATTTCCTTTCAGAAAATATGTAGTGTATTATTGACAGGAGGTGCCAGTTGTCTCAGCTTGACTGTGATGCTGACTACTGTAATAGCTGGGACTCAATTATCATTTCAACCTACACCAGTAGCTTTGGTCCCCGTCCCATGAATTTCATCCATCACAGCACTAATGATTGCTTAAAGTGCTGCTTGGTCTAAACAGACTTCCATTAACATTTGATTAGTGGGAGGGCTGGTGTGTCCTAGTGAGTGATCACCTCTGACAAATACATTTCTGACTTCGCAAGTTACAGTGTATTTTTTTAGTTACTCTTGAATACATCAGTTCATGACAAGAAAGTGCGTTTTCGTTACACAATTTAGGTGAAGTCTAGTTTCGATTTGAATACACCCCACAAAATGTAAAAATATGTTTTATCTGTATTTTTCTCTTGATGCATTTGATTCACGTCTGTTATGGCCATATCACCACTAAAGTAACTCACAACAAACCTGTTCATTATATAGGCCACTAAGCCTGTTATTATCATCTAAATGCATACATCTTCTTTCATAAATTGTGCCATTGAGGTTAAAAACAATTGAACAGGTGTTAAATATAGAGTAATACATGGGGTGGTGGTAGTTGTGTGTTTACAGTATTCCATCAAGTGGTCCTGAGCCATCACAACCACAAGAACAATGCTCAAATTAATATTAACGTTAATATTAAAATACTTAAATTAAATATTTTCAGACAATTAAGCTTATGTTTTACAATAATTTTGTATTTGGTACAGTGTGTAATGAATGTATGATATCAAACCTTTGTTTTAAAGTTACATAGAACATTGCTGCATTACTGTTCTGGGATCACACTTGCCATTAACTTTCTAAATATAAGAGATCATTGGTATTCTTTGATTCAAAGTCTCATCCAGATAAGGAAAAATTGTAATATTTTCTGTATTGTGGGACAACATGTGTTATAAGGACAAAGAAGTACACCCTTGAAACCTTTCTATAGCAACTGTATTATTTTTTCCATTATGGTAGTAAAACCTCCAGCATTACCATTTGTAATTTCTTACTGTACAGGTTAATGCTCAATCACTCCCTCGACACATCCCCTATTTACATTACAAATTATAATGTAAGACTGAACGGGCTTGAATTGAAATGCCTTTGCAGACACCAATAAAAAGCTTTTAAGATTTTGTTGTAATTAATCAATATGAGTCCGGTGACACAATCAACATCCCCATTTACTCCCCTGCAAAATAATTTGTTAACTGACTTTGATGGTGACAATTTTAAATTAATTAAATTAAAAGAACCCCAAAAGTATGTTTTTCCTGGGTTGAATGATAGCAGTACAGATCCATGCAAACACCAAAAAAAAACAACAAAATAGTCCCTTCATTTTTTGTGGAAAAAATAAATCATACATTGAGAAAATGCAATAAAGATCATAGCTGCATAAGTAATTCCTTGTTTACAGTTTCCGAAATGCATTGGTATTAGATGGGGAGTTGACTGGGCATTCTGGGATGGGCATCACTGAGTGGGCATTTGCAGACAAATTTTACATCTGGTAACTAAGGAGATTCATACTGATACTACGAAGCACACTAGGGATAACAGAGTTTTTTTTATAATTTCTTTTTTAAGTGTTAAAGTGTTCATTTTCAGAGTGAGTGCTCAACACAGGCATTGGAGAGTGCTCAATGTGTTAGGTACCTGTACAGTTGGCAGTTCTTCTGTCACATAGGAACATGAGGAAGTCTTCTGGTCAGTGAGAGAAACAAGGTAATCTCTCCCTTTTATAGGGAGGAATTTGTAACGATAAACCCAGTATAGTAAAGTAAATGTCTTGTAGGCGGCTCCACGGCCGAAACGTTGTGTTCTCTTTCTTCTTTTTTTCAGCATGGAATAAACCTATTACTTGTTCCTAAATGTCTTGTAGCTTTGAACGTTGATGTGGCTTAGTGAAATGATCACTATCAAAAATATAAGACATTCCCTAAATGTCTCTGTGTGTAGCAATGTTTTGAATTGGTCAAGCAGGGCATACTGTAGATCAGCTCATTTCTAATGATACCTCTTCAGCTATGAGAAGCTTATAGAAAATAAAACTAAGTGTTTTTACAGGTGACTGTTGCTTTACATTGATTCTTTATTCTAATAAAACATCAGCCATGTTACTAACATGGTGCCTAATATTGTCTGATCTGAAAGCCTAAGCAAAGCTGGGCCATGTAATTTCTGGGATAAGCGACCTCTAGGAAACATCAGGTTGCTGCTTGAAAGTGTTTTTTGTTGAGCTTGTATTTGGTATTCTTTCCCCTTGACCTGAATTTCTGAGCAAATGTGCCAAGATGGTGACTTGGTACTATAGAAAGTGCCGTACTCCTTTGTGCTGGATTAATTGCACTTTAAATACTATCTGGCCTCCCTAAAGTTCTCCATTAGTTCAAAGAATTTCTCACTTTTATACTAAATCTCTGTAGTTGGGCAGCTGGTGCCTACAAGACTGCTACTCAAGTCCCAGGTGTGTTCTACACTTCAGTGGTGGATGAGATAGAATCATTCTGCATGTAAGGTGCTTTGGGATCCTTGGGATGGAAAGAGAAATACAAAATAAAAGTAATTATTAATGTTATTATCATTGTTGGAATAATTGACATTGTTGGAATAGTTGGTAGAACTAACAGATAATTTTGGAATGTAGACTAAATCCATAACAGTGAGCAAAAGCTTTAACTGCAGAATAATATTGATGACTGTACATTGTGTGTATTTTTTAGTTGGATACCAGTTTTTGTGAAATTTATGTAGTGATACTTTGTATTTATTAACTATTGTTTAATGTGCTTTGGGCAGTTACATCTTATCAGGAAGTCTGTGTGTGATTTATTGTGACTGTTTTTGCTTAAACTCATCAGAAATGATTTTAGAGAAATACCAATTATTTCCCCCATACAAAAGCTGCTGCAAACAGTAAAAAGTTTGAGTTTTTTATAATTTTGTGTTGAGTATAATTTAAATCCAGAATTGTGCATTTAATGCTACACTATACAGTAGAAACATGGAATTACTATATAAAGCTTAAATTAAAATTCTGCGGTATGTAAGTAAATGATTTTCATAACTGTTAACAAGCTGATTTGAGAAAGACAAACAACCAAGGTCATGTACTGTACATATTCACTCTACTGTTTTGTTATAAAAGTGTTTTGTAATGGATAGAAGTTGGGGTAGTTTGGGCACAAAATGTCTGCTTTTGGCTGTTGTTTTCTGGTAAGATTCAAATATTTAATTTGAGAGTAAACATTACTAAAGAAATGGGAACATCCATTGTGAAACATTTTAGTGAACCAGAAAACAAAAGCGGACATTACAGAAAAGTGCTTTTAAAACTGATATCTTTGCATAAAGGGTTACGAGACTTTCAAACAAGCTATCTAAAGTATGTTTTTGAAGCTAATGCCTTGGATTCTTTCAAGAAACAGCTGGATGAGATCCTCAGATGACTTAGCTAAATGCAATGACCTCCCTCTCATTTCTAATCAGCTTTATGTCCTGAAGCATAACAACATCGAATAAAAGTTCTATGAAAGGTGCTGTGATTGTCACATAGTGCTAACTCTAGATCGTACTGGGTCAGGCCAGGCTGGAACCTGTCTTAGGGATACTGTTGTGGAGATTTATAATTATAACCATTTACTGTACATCAGGGATTTTTAATCCTGGTCACGGAGAGCTACGGTTTATTTAAGTTTAATTCCATCTGAGCTCTGAGAATGACTTAATTGGGGATGCCAGTTGCTTAATTAGGAGGAGCCAATGTGCTTCCTAGCATGCTGCTCAATAACCTTTATAGCTGCCTATAAAACCTGCAAGACTGTGGCTCCACAGGACCAGGGTTGCTGAGCCCTGCTTTAGTTAATTACCACTGTCTTTATTATTTATTATTTTCTGTTGATTTTGTAGGCTATAAGCTGGGTAGTTTCCAGAAACATAAGGATCTGGATGACACCTCAAAACGGAGATATTTTTTTTCAGGGTAGAGTTTCAGACTCTGTAGTAAAATAACAGTAAAATATGATATCTCTTCAGCTTTCAGTTGCTACCCCAGTCTTTTGAATTAGTAGAATTTAATGTTTTACTGTAGACAGAGACATTACAGGTCATGAAAAACATAAATATAGGTGATGGACAGTATAATGTGAAGTGTCCATAACAAAAAATAACTGATAACAAAGAAATAATTTATTGCACTTATTCAACATTGAAAATAATGAACACCTATAACTTTTGACTTTTATGTAGGATATGTGTTTGGGATTTTTAGTTTTCTTCTTATTCCTATGGGTACACATCTTTATTTTGGAATTTTGAGCCACTGTATTTACTGCATTATGCAGACAATTACAGAAGATGCAGAAATTTACTTTTTTTTTCTTTCATATTTAGGTGGCTGGTGTTGGCTGTGGCTATGATCCGCTTTTATATACAGAAAGGAACACACAAGGGTCTCTACAAGAGTATATCAAAAACGCTCAAGTTTTTCCAGACATTTGCATTACTTGAGGTAAAAACAGTGTTCCTATTTGAATGTTATTATCCCTAAGCTCATCTTCAGAGAGAATTTAGTCAGTGACTTGTTTCTTTATTCTTTAATAAATGGTTTTAGTTAGGAATTGAGAGAACACTGAAAACTATGTTTGTTTTGACCAATTGCTATAAAAATTACCCTTCCTCTATGGTAATGTTACATTATACATATTCTTAAACTAAATTTGCAATACTCAGTTGAGTTTTTTCATCTTAATTCCTCAGGAAAACTTCCTTAGACTACACAAGCCTATGTCAATACAGTATGGCACCTTTGACCTGGAGGTTGCAGTTTCAAACTAGACCTGTGCATTTCGCACAATATGTGGTGACAATCAATTCACTAACCTCTGGTGAATTTGAGATATCCGGTGCAGTGACCTTTGGTGTTTGCCAGAAGGATGCAAGGCATTACCACTAAGAGCTGTTTCTGTCCTCCACCTGCTAGTACAAATCTGCTCTTGAGCTCCTGAATTGCTCAAAGAGCAGCGTTTGGAACAAAGATGTGGATGACTTGATGATGCGCATATCAAAGAGGATGTATTAAAAAAAGGAGAAATTATCAACTTTAAAACTGCTTTGAGAAAAAAAGACTATCTGATAAAATTGTTATATACCATGAAGCTAATATAGGAAAGACAAATCAGGAATCCTTCTGTGAGGTTTAGTTCCACATAAACATTTGTAAAGCATGCGTACTGTGTCTTTTTCTTATGTGAAAGATGTTGGGAATAATGTAATAATATTGTCCCATATTAAACCTTAGGTTTCTTCAAGAGGAAAGCATGTTGTTACTAATCACATTAGGGTACATTTACATTTACAAAAGGTTTTTTTTATTGTGTTGCTTCAACAATGTACTTCTTAAGGCTTCCTCTAATGTAAGGTACAGTATTAAGGCTAGCTAGACAGACTGACTATTCTCATATTTCAGGTTATGTAAGCTCACTACAGTCACATGAGCTTGTTGAATGTGTTCACAATATTTAATATAAACAAGATATGTCCAATGGCATATTCTGACATCAGACATTTACTCGAAGCTAGTATAAGATTTGGTATAATCATGTTATGACATATTGGTTTGACTTTTGTTTTCTATTTTCAGGTTTTCCATTGTGCAGTTGGTATGTATATAATGGGTTTTTTTTGTTGCATTTACAAAAAATATATAATGTTAATAATATATTCTAATATATAATAATATATCATTGTTTTTTTTCAAGGAATGGTACGCACGTCTGTGATTGTGACTGGGGTCCAAGTGTCTTCTAGAATCTATATGGTTTGGTTCATTACTCACAGCATTAAACAGGTAACTTGAACACTTATACTTTGTATTACTCATACAAGTGTGGTTATACAACAGTATATAATACCCTGAAAAGTAAGGGTATCTGTACTTTTAATGATGATTACTTTCATTTTTAATCAAATTTAATAGTGGAAAAATGAAGGACTGTATGTTGTTCATACTTTTGATTCACACAACATTTGGATATTATTGTACGTCCTGTTAGAATTAATTTAATACCTTTATGAACGTATGTGTTCAATGCAATTTGTAACATACTGTTTAACACATCAAACAGTACCTCAAATATCTTTTTAGTAAATTTTTAAAAGTAGGAAATTGTTGGGTTTTTTTTCAAAGCTGTGTGGGTTGTGACTAGGGTTCTGGACTTGCAGTTAAAAAGGTGTGGGTTCAGACCCAGAAGAGGATCTGCTTTTGTAGAGCTTTCCTACTTTGTTCAGATTAATCCAATAAAATGTCTAGCTGAGAAAATATTAGGCATTAGACCAGTACAGTTATTGTTAAAATAATCTTTTAGCACTTACTGTATATATTTTTCAAATAATGTTACTTTTGTTCCTTTACCCTATATTCCATTCATTATTAATTAAAATCTTCAGCAACATTCACTAGAGTCTGTGTTTCTCCCAAACTGACGTGACCAGTGATCATTAATAATACAACTGAATTTCAGTATGTTGCCATCTAGTGGGGACAACTGCACATGTTTAATGTACAAAACAAATTCACAGATGTATCAGTGAAAATTAGAAAATAAGATAATATTTAGAGAGACAAAAGGGTCATTCAGCTCATCTGACTCATTTAAATAATAATTAAATTATAGTTGATTGATCCAAGGATCTCAACCAGTTAATTTCTTTGAAAGAAGCAATGTTGTCAGCTTCCAACAACATGAGTGGGTTTCAGACCCCACAAAACCTAGTGAAAATTGTGCCCCCTGTTCTCTGTTTCCTGTTTCCCTGTAGTTTCCTTTTTTCTCCTCTGATTCATGTCTCACTGTTGATACCAAAGAAGTCGACATGGTTGACTGTCAGTACCTTTAATGATTTTAAATACTTTTATAAGGTCTTCAGGGCTAGAAAGATTCAGTTCTTTTAGCATGTCATTTTAGGACTTTCCTCTGAGGACAGGAATGTACATTATCTGTTTGCTCTTCTGGACAGATTCCAGGGCAGCTATATCTTTTTGTATCGTGGGGATCAAAACTAAACAGTATTCTAATCTTGGTTGTACTAGTTGTGCATTGTATGATTTTAACATAAAATCCTTCCACTTAAGTTGGAGAAACATTTTTAACAAGGCAAACAAAACAGTATACAAATAAACTGAATTGTCAAATATACACTATTTGAGGTGCAGACACAGTGAAGATCTCTCGAAAAGCTGAATGAAGCTACAGTACACAGGTTACTGGTTCATATACTGTAAAGTAATGACAATAAAAAACATGGAGTAAACCCATGCACTAGGTAAAACTGCAAATTCCAACAGTTTTTGGGATTCCAGAATCAGCAAACAAACAGATTTAACCACGCACTCAGTCTCTGTATTGATACATCCGCTCACAGTTCTCTATCTATGCAGCTGGGGTCCTCTTTACAGTGGGCCAGTGGAGGGGATCTGCAATCTCTCCAAAGTCCCAAAGACACCTCCAACTGTAAAAGGCCTGGCCAATGAAGCTCCTCAATGAATCTCTTTGGGAAGGGCCATGGCTCTACATCTCTGAATCTGTCAGTTGTCATCCCCTCTGGCTCCACTTCGTTCCACAGGAACTTGGTTTCCCACTGGAGGAGGTGGTACATCTTGGGGTGCCTGCTGCCTTAATACACAAGAAATGCACAAGCGCTTTTCTCTCAATTCTCAAGTGTAGCAGTCCCCACTTCTCAAATTGACAGAACTGAAGCACTTTGTTGGTTCCAGGGGAAGTACACGTCTTTACTTGTGACCCCATTGAGATTTCTGTAGTTCTCAAAAAAGAGAACATATCATTTTCCTTTTTCACTAGAGCCAGCCTGAACAACCAGGGGTTTTCTTAGGACATTTCTTAGGACTGTATAACATTAGCCCTTATCAGGCTTTCAAGCTTTCAGGTCTGTTTTGTAGCTGAGCTCTTTAAGCTCTATACACTCCATTTTACTGGCACTATTTACTCTAATGCTTTAAGGCCTGCCTTTTTCAGTGACTGCATTAAAACACTAAGTCACATGACTTACAATCATGGCAGGTCTCTTCACACTCCCTCAACTCTCTGCTGTCAGTGCTGAGTGTGGTCACTGTGCTGACATGGCAGGCACTCTCTTCTTCATCTTCTTGGGGATATGGCTTGATCTGCAGCTTTCGTATAGGCCCCCACTTTTCTGGACAAGAAGGGCTGTTGCTGCTGTAGGCACAATCTGCAGGCCCTGACAGATTTGGCCACTGTTGTCCCTTTCAGCTCTGTTGGAGCACATAGATCTTCAGTGCCCCCTGCTGATTCAGAAATCTAGACCAAGAATGCAGTATTTCCATGAAAGGAACTCGTACTGTACATCACCATACATTCTTTTAATGTATTTGATGTGTTGATAGACAAGAGATGTGTTTCTGAAACAGTGTGAAAATAAGTCTAAGGCAGACAGGTTGAGAAAACAGGGAAACCTAATTGACACAAGGCAGCTATACAGTGACTTGGTGCACTCTAGGAGCACAGCTCCTCTACCCCATGAGCACATTCAAGGGCACCCAAATTCTTTTAGTCTGCTGTGGTGGATGGTGGAAAAGTGATATGGGAATTGGCAACTCAACCCCACCAAGCAGGATCCTGCTGTCTTTATTACCTCAAATAAGCCCCCCACTCACATCCTTCATATAAACCAACTAGATACAGGGCATCTCGGTCTGAAATGTTACTCCAGCATACTTGAACACCATAATATCCAGTATTTAGATGTGAACTAGTTCCCTCCAATTGCATAGCATAGGTTATGTGAGCTAAAGGGTCTTGTGCAGCTTTGGCTAATAAGGCACCTATGGAAATACGTAATTAATATAGTTAGAACTAAAAAATGTTTTTATTACACATTCAGAACCTGATATCATCTGAAAAGTATCTGTAGCTAGTAAAACCTGTATTGTGCCGAAGATCTGTCCAGCAAGAGTCATATTTTCAACGCTAAATCAACAAGATTTTGAATTACATCATGCTTCAGATTTTGCTGTCCTCCTTAAGTTACACAAGGAAACAGTTTCAGACCTTTGAAAGTATCAGGAAATGTACTGTATTCCAGAAGGCTAGTGAAAAAAAAATGTTTCCTAATGCCCAGAAGAAAATGTGGCACTCTTTGAAATGTGTGAGGAATGTTTTTTGTCATTGAATAAGGAGTTGTCAGGCATTAACTATATTTAATTTTCATTCCTGTTGACAGTTATTTAAACATTTCTTTTTAAAGAATTAGAAAAAGAAGTACTCATTTCCACTGCTGAAAGCTTTCAATGCTACTTTTATAGACACAAGTCACCCTGATATTAAAATGAACTTGAGCTATGTTCAAGCTTGTTTTACTCCTGGTGACATACTTTTTTATGTCATTCATCCATTCCATGTCATTCATTGTGTCTGTAAGGTGGCCGAATTGTCATACATGTCACTGGTTTATTGGTTTGTGTGTTTGTTCTTGACTTTTTTTGGAAGATCCAGAATGAGGAGAGTGTTGTCCTTTTCCTGGTCGTCTGGACGGTGACAGAGATTACAAGATATTCCTTCTATACATTCAATCTGCTGAACCACTTGCCATATTTCATCAAATGGGCCAGGTGGAGAAGTGTGCTGTGGGGTTGGTTGGCATGCATGGTGTTTGCATGAGCTTCGCAAACATGCCATTGGATTAATTTTCCTTGCAACATATACTGTTAGTGTCAGGATTGTGCATTGGTAGCAACAGTTTGTGTTCCCTCTTGAAGGAAAACATTAATACCATACTAATTCTAAAATGGGAATTATTTAATTTGAAACAAATTGTTAAAACAGATAATTAATATATGTTGTAGGCCCTTTATAGTTTAAGGATTCTTATTAAATAAGTTCATGTTTAATTCTGTCAAACAAGGTCATATCGTCTTATTTTAAGCTTCAACATATTTAGCATAACCTTTCTAAAAAAGCTGTGTTTAAGAGCATTTTTACTTACAGTGTTCCTCCACACATGCCCAAATGTCACTTGGGTAAGTTATAGAATGATAAAAATGTTATTCTGTTGACTTACCAAAACTGGATTTGTCAGCCCTGGGCTTGCAGTACATGAAAAGTGCAGTGAATAATAATAATAATAATAATTGCTTACACTTATACTGTATAGTACATCTCTGGACACTCCACTCAAAGCGCTTTACAGGTAATGGGGACTCCCCTCCGCCACCACCAAATGTGCAGCCCCACCTGGATGATGCAACAGCAGCCATAGTGCGCCAGAGCACTCACAACACATCAGCTATCAGGGGGGAGGAGAGCAGACTGGGGATTATTAGGGGGCCATGATTGGTAAGGGCCAATGGGAAATTTGTCCAGGACACTGGGGTTACACCCCTACTCTTTTCAAGAAACACCCTGGGATTTTTAATGACCACAGAGTGTCAGGACCTCGGTTTTACATCTCATCCAAAGGACAGCGCCTGTTTACACTATTGTGTCCCCATCACTATACTGGGGCATTAGGACCCACATGGACTGCAGGGAGAGAACCCCCCGCTGGCCCCACTAACACCTCTTCCAGCAGCAACCTTAGTTTTTCCCAGGAGGTCTCCCATACAGGTACTGACCAGGCTTTGTGAGAAGGGCACTTTGGTGCTGTCAAAGAATGCATGAGGCTAAATGCCTGTAGCATGCTCACCTGGGTTGTTGATGGGACAAGAAAGATTTTTCTTTTAGTAAAATTTCATCTTAAATTTTACTAAAATTTCAAATATATATATATGAAATATATTTAAAAAAGCTGCCTCAAAACGTTCTTTTGTATTCGTATCTCTTTTATTCTTATCCACCTGTGATTTCTTTTCTATAGTTAAATTTTATCCTCTTATTTGTAAATTTGCTGCAACCTTTTTTATTTTTTCAAAATTGATTTTTTCTCCATTTCTCTCTGTACAATATTGAAATGCTGACTAATTTTCAACCACTGAAAAAAAGACAAATAGAATGAAACCAGAGGGTAACCCTCTGGAATATAGTAAGGAGAATTTAAGGCCTGGTCATACAAAGTCTGTACCACAAAATCTCATCAAGATATCAGTATGTTGGCAGGTTTGTTTAGCGGAGGTACTAGCAGGGTCTGGGCTGATATAGAGAGAAAGTGTTATTATTGCTCTAAAGTGTAGTTCATGTTAGCATCACAGAAATTTTATTCCATAGCAGTTTTCCGTCAGTTTTTTGTCTTTTAGATGAATTTTGTAGTGTATTTTTGTATCACTGCTAGGCACACTAAACATTCTGAGAAAGACAAAAGGTTATCAAAGGAGAAAAAACATCTGTGAGGAGAAAGCCATTAGGTTTGGAGATTTAATTTTGTGAAATATCGCCATAGCCTCCAGTTTGCATCTGTAATAATGGCATTTCTGTTAGACATTACCAAAAACATTACTTTTACATAGAAGAACTACAAGTACAAGAAGTACAAGTACAGATCTTGTGTAAAACCAATTACCAAATTCAAAATGATATGAACAGGGACAAGATATTAATTAAAGTAACAGAAATACTGTTTTGGAAATACTCAATGGCTAAGCAATGTTCTTCTATAACTTGTTACACACTTGATGTGCTGTTTGGGGAATTAAAAAATATTTAAAAAGTGAAGAGGCTACATTGTATACATTGATGGTACATTTTAGGTTCGGTTGATCTTATCAACTGCATGACTGAAATATTACACTGTATTATAATTACTTTTAATTACTTTAAATAATTAATTTAAGTTTATTTTAATAATGTAGAAGTGAACAACATAGAAGTAAACCTTGATGGGATAAAACATTGCCAGATGTGCACTGAGTTTAACTTGAGCTGTGTTTTTCTAGGATTTGATCAAACATAAATAGCATGAAAGCTTTGTCACTGTCAGTCTAGTGTTTCAGTTTTGGTTTTGTCCTTCTTAAACATGAAACATGGTGTCTTTTTCATGTTATGTGTCAATGTATGAGACAAGGGCTGCAAAACGTCTGTCTGACATGTAGGGGTGGCCCCTTTAAGCTGAGGAGAGGGAGAAGGCCTTGGGAGGGTTTCAGATTCAGCTGCTCCCATTTTAAAGGCCATCTGTTTTGGTCATGGAATGCACTTCGAACATTTCTTTCACATCCACTGAGACAGTCTCCTTAACTTCTGCCACTGTAAATACTAGATTCTCAAGGCTTGGATCACTAAATATAGTGCATCTGATGGCTTAACTGAGTCAGGTGCTAAGATCCAGTGAATCTGATTCATTGTACTATACCACACTCAAAAGGAGGCAGTACTATGCTGCCCTAGGATCCCTCTCATCTGATGTACTTTAGTACAAATATGGAACTCTAATTTCAAGGAGCCTAGTTTTCAGAGTGCAGGATATATTTTTATCTGCCAATTTAACATGAAGACAGAAAAGGTCAAATTTTCATCCCATAACTGACAAAACTATTATGTTTGATAACTAGTTTTAGGCCACATTTTAAGTGGAAAAGGTCACTTTTATGTAGTAAAGTACTTAAATTAAAATTTCCAGAATTGTAACATTTACAGTATTTCCGAGCAAAATATGCATTACATTTTTGAAAAGGGGAAAAACATAAGTGTTAACATAATATGAAGGAAAGAACTGTGTGTCCTAAAAGGCATTTTAAAACTTGATTGTGTTGTTTTCTTACGAGATGTTTTCTCAGTGTGGTTTTATGCATGTCGCCAAGGCCTCAGAAGTGTTCAGTGTATACTGGCTGTGCTGTTGTAGGAGTTGTAAGAATGTGGAGAGTATTCATTTTTTCTGCCCCTGACCTTTTCTACTATGTTTGTCTTTTCCAGATACAACTTCTTTATTGTCCTGTACCCAGTTGGAGTGGTTGGTGAACTCATGACCATTTATGCTGCTCTGCCTTACGTTCAAAAGTCTGGCATGTTTTCCATGAGGCTTCCCAACAAATACAATGTCTCTTTTGATTACTACATCTTCCTTATCATTGTCATGATCTCCTATATACCATGTAAGTAAGAGATGCATACTGTATATTATTGTGGACACATTTTGAACACAATAAACACATTATTTAACTTAAATATTTAACTTAAATCAGCCGATTATTATTATTATT